CGCCAGCACTGCACAGCCCTTTACTTGGTCTTCAACTCTTGGTGCCTTGGGAATTTCTCTTTCCAAGGCCAAACAAATCAAAGAAAGCTTTATTTAGAAAACTGAATGATGCCTAAATGCGTATGTTTTCAATGCAGCAATGCTTTTCAAATGGTACCATGGTTTATTTGGGATTTTGGCTTTTGGATACGTACATGGAACTGACGTGTGTGTGTGTGTGTGTGTGTGTGTGTGTGTGTGTGTGTGTTCTGCCTGGATAAGAAATACAACCCTGAGCCTAAGCCCTAGAGATTCTCATCCAGGAGCCCAGAGGTGGACACCAGAACTAGCATTTTCAAGGAGCCTAGAGAGGGCTGCTGTGGACAGCCAGGTTTGGGAATAGCTGACACCTAATGGAAAGTCCTGGCCTCTGCCTTCTTGTCCTTAAACAGAGGGTTCCTGGAGGGCCTCAGACCAGGGCTCAGAGCCTCACAGCAGATCCCCCAGGGCCAGCTCCAGCCACAGGGTAGCAGCCATCCCTGCACCCAGTGCAGACTCCCACTTTCAGCTCTCCTGGGACTCCGAGGGACTCATTTAAAACCCCTATGGCTTCCATGCCAGGGGCCCAGGAAACCAGATCCGAATGTCCATCTTCACTCCAAGGTGCTCACGAGTTAGGCTGCAGTAACCACACTGCTGAACGTACCACAGGTATTCAGGTCTTGCTGTTGTCTACAATCCCTAGAAGTGTGCCTTCTGCTGGTGTCTTGGTAGCAGGCCAGCCCATGAATTGTTTTTGTAATAATTAAGCCGGGATCTTCACACAGTGAGAGCCTGGGAATCCTGGGGCCGGGCTTGGCTGGAGCCAGCTGTGGCCTTAGAGTTAAGGGGCAGCTGGGTGGCAGGCAGCCACCCCGCTCCCACCCGACTCGGGTGACCAGCTGGCTCGGGTGCTCTCCAGGACTTGTGTCATCTCGGGCTGTTGACAGTGATAGCTCCACAGAGAGGAGGGGATGACTGAGTCTTTTGGCCAGGAGTCACAGTTAGCGTGGGGGCAGCATGCTCGTCACTCCAGCCAGCCCCACCTCCACCCCACACCAGGCTGTGACTCAGATTCTGGGGTTTCTCAGCCTGCTCCACACTGAGTACCCCTGATGCTTCAGTAAGGCCCACAAAGATACAGCAAACAGGCCTGTGACACCCAGCCTCCCTCATGGCCCACCTGGGCCCGCCTCATGGCCTAGGGCTATGTGGGATTAGACACTACAGATTTGGGGTTCTGTGGAAACCAAAATGGCTGCTGCAAGGCCCTGGGGGCTCTCTGCTGCTGAGAGAAAAGCAGACATCATCCCGGGAGCCCCAACAGCACAAAGGGCACGGGCTGTGTCATCTTAAAACACACAGGATCCCCGAGGCGAGCGTGGGGTAAGAGACTGCCTCTTCTTGAACTATCTTGAAACTCTTCATTCTCACAGTGTTCCACCCAACCCCATTCTCCTCAGCTGGGAAATCCTACTGGGTCTCAAGCACAAACAAGTACAAAGAAATCACCTTGACCTCAGAAACACCTCAGAGGCCCATTTGTTCTGGCTCCTGAAAACCGGAATCCTGTTTTGCTCAAAGCTGCTTGACAGAGGCTCCAAGTTCTGCTTCTGTTCTCTGAGTCTGGCCATTTGTTTTGAATGCTTGGCTCTCTGAACAGGGTCAAGTCCCCTTCCTGCTCCAGGGCTTTGAAGAAGTTTCTCTGGAAGCATCTCATTTGTGTTGTTTCATCAGAGGAAGGGAGGGACCAGTTGGAACCCAGGGAGGCCGCTGCTGCTTCTCTTTGTTGGAGGAAGCCAGCTTTGGGATGAGAGCTTCAGCCTGAGGGCTGCCCGGATGGCCCTAGGTAGACAGGGACTCCCCAACCCCAACCCAGAGCACAGGCTGCGGCTGTCGGAGGCCCCCACGCAGCCTGGGTCACAGCACAGGGGCATGATGAGCCCAGGGAAGGCAGATGAGGGGAGCACCCCACCCTCCATCCCCCACCCCTGCTGCAGCCGCGCTCCCCGTGCTCCCTGTACACGCCCAGGCGGAAGCTTTTCTCAGCTTGGCCCCAGTGTGGTGGGGAGCTCACTGTCTGCTTTACAAAGGTAAAATGGGGCCTACCTTTCGATTTGGGCTGTGATAAGCTTGTCTGAATGCAAGACCTGTCCCTGAAAAGTGTCTGATCCCCACCCCAGTCCAAGAGCAGAAGCAAATGTGACTCTTAGAACTAAGACAGGTGGTAGCACACACCTGTACTCCCAGCTGTGGTGGGGGGAATGCAAGTTTGAGGCCAGCCTGGGCAATCTGATGCAACCTGTCTCAGCAGTGGGATGTGGCTCAGTGGAAGGGCGAGGGGTGGGTGGCCAGTAGTTGTACTGTCTGGCACAAACTGCATTTAAGCACAAACCTGGAAGCTTAAATGCAATCAGTTCACTAATTGGTACTTTCAGATCCTCAAGGTCCCACGTCTAGTGCTTGCCCAAGAAGGATTTGGCCATGTCAGAGGTAAGCATTTCCACTGCAAAAGACAGCCTTCCCCTAGGACTAGCTTCTGCCCTGCAGCACTCCACAAAGGAGCAGGAACTGAAGGGAGAGCTCTCTCTGCCTCCTGGCGGTTGTGACTAACTTTTGAAGACAGTTTCAGTGAAGTTTAACGATCAGCATGGCGCGGGTGTATTCTTTGGCAAGTTTTGACGAATCCACTGTGAAGCCATCACCACAACCAATGTACCAAACGTATGTCACTGCCACCCCACTCCAGCTGTCCCTTAATGCCCATCTTGCTTCTTCCCATTTCCTGGTAACCACTGGCCCACTTCCTGACACGGTGGAACAGCTTGCATTTTCTAGAATGCTGCATAAATGCAGTCACACAGTACGTCTCTGGGCAGGGGCTCTGGCTTCTTCCACTCTCTATAAGTATCTGGGACACATTCATCTTAAGAATCAACAGCTCGGGCCAGGGATTTAGCTCAGCATATAAGCGCCTGCCTGGCAAGCGCGAGGTTGTGAGTTTGATACCCGGTACCCCAAAGAAAAAAAATCACTAGCTCATTTCTTCCTATTTCTTCTGCAGATAAGCTGCTGTGAACATTTACACATACATCTTGGGCAGGGCTGATGGTAACTGATGAACTGCTGGGGGGCTCAGTGTGGAGGAAGTCAGGTGGCTGAAAACTCCAGGGGTCTCTTGCAAGGGGTCCTGCACTCGGAGTTCTACCTCCATGTGCCAGGTGACTCTGCTAGGCTCACTGGAAGACTGGGACACAGATCTGGGAACCTCCCTTTCCCCACACCTTCCCTCCCTACGTCACTCAAGCCCAGACAAGGGAGCGCCTCTTACTCAGTCCATCCTGTGCACCTTCCAGGCAGGTGAAAGGTGAAAGACACAAAAGAGACAGAGCAGGCACAGGCACAGACGCCTCCAGAACAAGGATGGAGTTAACAGAACATGAATTTTTACAAGGTATATTCTAAAACTTTTAAATTTTTTTAAACCGATTGCAATAAAAGACCATGAAAAGACGCACTCCTCAAATCCTCGCCTGGCTTCCAACAGTCAGTCATCCCTTCTGGAATCCCAGCTTCCAAAGCAGTGGCAGGTCCTCTTCCCTAGTGTCTTTAGTTGTGCTGTCCTGGCTGCCTCAGTGTCCTGACGAATCAATTAAAAATGTTTCCCTGGCATGGTCATTCGGACTCCGGGGAAGAGGAAAGCTGCAAAGTGCAAGGCAGATGAGTAAGGTGGACCAGGGCCCTGTAAAGCCACCTGATGGAAACGGCCCTGTGTGGCATGCAGGTTCGTCGTGGTGGAAGACGAACCTGCCCACACGAAAGCGGACTCCAGAGCTGCTCTGGAAAGCGGCCAGAGTGATGGAGCGAGCAGGAGGGAGGGTTTTGAGGGGGCTTAAAACAAAGCATCTTTTACTGTAATCAGTTCTTAAAAATTTAAACATTCACTGTACCTTTTTTTTTTGCCCCTTATAAAACAGAGTAATATGGTAGGCCATAATGGAAAAGCAGACGCCATTGAAAAAGGGTTGGTAATGGAAGGAGGGATGGAAACACTAAGGAGGAATCAATAACAAATGCTCAATAACAAATGGGAGATTTTTTTAAAAATGCTTAACAGCCAGATACAGTGGTGCACACTTGCAACCTCAGCACTCAGAACACAGGCAGGAGGATTGCAAGTTCAAGGGAAGCCTGGGCTACCAGTAAGATCTTATCTCAAAAAACAAAAACAAAAAATAACTACATCTAGCCACATTGCATGCACGCCACAGAAAACCAAAAGCAAAGGAAAGAATCCTAAAAGAAACCAAAGGGAAAACATCTTACTTATAATGAAGCAAAAATAAAAATGACATCCACAATCTCCCCAGAAACCATGCAAGCAAGAAAAGGAAAAGCTCAAAGTGCTGAGAGAACCCTGGGACCCAGAATCAGCACCCTGTGACACCACCCTCCAGGGTGAAGGGGACGGGATACGCAGACGTCCCTGCGGGGCTCTGCTGCCAGTGGACCTGGCCAGAAAGACGTGGAAAGAAGTTCCTGAAGTGTGAATCGGCCAAAAGCGTAGACTGCAAAGTCCAGAGCAATCGCAGAGAAAAACTATGCTGATACGCTAACAAGGGAGAAAAAAACAAAATCAAAAGACAGAAAATTGAAAGAGAAAAATAGGGGAAAAAAACCAAGGGCAATGAATAGAAAACAGTAACAAGTACAGCAGACAATAATTCAACTACCAATCCGGGCCTATGCCTTTAATCTCAGCATTCAGGGAGCCTGAGGCAAGAGGACTGCCGTGAGTCCAAGGTCAGCCTGCACTGCATAGCAAGACCCTGACTCAAACAAAAATCCAAAATAATAATAACTGAACTACTTTGTCACTTTATGGCAACAATCTCCGTCAACACATTATCAGAAGGCATCAAAAAATAAGACCCAACTGTATGTTGCCTACTGGAAGCCCACTTTCATGTGCATATTAGTAGTTTATGTATTACACAAATATTATTTATTTGTAAAAGAAGACGTTACAGTTGGGCTTTCCTGCAAGAAAGAAGGCAAGGCCCCAGGATGTGAGGGGTGTGTGGACGGCACCAGGCCCAGGACGGGCAGAGGAAGGTCAGGTGGCCGCGCGCTTCAAACGGGACCACACAGAGCGCTTCATCCCCTGCGCAGCCTTCACCTCCTCCCAGTCCAGCTTGACGTCTGAAACCTCTTCTTCCGGCTCTGGGTCCTTTCTCAAGGCCCCGCGGGGGGAAGCGACCACGATGGGCAGAGGGCCACATTCCTCCCGGAACTCTACCACGTGCAGCCCCTTCTTATCGGCCAGCTGTTGATGGGTTTCCTGGCAAGAAATGAAGAATACCAGTCACTCATCACATGGTTCTGGGCGATGTGCTTTGGAGCCACACTCTGGTGACCTGTCATGGGTGGGATCTTTGCAGTTCCACCTCCCCATCTGGGACCGGGATGAGGAATCCAAACTCCCTCCTAGGTATTCTGCTGTGCCAAAAACTGAATTCAAGTCCCATCAAGCCCCTGGATCTAAACGCTGATTCATAGGAAACATGAAGAGAAGACATGAAGGACACACAGGTATTTATTTAATTGGCACAGACTGGGAAACACTACAGGAAATCTCATTTCCTTAAAAAAAAAAAAAAGCCAGGTATGGGGTGTGGGCAGGGCCCAGCATGGACAGGGAGAGAGGAAAACCTGCGGCATTAAAAGATGTAGCAAACCCTTAGCACTGTGGGCTGATTTTTCTGCAACCTAAATCAAATGAACTACGGAAAAATGTTTTTAAAAATCTGATAAATGGAGACATTTGTATGAACAGATTGGGTATCGGATGATACTAAGTTACTGCTCATTTTTTAGGACTATGAAGTATTAATGGATGAAATCAAAGGATGTCTGAAATTTAGTTCAAAATACCCGGAGCTGGGCAGAAGGTGCTAAGGAACGAGGTGGCCAGGGCTGCAGGAAGGCCGTGGCCAAGGAGTCGGGAACAGGCCAACGAACTGGGAGTTTTATTCACCGAGCCTCAAGATACCCGCTATGTGCATCTCATGGGTCCAGAGGTTACAGCCCTGGGTACTATGTAGTCTAATCCTGTAAATGTTTACAATTAGATAGGAAGACAAAAGGGTACCACGACAGAGTCTGCAGAAACAGGAATACACCTGTCTAAAGCCCTCAGCACATCCAGCAATTAAACTTCCAACAAGAAGTCGAAATTTAGAATGATGTTTTAGATAGTACGAAGACACAAGAGTTGTCCCAAAAAGATCTTGTGTCCAAAGGTGGCTTTATCTCATAATTCACTTTTATATTTTGACCAGAGATTCGTCACATTATCCCCCAGGTCATCTTATTCAGAAGCCTTCACTGCATCCCTGACTCCCTCAGCCTGGCTGTCTTGCAGCTCGGTCACCTTTGCCATGCGTCCAAGGGCCAGACCAGGCTGAGTAGGGTCAGCCGACAGTGGCCTGGGTTCCCACTTCAAGGAAGAACACTGAGGTGCCCCAGTGTTCCCAGTCCCCCTCGAACACAGGCATTGGCCTGAGCCACCTATGCGGGGACCCTGAACACTGACCAGGGCGCTCTTATACAGTGGGTACCCCAAGGGCTCCCCTTACCCAAGACTGACTGGAGGGGCTGACTGAGGAAATAGATCTGCTCTTTTAGTTTATGGTACATTTGGAACTTCAGTACATATTCTTTTCATAATAAAATACAGCTAATAATTGCTGGCTTTAAAAAATACTGAATGTTAAAACTTAAAAAAAAATCATGACGTCCCATATACCTGTTAGTGGACAAATGGGTAAAGAAAATGTGGCATTTATGCTCAGTGGCATACTACTCAGCCATGAAGAGGGAAGCCTGAGTCGACCGTAGGAAAATGGGTACAGCTAGAGACCCCCCCACTAAGTGAAGTAGACACACAAACCTAAGTGTCACATAATTTCTCTTATATCAGAAACCCAAAATATAAACTATACAACCAAGTCAACAATAGTAAGAAACAGGGAAACAGATCTTTGGTAAAAAGGGAGGAAACCAAGAGCGGGAGGGAAGAAGGAGGGAAGGAAAACAGAATCAAGACGTGCTAGGCACACGTACCAACTCCCCCTGAGGAACGTAATCAGAGCGTACTGCAAATACGCACTAAAAACAAACCCGAGGAACTTCTCCAAAGCCAGCTAGCATCCACTCTGCAGGCTCTGACTAACCATGCCCAGGCACCCCAAGAGTATCTCCCGGGTCCCCTGAACCCTGGGGCCTGAAACACGGACCAGAGGCCCTGTCCCGCACCCCAGGGCAGTTACCTGGCGGGATAGGCCTCGGAAGACACCGCAGGTGAGGTTGATCATGTTGACCGAGCCCGACACCTTGGCATACATGTCCTTGATGCCAATGAGCCGGCAGATGGTGATGATGGCCCGGTGGCAGCGCAGGCCGTAACCTAGGGAAGAGGCAAGGCTAAGGCGAGGCGGCCACTCACTGCTGGCGTCCAGAAGGCTCCAGCCCTGGATCTGGGCGAGGGCATCTGAGCTCCGCCACTGCCCCCTGGAGGACCCTGAAGGACTTAGTGAGCTTCCACGATGGCCCTCACTTCCGCAGAGTGCCGTGAGGGTAAATGGGTTAGCTGCGCACATCTCTTAACACGGGGGCCAAAGCCCAGGCTGCTGTGAGGCCACCAGGTATCTGAAAATCCCTGACACCCACACCCATGCTAGGGCTCCAGGGACACATCTACCCCGCCCTCCTTGAGTGCCCAGCTGCCCCGAGCACAGAGGCCCATGGTCCCCTAATCCAGAACCCTCCTGCAGGCTTCAATGACACCCTCCTGGCCGCTGGCCAAGCCCACTCCCCTGCTCCCAGGCCTCCGAGTCTGGAACCATTCCCCTCTGGCCATCTGCTCTCCTGTCGTCCTTTCCACAGAGCTTTATTTGCACCACTGTTCCCTGAATGACAACGAAATGGAAATGGAAGACTCTGCAGCCTGCAAAGCTTCCAGGGCCAAACCCTGCGGTTCACTGGCATACATGCCGTCCTCGCACTGGCTCTTCCCAGCAGGGACTCAGTGCTCGAGGCCCCTGTTCTGCCGGGCGACATCCTTCACCTCCCACCAGTGGAGCAAGGCTGCGCTCCCACTGCTCCGACCACACTGCTGTAGTGGCGCTTTGCCAACGCCCTTCAGATGCTCCCCGATGCCCCTTACCCAAGGAGTCCCCTCAGTGGTACACAGCTCCTGGAAAGCTGGGATAGTTCATTCACTACCAGGTCCCCACAGGTCCGGGCCTGGGCGGAGCACGTGGCGGTAAGGGAAAGCACAGACCTGCTAATCTGCCAGGCACAGAGCCGGGCACACGCCAGCTGAAGACGACCTCTGGACAGTGAGTGTCGCTGCCTGGCTGGCTCCTGACCATTCATGGGGACCTAGCACCTGTGTGTCCAAACTGCCCCTACTTCAGAGACAAAGTGACTACGGGTTCCTCAGCTGTGCTGGGTCCGGCTGAGTTGGGACATCAGCGGGAGCTGTAAGACCGGGCAGGACGCACTTCTTGTCCTTCTGCGGAGAATTGCTCACGCATGGCCTTGTGTGTCACCCATCACGTACAGGTGTACACACTCACAAGGGCACCACAGGGAGCAGGAGGCAGACTCTAGAAGGAGCTGCAGGCTGACTCTTGCTCTGCCCCACGCTGGACAACTCGGGCAGGGTCCTCCCTCCCCACTGCCTGCCTGGCAGAGCTCCTGATGAAACCAAGGGAGGCATGTGCTGGACCCAGCCAGGGCCATGGCAGACGTTCCATGACCAACAGCCATTGCTTCTCACACACACACACACACACACACACACACACACACACGCCTCTCTGTCACAGCAGTCACAGGCCTGCAGTGATCACCTGACTGTACTGTGCAAACTGCCAGGCAGGGACTGCGCCCAGACACAGTCGTGTAATAAAAGTTCAGTCAGGGCACGTGTGTGTTTCTGGGGGAAATCCCCTGCCACACTGGTGAAGAACCAAACACCGTCCTACAGTCTAGGGGCAAGTGTCCCAGGGGATCTCGTACTTCTGGGTTTTCCTCGGAAGATTTACATTACATGAAACTCTGCCACAGGCCAGCATACCTGGCATACACCTATAACCCCAGCACTTGGGAGGCTGAGGCAGGAGGCTCACTGAAAGTTCCAGGCCAACCTGGGCTACACAGTGAGTTCAAGGCCAACCTGGATAACATAGAGACCCTGTCTCAAAAAAAAAAAAAAAAACAAAAAACAAAAACCAAAGACTCTGCCATTCACACAACATGTACAAACGTCTTTCTGCTTTTCCTCAACCCAGTTTTCCCACCTGGCACCCCTTCTGGGAGACAGTACCATCCCTCACAGAAACAGAGTTCAGAAAAAGCCCATGAAGTACCACACTGTTTTAGCTTCAAAAACGAGATCTCTAGCCTTACTACACAGGTAATGCTTTAAACTACATAAAAACTAAATACAGCTTTGGTTAAAAGTCAAATGATTTAATTCAGTTAAAACTGTCAGAGGCTTGCTGTTGCTCCACAATGCTGGGGAGTGAACCTTTAAATTGTAGCAGTCTCTGAAAAAACAATTGGCTATAAAACGTGTCTAAACCTACACTGCCCAGCAAAAATGATATAAATTCAAGACGGAAGTCATATATGTAATCTTAGACTTCTATAGCGTATTTTTAAGTTTCTAAAAATAAAATTATTTTAGCATTAAGCCACCATGTCCGAACATTATCATTTCAAAATGTATCACCTACAGGAACACCAGGGAGTTCGTTCCCATTCTTCGCTCCAGATCAACTCTGAGTCTGGCGGGCACCTGGCACGCAGATCTTGAGGGCCACGTTTCTGGTGTTGAGTTGCCCCACCAGCTGCCAATTACTGTAGCACAGAAGAGCACGGCTCCAACCTCGATGCCTCAACACTCACTCAACACTGTCTACTAACAAAAATAAACCGGCTTTGCCAGGCTTTTGAATGATCAAGTACAGCTTTAAAGCAGAAGGAAAGTGCTAGCATGCTAACACAACTGGCACTGGCATTAACATTTCTCCCTCGATTTATTTCCATGAGCTCGAGCAGAGAGCTGTTAGTGGCCCTGAGATGAATTTTAAACGTTTAGCCTCTCTGATCCAAGTTTTTTTATGTTTATGTAATTCAAGGTCCATGAACTCATGTTTTACTGTAGAACTACAGCAGAAACGTGAATCTGAATGTTTAAGACTCCTACACCCAGAGACCCCTGGTGTGAGCAGCTCTGTCCACCTGCTCACCCCTGCCCAGGAAGGGCCGTGGGGCTTCCATCAGCAGAGATCATGGCCTGTGCCCGACATGTGTCGTGAGGGGGGAGGGTGTGCCAAGCCTGCTCACCAGGCACAGGCCTCCGAGTTCCAACTCAGGGACCCAAAAGATCCCTGCAGAAAATATTCAAGTGGTAGTGAGGGGAACCAAATGCACTGTAAAAACAGCAACTTTGGGGAGTGGAGAGTGCTGGGAATCGAACTCAGGACCTTGTGGTTGCCAGGCAGGCGCTGTGCAACTGAGCCATACCCTTAGCCAAAAATGGTAGCTTCTAGCAGCGTCTAACAGCAAGGAGCCTCCCGAGGAACTGTTCTCCACTCGGCTGCCTTCCCACTCTTCCCGCCTGCCTGGCCGGGTGCTGTTCAAGAGCCCCCAAGAGCCTCAGCCTCACTAAGCCTCACACAGATCTTTCCACGCCGCTGCTGCCCGACAGGCTCAAGAAAAGGGGAGTGAAACGAGGGAGGACAGGAATGCTGGCGTTTCCTGCTTTCCCTACAACTAAAATAAGCAGTTTCTTAGTTACCTCTGGGCTGTTTCTTCATCTTGATGTGCGTCCTTTTATATCTTAAGGAAATGTCATGGAAAACTGGAGAATAAAGACATAAACACAACCAGGATTAGGACTGTAGCTTTGAGGTCCCTTGAAATAAGATAAGAGCGCCACATACCTCCCTGGACAGTCACCAGGCAGGGGCCATGATGCCCACTGGGACCTCGCTCGTGTTACACACCTGCCCGGGGGACTAAGTCTGTTCCCGCCTCTTGTGTGTTTGTCAGGACACAGTAACAGAGGTACACACTGATGCCCCCAGGGACCCGCCACACGCGCTGCGAATTCCAGGAGCAAAGCAATACTCACTTGTGTGGCCCTCGTATCGTTCTATATAATGCAAATAGTGAATCGCCTTGTTCTTTGCCTAAAGAAAGGACGCAAATATCTTCCTAGATCTCTGTGGGTTTCACACACGTTCTATAAAATATCTTATTATGAAACAGTTCACCTATGCAAACCCTTTTGCACAGACTTCTAAAAGATAAGGACTTTCAAAAAACAACCCCAGCAGCACCATCGCACTTAGTTGAGCAATTCCTTGGCAGAACATTCGGTCAGTATTCAAACTTCCGCAGCTGCCTCCTACTTCTGGGAAGCAACTATAAGCCTGGCAAAAGCGCTGCAAAGAATGGAGATACTCCTGGAAAGGCTTTTTCGTTTTTTTTATTTTTGGCGGTGAAGCCAGGACCTTGGCACGGAGTTGCATGCCCAGCCCTTTTTTTATTTTGAGACAGGGTCTTGCTAAATTGCTAAATTACTCAAGCTGGTCTTAAACTTCTCATCTTTTTATAAGATAAGCAACTTTTACAGGATATGAGGAAGTTCTGGGACAAATTACTATTTCATGGTGCCCTCACTATCGTTCATTATGTGTTAGCAAAGAAAAAAATGATACATACTTTCCTGAACGCGTCCATCCGGTCAATGGCTTTCCCAATGGCAAAACCTTTAGAAGAAAAAACAGAACCATGACAGGGTCAGTCACTGGAACATTTCTTGCCCTTGACATACCGCCCGACTGAGCTCCCCACATCTTCCAGAACCACACCTTTCACACCCACAGAAACCTGCTGTCCACACCCAGCGACCCACGCAAGGCTACAGATCTGCTCATCTGTTGTGAAGCATTCCAGAAATTCTACATTTGGACAGATTTGTAGACTTCAAGGTGAGCCGCATAACACTGCAGTTCATAAATCGCTTACGACATGAAATGCGCTTAATTTTTAAAAATTAACCAATGCAGGCCTGTAATCCCAGCACTAGGGCGACTGTGGCAGGAGGATCGCCGCCAGCCTGGACTACAAAGTGACTTCAAATCCGGCCCAGACTGCAGAGAGAGACTCTGTCTCAAAAAAAAACTATGCTTTAAATTAATATAGCGAAGTTTGTTTTGGGGGGTGCTTTTGGAAATGAGATTAAAATAATCAGAAGTCATGGGAGAAAAAACATTGCTATAGAGTAAAAACATGATTTTAATTAATCAAAACATGAAATCAATGGCTCTTCAGTTTGTAAATGCTTCACCCCATGGAAACTCAAGCCAACAGATATTTCATGTATCAGACTGAAAAACAGTGAATTCTGATCTCCAAGTACCAGGGTAAGGATATGCTGTATACAGCAATAGAAACCACCAACAGAGTAAAGACACCACCCACGGTTGGGAGAGAATGTTTGCCAATGTACGTCAAACAAAGAATTACTATCGAAAACATAAAAAGATCTAAAAAAAAAAAATCAGTCCTCCCAGATTTAAAGACACAATCCAAAAATGGGCATCTGGGGCTGGGGATTTAGCTCAGCGACATAAGCGCCTGCCTTACAAGCAGGCAGTCGTGAGTTCGATCCCCGGTACCGATAAAAAGGAAAAAAAGACCAAAAAAAAAAAAAAGGGCGTCTGACACAAATAACTGAAGAAATGCAAACAGCAAATAACATGTGAAAAATGTTCAATATTCTGGTCGTTTGAGAGATGCAAATTAAAACAACACTGAGATTCCACCTCACTCCAGCAAGAATACTATTATCAAAGAGTCAAGGGGCTGTGGAGAAAAAGGAGTCCTCCACTGTTGCTGGGAGTGTAGGCTGATCCAGCCACTGTGGAAATCAGTGTGCAGATTCCTCAAAAAGCTAGGATTACAGGTCCCAAATTTGATCCAGCTATCCCCCTTCTGAGTATCTTCCCAAAAGAATTAAAAACATCATACCACAGCGATATATGTGCACCCATGGTTTTTTTTTTTTTTTTTCTTTTTTGGTCCTTTTCCTTTTTATCAGTACCGGGGATCGAACTTATGACTGCCTGCTTGCAAGGCATGCGCTTATGCCGCTGAGCTAAATCCCCAGCCCCTGTGCACCCATGTTTACAGAAGCACAATTTGTAATAGCCAGATCTTGGAAACAACCTAAATGCCCATCCACTGAGAAATGAATAAAAAACAAGCAATATTTTTATATAATGGAGTACTGCTAAGGCCATAAAGCAGAACAAACTCGAGACTTTCCTAGGTAAATGGATGCAACTTGAGACCACACTCATAAGTGAAATAAATCAGACTCACATGTGTAAACATTGTGTTATCTCCTTAGTGTGAGAAGCTGAAACAATGTATATGTATATATGTATATAGAAAATAATTAAGATAGTTATAGTACTGATTTCTCTTAGTTTGCTGAAGAGAAAGGTTTGCACTGGTGTTGTTCGGACAATGGAATGCAGATGTCTTGTGCTCTGGGTGAATGATCTGGGTGAAATTTCTGGGGATGACAGTGCACAATGTGTGTGCCAGTGTTGCCCCAATGGACACATTCTGAAATTTTGTTTTTTTTCTTTGTTTTCTAAAATTTTTTTCCTTAAAAGTAAAATGCATTTGGGGGAAAAAAAAATAAAGGATGTGGTGTATAAAAGACATAAATTAATGTCGTCTCTAGGAGGGAAACCTGGAAATACTTATTGATATTTAAAAGCACTGGACAGCAATTTCACTGCATGAATTTTTCCCTACTGCTCCACTTACAAAAGTGTACAAGAAATTCGTGGGTTTTTTGGTTTTTTTAAATAAATGGCAAAAATCTGGACATAACATAAATATTCAGCAATAGAGAAAAGATTACAAAAACTGTGTCACTCCGTATAAACAGAACACAGGGGAGCTAGTGCACAGAGCGAGGGGACCTGCTGAGCTGACATGCGGTCTCTGGGTGTAACACCAAGAAAAGCACATGCAGAAGTTAACCACTGCGCTATGACCTCTGAGCTTTCAAAACAAAAAACAAAGATACACATAAAAACAGGAATACAAAATTTCTCACAAGATAGTTTTGAATTAAAAGGAACTATTAAGTATGATTTTAAGTTTTGGGGACAGTCTTACCATATTACCCAGGCTGGGCTTAAACTCGAAATCCTCCTGCTTCAGCCTCCCAGAGTGCTGGCATTAGACATGCCAGACTTTCTTTTTTTTTTTGGTACTGGGGATGGAACTCACAACCTCACACCTGCCAGGCAGGCGCTATGCCACTGAGCTAAATCCCCAGCTCCATACCAGACTTGTAAACATGGTACCTACAGCAACATTCCATCCACGTACACTATTCCTGCTTCAGTCAGCACGGCTTAACTGTTCTTCCCTTCAGTGTGCACGCATCATTTCAAACACAGCGCTCACAGAATTTTTACGACACAGTATAAAGAAGAAAATTTACACGACTAGCAAACCTGCCAACTGCAATAAACATTTAACCTTTCCAGAGTACAGTCTTTGACTCTTTTAAAAGCTGAGATTACAGTACACAGTCTTACTTTCTTTTAGCATTACTGCACAGTAACTTTTGGTGGCTCTTTAACGACTGCAGACTGTAACCCTGCAGCACAGTACTGTGGAACTATGGCTGCATCGCGTATTTCCCCTCCAGCTTTTCACTAGTAATGTAACAGTGTCTTAGGCCTTTTACAATATCTGCTGTGCTCAGAGGAAAACACAGATGGCGTAGAGTCAGTCTTACTTTTCTCTCTAATGGGTTTACAAGCGGCAGGGTTTGTGGGCCTGAGTCGGTAACTAATTTAATCAGTGAAAAAGCCAGGCCAGGGCAGGGACCCACGGCATGCAGAGGCCCAGGCCACCACTGCTGGCACCATGTGCAGTGTCACACCCCACTCACCTGCAGCACCGTTTCCATTCCCCACGGCGACCAGGACGCGGGTCGATTTCTTTCTTCCCTCTTTTGCTGTCATATTGAAAACATTTCTTACCTAAAAGACACGATGAGTCATCAAGAAGAGGCTGAAAGGTTCTGCAAGGTTCAGAAGGTTCTGGAAGGCCAGGGACATAGCTCAGAGGCACAGCACCTGCCTGGCAAGTGCAAGGTCCTGAGTTCGATTCCCAGTACCAAAAAAAAAAAAGGTTCTGGAACAAGAGACTGGCAGGACCTCCCAACTCACTCAGGTGGCCACATTGTCCTCTTACTGCACTGACAAAAGTGATCAGTGCTCCCCACACAAACTTCCCTCTGGGCTGATTCTGCAGGAACAAAATGGAAGTAAGACTTTCTCTTCCACTTTCACAGGGTTACAGAAGAGTCCACTGAGGGAACCCATAAAGGAATTTGAAGTGGTACAGCTCTATACACAGGAAAGAAAAAAGTGTTAGACTAAGCTTTAAAACAGTTTATCACTGATGATAAACCTTATGTCACCACCAGACACACCAAAATATCCTAAAAATAATGAAATACAGCACAGAAATAATAGCACAGGCTTGGAGCTCAACATTAAGGAGGACTGAGAATAAAAAATTTAGAAACACCTGCCTATTATGAATATAGGAAAATAAGCACTGTTTCAGCCCCTCTTAAAGGCCAGGCACCGTGAAGCTGTTAGATAAACTGCCTGCATGGTAGCGGACTCCCTGGCTCGTGGTGACCCCTTTCCTAGAATGGAATTAAGGAAAGGAGAGGCTGAGTCCACTGTTGTGGACGGTCTTACAGGAAACCACACACGTACATACACAAGAATTGTACAAAGGGAGTAACTTTTAAAGGCTAGAATCTGGGCCACCAATATAAATGTCATTTTAAATTCCATAATGTAACAGTGAAAAAAGAATATAACCAGAGGTGATATCACAACTCAGTAACCGATCATTCTAGTACGAGTCTAAACACAGACTAAGTACGCAGTCCAGCTAACAGAACGATGACTATTCGAGGGAAAGCTCTGGAAAGAGTGCCTGATGTTTTCCTGACTAGGCTTTGGTGCCCAGAGTCGTTTCCCCGTCACAGCTGGACACTCACCTTAGCGCCCAGCCTTCAGGCCACTCCTCCACCAATCCCTGCTCCCTGAATTGAGCGCTAGACACAACTGGGTCATAGCTCAGGGACACGAGCTTACAGACGGAGGAAATTTAAACTCTGCTGTTAACCATACCACTCAGGTTGCCCTGACAATGTGGCAGCCCCGTAAAAGGGCCGGGGCTAGGCCAGCCAGTGTCAAGAAGTGGAAATGAAAGTTTATTTCCTTACCGAAGTCAGCTCAGTGTCATAAATCACCAAGTATTTAAGGATTTTCCTCCTGGCTCCTCCTATCCCAGCCCCATCCACCCAACCTTTGCAAGGCACCACCAGGACCTAATCTGACGCACTTACCTCTAGTATCCTGGTATCAAAATCCTCGTATGTTTCTACAAGAAGAAAAGAAACAAGCGCTCTATAGATGAGTCTATCTCATTCATGGACAAAGCATTTTCAACACCGGTGTCATAACAGACTTTTTTTGTTGGTTTTTTCTTTTTCTTTTTGAGACAGGGTTTCACTGTGCAGTTCAGGCTGGCCTTGAGCTTACTTTGTAGCTCAGGCTGGTCTTAACTCCCAACGATCCTCCTGCATCAGCCTCCCCAGTGCTAGGATCACAGGCATGCATCATCACACCCAGCTGGTAACACACTTTTAAATGAGAACCTCAGGTTTTCTGTGCCACTCCCCAGGCTGTGTCCCATTCCCAGCATCTGCAGAGTAGTGCCCGACACTGAGCTCACACACTGGGCCACTCATCGCCCGCCTGGGTCCACGTCCCTCTCCAGCTCTCTCCCAGGACAACGGTCCTGTAGTGCTCCCACTCCTGCAGACCCTCAGCCACTTTTTTCTTCTCTGCCTTTGTGGCCTCTTCATCTTGAGCAAGACAATAGAGTCTACCATGTCAACCAAATGTCTTCGACTCCTGCATCCTTTTTTCTCCCCTTCCCCAGGCCAGAATCAAGGCGCTGCTGGGGAGACGTCAAAGCACAGCCAAGGGCGACAGTCCTGTCCCCTGCCAGCCTCTCCTGTTCTTTTGGTTCCTCTCTGTACACAGCATCAACCATTTCAATTACGCTTTCTGGTCTTCCATTAAAAACAACAAACTTTCTACTATAGGAAATTGCAACTATACAAAAGTAAGACAGCAAAACAAAAGCATATGCACCCAGTAGTCTGCTTGGACTCACGGCCAATCACTGCCCCCTAAAGCTCAGCTCCCAGTCGGCAAGGCAATCCCGAGCCCTCAGCGTGGACCGCCTACCACAGCCTGTGTGTGACTCTAGCTTGCCGCGTTTTTGTGAGGATGACACCATCGGGCTTGCTGGCTTCTGTTACTGCAACCATGTTCACAGGTCACACGGCTCCCTGGGTCCCTCTAGGGCCATCCACGTGTGGGAAACTCAGCACCCACACTCACACCCACGGCACGCACCACCACATCATGCGCGAAGTTACCCAAAGACGCTCAAGGCAATGCAAACAGGCAGGTGAATAAAACACGTCCTCTCTCAGTCACCAAAGCAAGCACGCGCAGGCTCTGCTACCTCCATTGGGGCCGGGGTCGGGGGGCCCCAGGCTGACGCCGCCCCAGGTGTTGCCGCTCCAGCCGCGTTCCCGCTTCACTTTGACCTTCCTCCTCCGCTCCCACTCCTCCCGCTGCTGCAGCATGTCCGCCTCCACCTTCTGCTGCTCCTCCCTGCTTCTCTGGGCGATGGTCTGCATGGCTCCATTTTTCATAAGAGGGGCATTCAGGCCGGGCCACAGGAAACCAGAGCGCCCTGAAGGTTCACAAACAGAAACGAGAATTTTAAACAGCACTCATGCCCAGGTGTTAAAAGGCCACGCTGTGTGTGCACAGATTACACGGCACTGTTGGGGAAGCTTAAACGGATAGGACCACCTGGCGGTCACCCAGCACCATCAAAGTTTCAAATAAACAACAAGCTGGTAATTCCACCTTCCAGCATCACGTCCTAGAGAAGCACACACACACAGGTTCAAGGCACTCGTGGGCCTGGACAAGAATGTCCCTGAAACATTATCTGTGAAGGCAAAAGTTGTTCAGCAGGGTGGAGCAAGTCTGTAATCCCAGCACTCAGGAGGCTGAAGCAGGAGGATTGCCCCAAATTCCAGGCCAGCCTGGGTCTCATGGTGAGTTCAAGGCCAACCCAAACCATATAGCAAGACCCACCAAAAAAAACAAAAAACCGAGTAAATAAATAAAACCATAACCCATATTGCATTTCATGGAAAATGCTTTAATGTTTCTAGCTTAAAATACCCGTAAGATCTGAAGGAAAATACTTGAGCACTTCGGTTGTTTTTGTAACTTTACCTTCACCAATAATCTGACCCCTGTTCAAGTCTTTTCTTCTCTTTTTCTTAGTTCTCTTGCCTCTTCCTTTTCTTGCTCCAGCACCAGACTCTGCTAATGCACCTTTCCACAGCTGATCAGCCGTCACTGTAACGAAACGTGGCTTTTTTGAAATGCTGTATTTTTTTAAGCAATGACCTGCGGTCTCTCCTAGTGAATAAAGAAGGCCATAAGGACCAGCTTCGCTGGTATCACTGGGGTAAAGAAAGCAAAACCAAAGCATTCTCTACATGTCACATGGTCACACCTGGAGAGCTCAAGAGGGCCAATCTTACTACTTTTTCCAAAATATCCTAGTTACCTACCAGTGGTTGTTTCCTTGTTTCTCTGCCTACGTAACAACGGATAGTAACTGTCCTTCCTAAATACAGGCTTCTTGCTCAAGCAAGAATCAACTGTTCAGCTGAGCACGGTGATGCACACCTGTAATCCCAGCACTTGGGAGGCTGAGGCAGGAGGACTGCTATGAATTTGAGGCCAGTCTGGGCTACAAAGTGAGTTCAAGGCTAGCCAGAGCTACATAGCAAAACCTTATCTCAAAAAAAAGAAAAAAAGAGAAAGGAAAAAAGTATCAACACTTCCAAGTCAATCTAAACCCATTAATCTAAAGAACTTAGATGGTTTGTTCTGCTATTCTGTCAATGCCCTAAGTATCTCTGACCTGCATATAAGACTCTCAAATTCACCTTTTAGTCCAGTCTAGCTGAAACATAAGAGGAGGAGCATTAAACACACCTGACAATTAACCTTCAAGAGTGCATGTGCGCATGGAGTTGAGTCTTTAATCTATGCGTGGTGCCTTTAGTCTATGTACGTTCTTGCAGGCTGACTTATTTCCATTTGTGAATTTCTAGGACCCCAAATTTTGCTTCCATTATACACTTCTGTCAATATTTTCCCCTTTGTTCATGTAGAATATCTAAATTCTTCTCTTTCAATCACTACTGGATTTTATTGACAAAGCTATTGTTATTTATTAGATTTAAATGCTGCCTTCCCAAAGACTTGGAGCTTTTCATAGTATCTCCCAACTATCTCATGACCAGGTTTTATTATCAACTTGTTTCATAAAGAATCAGAGCTGATGTAGAGGTACATGCCTGTAATCTCAGCTACTCGGGAGGCTGCAGCAGGAAGACTGCAAATTCAAGGTCAGCACGGGTAACTTTGCAACACCTTGTCTCAAAATAGAAAGGGTTGGGAGGGCCTGGGGATTTAGCTCAGCAGTGCAGCACCCTGGATTTGATCCCCAGTACTGAAAAAACAAAAATGAAACAAAAAAAACAGAGCTGTATAAATACTATACTAGTCAAAATTCTAAGATAGACAGATGGACAGATTGATAGGTCATATTCGAGAAGACAGCTGAGTACCTTCATTCTCCTTTACGAATCCTTGGGTTTAGAATTTCTACCCGCTCCCTCCCTGAAGGGCCCTAACTGATACCCCAGGTAAGTAACAGAAACAGAAAACATTTTGGATTCCGCTATGTTTTAATGCTTTACATCTACATGGGATCACATTTTCAAAACTTTCACATAGAATGCAGCTAATCTTCATGGAGAAGCTGGAAAACGTGAGACTTCACATTACAGGCTGCTGTGTGTATACTGGATGGCGGCTGCGATTCAACACAAGATAAAGATCAAACTTTAGACCAACGCTAATTAACATCAAAGGACCACAGGCTCAAAATAAAGTGCATGGGCTGGGGATTTGCTCAGTGGCGTAAGTGGCTGCCTGGCAAATGCAAGGTCAGGAGTTCAATCCCTGGTACCGAAAATAAAAGTGCAAACCTGAAATAAACTCTTACTAAAAAAAATGACTGTTTCCCCCTCACTCTTTAAAAATGATGGCACTGATATGCCAGGGGCTATGTGCACATCTGTGATCTCAGCACTTAGCGGGCTGAGGCCCTATGATCCCAGTACTCAGAAGGCTGAGGCAGGAGGATCACTGCAGGTCCAAGACCACCTGAGGCTACAAGTGAGATCAAGGTCAGCCTGAACAGCATAAAAAGATTTTTTAAAAACCCATTCTGCTAAATCAGAATAGTTTTTCCTTATATGTGTGTACATATCTGACTTTATTATGTTTGTGTTAAATAAAATTAAAATTATATCACGCATAATTGTTTACTTGTTACACTCTAACCCTTTCCCTAGTTCTGAAATACTATTCATGAACATGACTTTTTTAGTGAAAAGTTAGCGTAAGTAAGTCCACATTGAATTAAATAAATTTACTTCTGTTCCAACTCTTTCTGTCATTCCCTAGAAGAGCAATTAGGTTAAGATACACATCTGTTAACTATCATAGCTATACAAAATAAAATCCATGTTTTACATGTATACACATAAAACCCACTGCAGTGCCCGACTTGATATACTGTACTGGGCCTCTCTTGTCTCTGTCTCTGTCTCTGTCTCTGCAGTGCAGGAGGTGGAACCCAAGACCCCACAGGTGCTAAGCAATCGCCCTGCTGCTAGCCTCACCCCCAGAACCTGAGTCCTCTACTATCATACTAGGAAACACTGCTCACTAATTTGGATCGAAGGACTTTAAACAGTAGGCTCTTTGGCACAGCGTAGGCTTCACAAGGAAAATAACATGATTTGAAAAACCGTGGCTTTATTTTTCTTGGAGATTTAGAAAACTGAAGACTATTTCAAACCTTGCTAGTTTCACCAGCGCCTGCCCCACTGGAGTGACGCTCAATGCAACTTGGGAGTAAATAACCCATAAGGTCCGAGTCCCCCACAGAGGACCAGGGGGCCCGGCCCAACAGACAGCAGGGGCAGACCTGGGACAAGACCTCAGTATTGGGCACTGCGGTAGCAAGGGTCACCCCAAGCACAGCAAGAGTTAAGAGAAAGGCTTCCTTATAACAGGGAGAAGGCAACTAAGAGCACAAACTCCAAGCCCATGACTCTGATCTATTGCTCAAAGTACAAAGTGAACTCATTACAGGGGCAGGCCTCTCTGGCCACTCAGGAAGAGACTAAAACCCCAACTCCACCCGCCTCTTCGTTCTCCACACCTAAGCGCACAGGATCCTCTGCCAAGAGACCTGGGGCCGCCTGGCACCCCTGCTCCTGCCGGCTTGCTGCAAAAGCGATCGTCAAACTGAAACAAGCAGCACCCATGCAACGAGATGCTCTGCAGTCACAGCGCTGTCTGCGAACGGTGCACGGACACGTCCCAGTGACACTGTGCGAGGGGCAGCACCCCTAGGCTGGCGCAGGTGTGACACGGGGTCTGATGGTGTATTTTCTGGGCTTTTTTAACCAATTAGTTTTAATTTATTTTAATATACAAGTAGATATTAATAAGAAAATATTAAAAACACTCTTCGGACTTCTATGAAAAAATAAAATTTCATAACAAAATAGAAAACAACAATGGTTTACATACTATGCATCACGACCTTAAAAGAATGGGCCAAAATGGTACTCATAATTCAAGTCATAAACAAACAACAAAAGAAATCTCTCGGCCAAGTGTGGTGTACACACCTGTAATCCCAGCCCTTGGGAGGCTGAGACAGGAGGATCGCTGCGAGTTCGAGACCAGCCTGGGCTACAAAGAGAGCTCAAGGCCAGCCTGAACTGCATAGCGAGACCCTGTCTCAAAAAGACAAAAAAAAAAAGAGCAGAAAACTTAAGGTACAAAAGCATCTTTTGTTCTCCTGTCACATGGAGCAAGATGTCTGTGGCCATTCTACGTACATTTAGTGAAGAAACTGTAGGGTCTACACTGCTGGCCCAGCAGGCTGCTGGGAGAAGAAACACAGCACTGTGTCCGGAGCAGGCGGCTCAGGCAGGTGAAATGATGATCGTCCCCAGTGTTCCATGGTGACAAAGCGCCTGCAGGCAGATGAAATAAAACTCGGAGTTAGGGCTCCGTGGCTGTGGTGAAACACTGTCAGTCAGCACCCAGACAGCACTACTGTAAAAGTAAGACACTAAAATCCTGACCTGCTAAGAATTATATTTTGATGAAGAAATACAAATGGCAAATACACATATGAAAAATGTTCAACATCACTGATACATCACTGATCATTCAAGAAATGCAAATTAAAACAATACTGAGATTCTACCTCATCTACCAAGAATGGCTATCATGAAGAAATCAGCCAGTAACAAATGCTGGAGAGGCTGTGGGGAAAAAGGAGCCTTGCTCCACTGTTGGTGGGAGTGTAGACTGGTGCAACCACTGTGGAAATCAGTGTGAAAATTCCTCAGAAAACTAGGTTTAAAGGTCCCATTCAATCCAGCTATCTCCCTCCTGGGTATTTTCCCAGAAGAACTGAAAACATCATACCACAGGGACATATGTACACCCATGTTTATAGCAGCACATCTTGTAACAGCCAAACTTTGGAAGCAACCCAAATGCCCATCAACTGTGGAATGGATAAAAAAGATGTGGTCTTTTTCTACAATGGAGTACTACTCAGCTATAAAGAAGGATAAACTCAAGACTTTTATAGATAAACTGATGCAACTTGAGACCACATTCATAAGTGAAACAAATCAAACTCACATGTGTACATATCCTAAACAGGATCCAAAATATACAATAAAAAAATATATATATATACACAATAGATATTGTGAAAGTGAAAGGGGAAGACAACTGGGATGAGGGAAAGCAGAAAACAAGATGAGATAGATATATATACACACATATATACGTCTATAATGATAATTATACTACTAATCTCTGTTAGTTCATCAAAAAGAATAGTTTGTGCTTTCTCATCGTTTAATCAGTTTTTCATACCTCTATCTTATAATCTGAGCAACTACTTTGAAGATAACAATACGCAATATATTAACCATTGATAATTTCCTATTACGTTGTCTTGAAATTCTATATCATCGTTGTCTTTTTCATTTTAAAATAAAAAATTTTTTTTAAATCGTATTTTGAGGACAGTCTGTCTTAAAAAACAAGTAAGACACAATAAACGTGAAACCGGGTGTGCTGGCATACACCTATAATCCCACCACTCAGGAAGCTGAGGCAAGAGGATCATTGCAAGTTCCAGACCAGCCTGGGCTACAAAGTGAGCTCAAGGCCAGTCTGAACTTCATAGTGAGACCCTGTCTCAAAAAGACAGAAAAAAAGAGGGACTGTTTTGATTTAGAACTCAAATGTCTCCCTAGTCAGAGAAGCTATAGTTCTGTCATGCAATACATGCAGCCACCTAAAGAAGCAGATCCAGCCAGGCATGACAGCACACATCTGTACACCCAGCCCTCCAGGAGGCTGAGGCAGGAGGATCCTAAGTTTGAGGCCAGACTGGGAAACTTAGTGAGACCCAGCCTCAAAATAAAAAGTAAAATGAGTAGGGATACGGCTCAATGCAAAGGCCCTGGGTTCAATTCCCAGTGCTGCAAAAAAAAGGTTAAACCTATACACAAATTTAGTGCCTTTTCCCTCTTGACGATGCATTTATCATGTACTGTGGCTGGCTGGAACCCTAGCATTTTGAGGTGTGATGACAGAACTAGGACAACTTGCATTCTTCCTTCACAATTTCAGGAAAGAAGAGGAGGGGAAGCAGCCTGGTTCTGTACACACCGGGTTTCTGGGAGGCTTCACCCAAACCAAACCAAGCTCAGCACTCTACGTGGGGCAAACGGCGCCCTCTGCTGTATGCAGCTGGTAATGCACTGACTTGGACGACTGCAAACCACACTGGTTAGGATACGGAGATGCCAGTGCCTAGAGCATCCCACCCTTTACATTTACAAGAGCGGGAAGGCTGAATGCGTGAATACATTTTACAGCTTAACTCCAGAAATTCGATATATGCAAGAAACTAAGGTACAATCGTTTCCCCAGAAAAGAAAAGAAAACAGCAGCTGGGCTATGGCGGCACACACCTGTAACCCCAGAACCCGGGAGGCAGGGGCAGGAGGACTGCCGCGAATTCAAGTCGAGCCTGCACTACAAGAGCTGAAGCCCTGTCTCAAAAAGAAAAACAAGGGGCTGGGGGATTTAGCTCAGCGGAAGCAGGCGGTCGTGAGTTCAATTCCCAGTACTGATGATAAAAAAAAAAGAAAAGAAATGAAAAAGAAACAAAAGATACAAAAAGAAAATAGGTGCATTTAAGGTTGCTTTTCTCTACTTATTCGGATTTCTTTTTCATCTATCATTTTTTAAGATGTTTTAAGACAGCCTCATCCAGCTGAGCCCATGGGAGGTGGCATCAGGAGAGGAGGAAGAGGACTGCAGGAAGCAAGAAAAAGTGCGTGCCCTTCTGAGCCCTGCATCAGGGAGACCCCGGGGGCTGCAGGAGGAGAGGCAGGAGTACAGCAGCCCTAGAGAGAAAGGGGCTCCATGGGTGCTGGGCTTGAAAAACAGAAAACCAAGCACACCAATGATCAGATACTGCAGTGATCTTAAGCAGAAAAGGAAAGAATCTGGTCAAGGAGAACAATGATATTCAACAGCTGCAGCGAGCTATGGAAATATCCCTTCTGCATCCAGACGCTGAAAAATAAAGGGTAACATCCTTCCTGCCTGTAGAGCATTGGATCCAACCTCCGCATTTCACAGACTAGGAAACTTCTGCCTGGGAGATCAGACTTGCTGGGCGTCACACAGCTGGTTGGGAGATGGGACCGGAAGCTCAGGTCCCAGCCCCGCCATCACTGGCTATGTGACCCTGAACAAGTCACTCAGCTTCTCCAGACTCCGTCAGCTCTGCAGCAGAACTGGTAGCTTCTTACAAAAGCTGGTGTGAGGACATGCAAGATAGTGTCTTTATGCCAAGTCCACAGTAACTACTCAACGCACAGCAGCCACTATTTTTAAAGCCTTGTACCGTGACAGTGGCAATCACAAAAAAATTGAAAACTATGTGACTCTGCAAGTCCATTATAAAGAATGAGCTTTGTGGGGGCTGGAGATTTTAGCTCAGCGGCATAAGCGCCTGCCTTGCAAGCAGGCAGTCTTGAGTTCGATCCCTGGTACCCATGAAAAGGAAAAACTCCAAAAAAAGAAAAAAAAAAAAAAAAAAAGAATGAGCTTTGTTCATTTACATTTTAAAAATTACAGAACTGCGGGGTGCGGGGGGTGCACACCTGTAATCCCAACACTGGGGAGGCTGAGGCAGGAGGATCACTGGGAGTTCAAGGCCAGTATGAACTCTCTCTCAAAGAAAAAAAAATGGTTACAGCAGCAACTTTACTACTGAATCTTAGGAGAAAGTCAGGGGCTCTCACCATTGCCGATCACCGTGGTCTTGGATGCCAAAACAGAAGCCGTTGGAAAGGCGCTTAGGGAAAGCTGCCTGGACCAAAAGTGACCTACAAATTAAAAATACCCAGATAAGTAAATAGTAAATAAAGACATACTGCTATGTAGAACTGAACAAAGTAAACAGTCGCCCCAGAATGTTAACCTTCATGGAATAAAGAACTGAGACAGGTGACCACGTGATTTCTGGGCTGCGTGATTCTTCCCAAGTGACATCACACCCCACTTTCCCCTCCCCATCACATCCAGCTGCAACTGAGCCTTGGTGTCTCCTGGAAAACCATCCACCCAGCCTGGCGAGGTGGCACACCCCTGTAATCCCAGCACTCCGGAGCCTGAGGCAGGAGGATCACTGCAAGTTCAAAGCCAGTCTGGGCTACACAGTGAGTTCAACACCATCCTGAGCTACACAGCGAGACTGTTTCAGGAAATGAAAAAGTGAGGTTGGGAATACAGCTCGGCGGCACAGCGCCTGCCTGGCAAGGGTGAGGCCCCAAGTTCAATTCCCGGTACCAAGAAAAACAAAAAAATCAAAACTCTCTGCTCTGGCCCTGCTGCCTGTCCGCCCATCACTTCAGGTCTCCCCATCCCCGTCAGAGAGAAATACCAGGCTCCTAGCGGGTCCCAAACCTCTCTAGGTCACCGTCTTTCTAAAAGGACAGACATAGCCACTCAATGCCCTGGCAGTTCCTTGGGCTCCCTGCTGCCGGCAGGACTAAGTGTGGCCCCTGTGCCTCCTCCCTGTCCCCTGCCCTGGGACACTTCTGTGTCCCCCCAGGTCCGCCCCGCCTGCGAATGCCTCAGCCCTCGGTGAAGCCTCCGTCCACTCCGGAGTCCCACAGCCCCAGGCCTTGACCGTCCAGGCCCCTGCAACCTGTCACCAGGTGTGGTGCTCCCGAACTGGCTCTGACAGCACCTATGGGCAAGGGGCTTTTTTAACGTTTTATTTTTCTGAGTGCCTGTCGGCAGCCGTGTGACTACACTGGTCCTGGAAGGTGGCACGTGCCCATAAGACATCTTCATTCTTCTCCCCCCTCTCTCGGGCCCCTTCCCATTTGGGGACGATCTCCATTTCCTACCATCTTTTATTTTGCTCTTTTTTTTTTTTTTTTAAATCCGTACCGGGGGTTGAACTCATGACCATGCGCTTGCAGGCGCTTACGCTGCTGAGCTAAATCCCCAGCCCCTTTTATTTTGCTCTTTACTTATGCGTTGGGTTTCTCATAGAAGAGAAACCATGTGACATTTAAGTTTGCCTGCCTGGCTGATCTCACCTAACACTGACAGGAAGGCAAACCCACTTTCATGACTCCAGTCTGTCCCTCTTTGTAGCACACAGTACTCCACGGGATATAAATACATTCATCCGTTGAGGGGCAAGTGATTTTTGACAAGGATGTCAAAACCATTCAGTGGGGAAACAATAGCAGCACACAAAAGAATAAAGTCAGAGGGCCAGAGAATTAGCTCAGGGGATCAGCACCTGCATGGCAACAGCAGGGTCCTGAGTTCATCCCTGATACCAAAAATAAATAAAAAAACAAAGAAAGAATAAAGTCCGAGCCTATTAACTCAAATGGACCTAACACTTAAAAGTAAGAACTAAAACTATAAAAATGTTACAAAGAAACACAGGGATAAATTCTCATGACCTTAGACTTGGTAATGGTTTGTGAATATGACATCAAAGCAGAAGTGACAAAAAAGAAAAAAAAAGACAAATCAAACTTCATCAAAATTTAAAACTTGGGTGTTTCAAGGCAAGAGATATCATACTGAGCACCTGTCTAGCATGCATGAGGTCCTGGAATTGATCCCCAGACCTGAAAAAAAAAAAATGTTTTTCAAAAAAAATATCAAGAAATGAACCAGAACTCCCGAGACCCGGCCATGGAGGGACTCAGGCAGCTTATTTACCCGTCCTCTTGGTAAGTGCCAGTGGCATGGCCCTGGAGGAGAACCATTACCTGTGAGCCTACTGCCACTCGGGCTGAAAATCAATCACCCTTTCCCTGCCCCCTCTCCCCATAGCTCCTGGGGATAGAAGTCTCAGCATCTCTTAGGAGGATGACCATATGCAGTATAGCAAATATGGGGGATTTCCTTCTATCTTCTGTTTGAAGGCATAGGTTGTTTTCACTATTTTGTTGTGTTTCTTTTGCTCTATTCAGTATTCTCAATTGGTTTTACAATGTTCTATTTTTGGTTTGATTTTGCTATACCTAATTGACTGGACACCTATTGTGAAGTTAAAGAGATACACCATAGTACCTATTCCTACTATCCCAGTATCCTACTGTGAAATCCTGTACCAATTTCACTGCATTGTCTCGATTGGCTTTGTTCTGTCTCGTGCTGTTGCATTTTTACTACTTTCAAAATTTAAAAAAAGTGAAAAAAAATCAAGAAAGTTAAAGATAACACACAGAATAAGACAAAATTTTCTGCAAATCATAAACCTCATAAAGATTCATATCTAGAAAATGAAAATAACTCTTCCAATTCAGTAACAAAAAGACAACCCAATTTTAAAATGGGCAGAAGGTTTTAAAGGACTTTCTCCACAGGACTATACAAATGGCTTTAAGGCACATGAAAGTCTGTTCATTAGTCGTGAGGCAAATGCTAATTAAAACCACAAATTAGCATCATTTCAGATACACTAGGATGGCTGTAATCAAACAGATAATAAAGGTTGGCAAAGAGAAATCAGAACTCTCACGCAGTGATGGCTGGAATGTAAAACGATGGAGCTCCTTTGGAAAACAGCAGGGCCATTCCTCCAAAAGTCAAACACGGAGCAGTTTCATACCCAGAGAAGAAAACATAAGCATGTACACACACACACACACACACACACACCCACACAATGGCACAATAATGTCTGTTGCAACAGTAGGCATACTAATAGCCAAAAGGTGGGAACAACCCAAATGCTTATCAACTGAATAACAGATACACGAAATGTTGTACAGTGACATCAGATAATATTATTCTGCCATAGGGAAAACAGTACTGATACATGTTTTGTTTTGTTTTTTTTTACATTTTTTTTTCTTTTTCCTTTTTATCGGTACCAGGGATCGAACTCACGACCACCTGCTTACAAGGCAGTGCTTATGCCGCTGAGCTAAATCTTCAGCCCCCAGTACTGATATATGTTACAACATGATGAATCATGACACTGCTAAATCCAAGAAGCCAGTCACAAAAGACCACATATGAAGTGTCCAGAACAAGCAAGCTATGGAGAGAAAGCATGATTGCACAACACCGTTAAAAATATTAAAAGCCACTACTGTGCATTTTATTTTTGTTTTGTTTTGTTTATGTTTGATTTTGTTTGTTCTGTTTTTTGAGACAGGGTCTCGCTATGCAGTTCAGGCTGGCCTTGAACTCACTTTGTAGCTCAGGCTGGCCTCGAACTCGAAGCAATTCTCCTGCCTCAGCCTCCCGAGTGCTGGGATCACAGGCGTGCACCAAGACACCAGGTTCTATTACTATGCACTTTAAACCGTATAGTACGTGAGTTACAAGGCTGTTGCCAAAAGAAATTATACACAAGAAGGAAAAAGTACAGTCTTTGGAGCTATGGATGTGAAATCTTATTCCTTACTCTAAATTGTGAGCAATTTTCTTAATGTCTGTGTGTCTTAATCCCCACATCTGTTAAAAAGAAAATAATAATAATAATAAAATCCATCTCCTACGACACTGGAAGGAAAGCGAGCCATCGGGCTATTTAAAAGGAGACTTGCAAAAGATGACAGATACAGATGGACAAAACAAAAAAACGTTCGGGGCAGACTTTCCATCAAATGACTGCAAGCCAAGTTTCACAGCAAAATGAGTTACAAAAAAAAGAAGAAGAAGAACATTTCCGTCTTTAAGGGTCTCTGGATTTTGAAATGACAAACGCTGGACTGTGGACTTACAATACAGTAGAGCACACAGCAGGCAAAGCCAATCGCGAAGCGATGCCTGGAGGTAACCGTGCTACAGAACAGCGGATCGCCCTTCCCGGAATCGCCGCCAACCAGCGAGGGTGGGAAGGGTGACAGCGAAGGTGCGCTGACATTCCGATCGCTCGTCTCTGTAACAAGGGCACCGGTCACCCCGGGATCTAAAATAACTCAGACGACTCCTACGATTCTCGCAGCGAACTCCGCCGAAGGCTCAGAGCTCCGAGTCGAGAATGGACCTCATCCGGCTCCTCTTCGCGGAGCTTGCAGAGGTTTTGCAAACTGAAAAGAACGCTGGTGAACAGCATCCAGTTCACGATCCATCACCTCCCATTCAAGGGCCCAGAGAAGAACAGAAAGTGCGCAAGGTCACACAGCGAACGAACCCGGGCGGGCAGGAAATCGGCGCGAAGGACCAGCGGCCGCAGCCGCCCGCTTCCCTCCTCCTGAATTTCTCCTACAGATCCGAGAGGAGGTTCCCACTCCCGCGCGCTCAGAGCCTCTAACTCCCGCACTCACCCGCTGGGACTCCGCACAGAGCAGGCAAGGAGCGCACAGCGCGCACGGCCGCCGCCATGCTGGCGCCCCAGAAGCACCCCGCCTCCCTCCAGGGCAGCCCTCCCGAGCGCCTGCCACGACTGCTCCGCGTCAGACACTGAACTCAGTCCACAGACGGATGCCGAGGGCCCAAAACCCACGCCCCAGCTCAGGCGGAGCGGAGGATTGTCGGACAGGCCCCGGGGCACACTGAGTCAGGCGCGGCCACAGACAGCCCTGCGGTGTCCTCGCGCTAGGACCCGGAGGCGGGGCTTGAGCTGGGTGTGGGCGTGGCCTGCGCACGCCGTGTTTTCTCGGGGCGGGCAGGTCCTCCGGGTCGGTCCTTCGGGTCTGCAGAACTGCTGATGGTGCCCGAAGAACCTGAGCTGTGTCTGCGGACCAGAAAGGCGAAGTGACAAGAGGATCCAGGCATAAGACAGGCACAGGGTAGGGAAGTTGGCACCCAGCTCCGTAAAGCTTTGAAGCTGACTCGATTAGGTGATTGAATTACCTTGGGTTTCGCACTCCTTGTGTTCATTTTGGTTCTAACGTTGGTACACACGCAGATCCCAGCCCTGGGCCGTGACTTCTCATTCCCTCAGGCCTTGCCTTTGTACAATCTGCGCTTGCCCCATGACCCACAAACAGGGCGAAACGACGGGAATGTCATTTAAGAGGCTAAGAATCCTGCTCAGCTTTTTAAAAATTTTCAGACTTAAAAATAGTGACAAGGCAGAGTGACAGCTGCTTTTTTTTTTTTTTTTTTTTTTTTTTTTTTTGTACCGGGGATCAAACTCACGACCCCGCGCTTCCCAGGCAGGCACTTAATGCCACTGAGCTAAATCCCCAGCTCAAGCTGCTTCATCTCACTCGTTTCCTTTTTCCTTTGCTGACAAAGAAAACCTTTTATTGTGCTTGCTTAACAAACGATGCATCAGGTTTGCAGTAAACGTTTTACATATAAAGTTGGGTAAATTAAAAGAACAGAGAAGCTGGGCCCATGTGGTGGCACATTCCTCTAATGCCAGCACTCAGGCAAGAGGGTTCTTCTAAGTTTGAGAGGAGCCTAAGCTAAAAAGTGAGTTCAAAGCCAGCCTGAACTGCATAGCGAAACCCTCAAAAAGACAAAAAATAAATAAATCAAAGGACAAAGATTGGTTTCCCCCACTTGTAATGGTTTGGGAGCTTGGCAAAACCAGTGAATCCTCTGACGGGCCCATTGCTACACCTCATTTACTATGGGGTTATCACCAGCTGGCATGGGTCTGTGCTTCAGTGGCAATAGAAACTGAAATTGAGCAGGTGAATTTACAGACAAAAGCTTTAACTGAGAAGGAAGAGAAAATGGGAACTTAGGTTTGAGAAGAGCTTACGAGGGCTGCACTTTGGAGAATATCAGACTGGCCCATGAGCAAAGAAAATGGCAAACTTGTGGATGCCCGGGTAAGTTCTGGTTCTATAAGGTGATTCCCGGAAAATCCTTATTGCTTTGTGGGGGAAGGAGGATGGCAGTCTGGTTCCCATGAGACTATTGCTGCTGCTTGTGGTGTGGAGGAATGCAGTCTTAGTTCTGTAAGTCCACAGTCACTACAGATTTGGGACAATGACTGGAGACTTCTAGACACCCATTCCAGGGGCCTTGAGCCAGACATTGTAAAAGCTGGCAGTTGAATGTCCCTGCAAATCTCTTGTCTTGGCATCCTCAGTCTTTTTTGAGGGGGAGGGCGCATCCTCAGCCTTGAAGGAGGATGTGGTAGGTTAGGTAAACTTAGAGCCAAAACACCTTACATAACCAATTGTAGATTCTCTTTAAATGACCAATACACAGAGCTGAACAGGGATCTGAACCAAATTTTAAAGCAATAAAAGAGACATACAAAATGAAATCAGAGATGTCAAGCTATTGTCCTGTTCTTAGTGACCAAATGGGCATCTGTAGACCAAGTGAAGAGTCACTGCTTTTTTTTTTTTCTAGCAAAAACAGCTTTTAAGTCCTAGAAGAAATACAAATTGTGCTTTTAATGAATGGTAGTTTGTCCTTTGTCCTTTTGTGGTGATCCTGACAGTTTTATTTTGCTACCTAGTTTTATTCTTGGAAATGCTATGATGGAGACACAAAAAAGAATGAAGACGTGTTATGCTTCCTCACAATGAATATAACCATTATGTACTGCAAACCTACTAATAAAAATTTGAAAGAAATTTTATCTTATAGTTACTTTACTATTAACAGAGACATAATACCTAAATGAGGAAAGAATTATTTTGGCTCACAGTTTGTAGAGGTTTCAGTTTCCAGTTGTCGGGCTCCAAGGTGGGGGTGGGGGCAGAGGGGAATGGCAGAAGAGAAACAACTCACTGTATGGTAGACAGGAAGCAGAGAGAGATAAAGGAGAAAAGAAGGAGATACACACTTCCAGGCCACGCCCCTAGTGACCCACCTCCCGCAACCAGGCTTCAGCTTCCACCATTATACTTAGCTCTAAATTCACCAGTGAGTCGGTCCATGATGAGTGTCACACCCCCATGATTTAGTCACCTCCAGAAAGTCCCACATAGGAGCTCATGAGGCTTTGAGGGAATCCATAGATAGAGATAGGTACATAGGTTCCTGCTTTCACATGCCAACAACTTCTAAGCACAGCATATTTGAAGCTCCTTATATCTCATTACAAAGTTTTCTCACTACCTGTGTATGTTTGGGTATCTGCCACTTCTTCCTTGGTAACAGAATCCCCAAATTTTAGCGGGTCCCATTGCTTGCCTGAACCAAAGCAATTTTAAGTCTCACTTGCCATTAGCCATGGCCCTGTGACTGAAGTTTTTGCCAGTGGTCTGTAAGCAAAAGTGATGTGTCACAGTTACTAATTGCGGAATTCCCTAAAGTACTGTATGGTCTTAATGTCTGTGACATGTTTGAGTAATAATCGAAGAAACATTTTCCTGTTCATTTGCAGGTATTAGCTTGTATACTGGAGAGTTTGGCTGGCCTTTGTCCCTGGTTCCTGAGCAGTGGAAGTAGGCAACACCTACTAGTTTATGCTGATAACAAGATGGCAGCTGGGCATGCTAAGAGGACTGGGCCCTGTGATAACAGTCCAGGCTCTAGGAGGAAGAGCGCTGAGATGGGAGGTTAACTGTGTGGTCAGTGGGTTCATCCATCACGCCTGTGTAATGAGATCCCCAAATAAAATTCTTGTGCCCAAAGCTCAGGTAAGCATCCCTGGTTACAGCACCCTGCACCTTGGCACGTACCAGTCACCAGCACAGGAACGTATTCCTGAGAACCACAGCAACTTTGCACTGGGAACGCTTGAGACCTCACCCTATGCACCTGAGCCTTAGGCTGCATCTGATACAAAGCTTTTGTAACTAGTACAGTTATCATCCTAAACAGAGCACTTCCCTGAGTTCCGAGACTTATTCTAGTGAGTTGTCTTAGAGGGATGGTGGGAGCCCTTGAATTTGCAGTCATGTATCAGAAGTTCAGCAGACAGGGCACCCTGAGGAAATGTCTGCAGGTTGGGGGTTCAGAGGAATATCTGGGACATAGTTCGCAGTTTCTAGGAGCAGCAGGAGGCTGGGGCAAACTGAAGAGCACTGAATGCCAGACCGAATGGGGCTTTGTCTTGGAGGCAGTGGATTCCAGCTGATGCAGAGGTTTAATGGGGGGGGGGGGCGGGTAATATGCAACGGATGGGACCGATTCTGGGCAAAGACTGGTCACAAACTTACAAGCATCCAGGCATGAAGTGACTTGGGTGAATGTTAGGAGCACTGGGTGGGGTGGAGGAGATGAAACAAATGAAGCTAATAGAAGAAACATTTTCTATTTCTGCCCCCTGTGAACCTTTGCTGTCCTGTGAGAAATCCATCTGATTCCTCAGCTCCAAGACTGGAATCCTCACTGGATGTCTCCCACATACCCTTCCTGCCTGCTAACACTGGCGTCCAGCTTGCCTGCACAGACCCACTTTGAGCACTATAGTCCTTGAATCCTCATCTGGACTTTATATGAAGGACTTTCCTGGTGCTGAGAGCCAGATTATTGCAGTACAGAGCAAGCAATAATTAGTATTAATAAATTGGGCCAAAAATAAATTGACAGGCTGTCCTAGGCCTACATGACTTGTGAAACCCTTGGCTGGCTAAGGACAGATTAATCTTTAAGCCAGTGGCCAGAACCCAGGCTAGCAGTCTCTGAAGTTCTGCTGCCTCAAAGCAACATGGGGGCTCAGGACACCACTGTGTAGATTCTAGCTCAGTAGTCACAGTTAGCAGACAATCAGGTTACTAGTTAACCATGATCTGTTCCTGTGTGCTTTTCCAAAAATGCATTGTTCCTCAATTCTTGGACCCTGACCGCACCAGCAGTTTACCCCTAGCACTTCCTGCAGCCAACTAGTACACCCCCAATCATGCTATGCACCTACTAAAGACCAAGGACAGCAGGGCCTCCTGTCCTAGCCTTTCCTTGGGTTTTGACTGTCTAGTGCCTGTTGTAACTATAGTGTGTATATTTGGTCTGTGTTTTACGGATAGTTTTTTGTTTGTTTCTATGTTTTTTTGTTTTGTTTGTTTGGTCTTTTTGAAGCAGGGTCTTTCTATGCAGTTCAGGCTGGCCTGGAGCTCATGTTGGGTGTTTTGTTTTTTATTTTAAAGAGTAAAATCCAACAAGATAAAAACAGACCAAAGCCAATTAAAACAAAGCAACAAAATTGGTACAGAACTTCAAAGCAGGATACTAGGAAAACAATAGCTACCATACTATATCTTGTTATCTTCACAATAGTTGTTCATTCCATCAGGTATAGCAAAATCAAACCAAAAACAAAACAATAAAACCAATCAAAACAGAAGATTGAATAAAGCAAAAACAATCAGAACAAACCAAAATAGTGAGGACGATATTGGCCAGCAAAGACAGAAGGAAATCCCCCATGTTTGCTGTATTGCATACTGCCATCCTCCCAAGAGATGCCCAGACTGCTGGCTCAGGCCTGAAAAATCAACCAAACAATACAAGTGTTTAGTCGCTTTATGTACCTTAGTTGCTATCAACTCAAGCTGTGCTCTGAACCAGTGGGTTGCTGAGGGGTGGGATGTTGATTCTCAGCCCAGGTACTGGTAGGCTCACAGGAGGTGCTGCCTTTTCTCTTCCTGGAAGCCACAGCAGCTTGCTCGGCTTACCAGAAGGGCTGGCTGGTTGGCTTCCTGTTGGATCTTCCCAGTCCCAGCATGGCCAATTCCCTGGGAGGTGCTGACTTTTCTCTTCCTTGAGCTCACTCTGTAGACCAGGCTAGTCTTAAATTTGCAATCCTCCTACCTCAACCTCCCAAGTGCTGGGATTACAGGAGTGCACCACCACACCCAGATTGGTCTGTTTTATTCTAAAATTTGTATCTCTGAGCAGGAGATCAGTAGTCCAAGACAAGGGCCCTAATATCCTGGTACAAGATAAACTTTATTGGGCTTATTGCTGGGGCTCCTGTGGTCTATCCCAGCTCCTGGTCATGGTTTTTCCACCTAAATTGCAGGGCTAACAGGGCCTGAATTTAAAAGAGGTATGCATGATTCTGGGATCTAGTTTATTTAGGACTAATTACTACAGAAAAAGTTATGGCTTGTATCTAGTTGTTCCCCTCAAAGTTTCATATGGTCATAGCTGGGGCTTTTCAGAGGTGGATGGATCTAGGATGTGTGATATTGGGATCATGTATGTGATGCTGGGATTAATTCATGGTGGGATGCTAGAATGAAGGATGTGAGTTAATCTTAACTCCAGTTACCTGGATTAAATACAAGATAATGTTGCTCATCACTTGTTGCTTGCTGCTTTTGCTGTCTTCTGCTTGGCATGAACACTTCCTCTTATAACTGTGGGTGTCAAGTATTTTGTTTCAGCAGTAAGGACAACATTACACAAGATACACAATGACCTAAAGTAACAGGCAAGAGAGGAAATAGGGTAGCAACAGTTGTATGTGTATACGTATTTATTTTTAAAAGTTCATTGAGGTATAATTTACCACCAAATTCACTGATGGTTGGATAGCTCAATGATTTTTTATAAATTTATCAAATTGTTTAATCATCACCATAAGCTAGTTTTAGAACATTCCTGCCACCTCAGGAGTAAGCAGGAAGAGTAAGCAGTCACTCTTCCCCCTCCCAGGACATCACTAATCTTATTTTGTCTCTTAACACTTCTTATCAGGTGTGATGGCTCATGCCTGTAATTCCAGCACTGGGGAGGCTGAGGCAGGAGGAGCACTGTGAGTTCAAGACCACTCTGGGCTAAAGTGAGCTCAAGGCCAGCCTGAACCACGCTCAGGAGGCTGAGGCAGGAAGATCATTGCAAGTTCGAGACCATTGTGGGCCACAAAGTGAGCTCAAGGCCAGCCTGAAGTGCATAATGACACTCTATCTCAAAAAGATAAAAATTTTTTGTGGTTGTTTTCTATAAATTGAACCATACATCTTCTCTGGCACCCGCCTTTACCCATTTAAAATATTTTTGAGGTTTTAATTTTTTTTTTTTAGTATTTTGGTGATTTTAAGTTTCACGACGTTCAGAAATGCCAAATCCACTAGCATAAAGATGGAATGAAAGTTGCTCGTCTGAGATCACTCCATTGCCTCACAGAAAACGTAGCATGCCACAGAGAGAGAAGTGGGTGGAGTGTACTGGGAACACTTTAGTTTTTCAATCCCCAAACTATAACTGTACATGGGAGAAAGAGGTTGCAGCCCAGGCAGGTCTGCTGGCCGGGACTTGACACTTCCTAATAATTAGTTTTCATGGCTCTAAAATACAGTTGAGAGTCCTGGGGGAATAGCACACTGGTAGAGCATTGGCCGGTGTGCATGAGGCCCCGAGTTCAGTCTAGAACTGCAAAACAAAACAAAACGAAACGAAAAACAGTAAAACCTTGAATTACAAGTAACTAGTTCAAGTGTTCTACAAGACAAGCAAACTCTTCTAATAAATGTTAACTTGATAAACAAATGGTATCTTGTACCAGAAGTAGGTGATTCTGAACAGCACATGATCACAACTGAGACAATGACTGTCTCTCTCTGCGGGATTCTGAGTGATCAACAGCAAGAGTTTATAGAGGAGAGCTTATCTGCAGAGGAAGGCAGAAAAAAAGGCCAAGGGTTCGCTCACTTTAAATGGGACTAGGGATTGTGGGGATGAGTACAAAATTTTTTAGAAATGCACCACCCAAATAAGGCTGCTGCAGTAAAGCAAACTGGTTAAACAAGTCACTGGTTCAATGTCACATTTCTGCAAAACCCTCAAAGGAGGCAAAAGCAAGTGTCACTAGATAGGCTCCTTGTTAAAGCTGCACAGAAAGAAAAGATTCCAGTGAGCTGAAAGCAGTGATTACACTAAAGTCACCCAGCACAACAGCGCACCTCGCTGGTCTCCCTCACACCAGCCATGAAGCTTTCAAAGATAAGTGCAGGTTAGCTGGAGTTTCTTTGTATTTAATACTCTATTCTCTATTATACCACAGTATTGTAATCATTTTTATGAGTATCTTGGGGTTGTACTAAGAATCATGAGTATCCATTACTTTTTTTTTTTGTCTTTTTGAGACAGGGTCTCACTATGCAGTCCAGGCTGGCCTTAAGCTCACTTTGTAGCCCAGGCTGGTCTTGAACTTGAAATGATCCTCCTGCCTCATCTTCCCAAGTGCTGGGATTACAGGCATGAGCCACCATGCCCAGCTCCATTACTTCATATGGGGAAACTTGCTTTGATATACAAATGCTTTGGATTATAAGCATGTTTCTAGAATGAATTATGCTCACAAACCAAGGCATTTTACACACACACACACACACACACGCACGTAGATTTGGGCTAGATCGCTGGTGGCTGTCCACCTTGCTCAGCCTCCAGCTTCCTCATCCACCTGCACCACCTTGTTCCAAGGAAGAGTCACAGAATGGGGGGGGGGGGCAGAGCACAAATACAGTTATACAAATGGCCCCCATTAGGTAGAGTGTCTTCTCAGCTTTCTTTCAGTTCCAATTTTATGAATCTCAAGTCCCAAAGGAACTTTCCTTACATTCAAGCTCCTAGGGTTTCTCTCTGAGGTGAAAACTTCTAAGCCTGCGCTACACAATTGGGTCTTCCTGGCTTTACCAGATGTGGGGAGCTGCTCTGACATGAATTCTGTGCAAGAGTACAACACCCACAAAGGCTTCCCCACATGCACGACCCTCCCAGGGATTGTAATGGGTAGTGCGGGTTCTCTGAGGGTTACAGAGGGCTGAAGACTGGCTGAAGGTGTCTGCATTATCAAACTCAAGAGCGTTTTTCTCAAGAATGAATCCTGGCATTTAATCAGGGAGTGGATGACCCACATTTATGGCTTTCATGGGCTTCTAATACACGCTCTTTGATGATCACTAAAGGACGAAGTTTTACTGAAGGTTCCTCCATACTTGACCACATTTACAGAATTCCCCTCCAGGGTGAATTACGTGACATTTTTTTTTTTTTAAAGAAACAGCATGTGACTAAAGGCTAACTTTAGTCCATCACAGAGCTAAGGTTTTTCCCTACTGTAGAGTGTCTGATGTCTTCCAGCTGAGAATTTTTCCACACCTGTTACACTCACAAAGTTTCTCACTGGTATGAATTCTCCAATGCTATGGTCAAAAGGTCATCTCTTTAGTATTTGACGTTAAATAAGATGCATCTTCCTAGCAAAAGTCTTTGCATATACAGTGCACTTGCAGGGTCTCTCGCCAGTATAAATCTTTGAGGTTTGGTTTCTGTGGACTCCAGCTGAAAGTTTTCCTGTATGTGCTGAATTCATAGGGTTTTTTCCCAGAATGACTTTTTGATGTTTAATAAGGGATGCAGTACGAGCAAAGAACCTTTCACATTCATTACATTTGTAGGGTTTCTCTACAGTGTGAAATCTGTAATGCACAATGAGAGATGAACCCTGCCTGAAGGTTCCCCCTCATTCCCTGCATTATTAGGGCTTTTCTCCAGTATGAGTTCTCTGGTGTTTAATAAGGGATAAAATATGACCAAAGGCACATCCACATTCATTGCACTTGTAGGGTTTCTCTCCGTATGGAATCTATAATGTAGAACAAGAGAGGAACTCTGGCTGAATGTCCTTCAGCATTCACTACACTCATAAGGCTTTCCCCCAATGTGAGTCCTCTGGTATTTAATAAGGGATGATATATGGCCAAGGGCTTACCCACATTCAGTGCATTCGTAGGGTTTCTCCCCAGTGTGACATCTCTGATGGTGCCTCAGTTCTGCTGGAAATGGAAGGCTTTCCCACATTCGTTACATGTACAAGATTTCTTCCCTGGATGGGTTCTCTGAGAGTTACTTCTACCCAAAATCTGTCTGGATTTTTCTCCTGTAGGAACACTGTGTTGGTTAAGTTTAGGCTTAAGCACTGGTCTACAGCCTAAGCTCCCAAATTCTCTGCATTCACAATCTTTCCTGGGGTGGCGGATCTGTGAGTGGGTGAGATCGCTTTCCAGTGTCTCAGTATTATCTGCTGCATCTCTGACCTAGGATCATCACAGGTTGTCTTCAGTTTGCAGGCCCACAGGACATCATGAAGGTGTTTTTGCACTGATGCTTTCTGGAATAATTCTTTGGAAACTCTCTGATTTGGGCTAGGGATTTAGCTTAGCGGCCTAAGTACCTGCCTTGCAAGTAGGTGGTCATGAGTTTGATTCCCGGTGCCGATTAAAAAAAGAAAAGAAAACTCTCTGACTTGACATTGATTTCTGGCCTTTAAGTGTTCTTTTCCCTTGTATAAGAGACAAAAGAAGGCATTCTTAGTATTACCTGTTCTCTGTGCAAAGAAGAAATAAATAATAATGAATATAAGATATTTAAGCTTTAAAATGACATCTAACATTGTTACTCCTGATGACATGATTTGAAATGTTGTTTTTTTCTTTTTATATTTGATTACAATGCATTTGAAAAATAACATCTGAAACGGGTGATTCTTTTAAGCATGGCTGTGTCAGAAGGTGCTTTGCAAAGAGTCAAGAATGAGAAATAAATAAGAAAAGGGGAAAGGGATTTAAAAAAGAACTGAGATAGGTTAGGTACATGTGCCACCTCCTCACAAGGAATGTGATCATTACTATGCCATGTATTAATAAAAAATAAAAACTGAACAACAAAGGAAGCATAAGTGATGAACAGGTTAGAAGAATCCTGTAAGCAGGATACAGAATCCAGACAGATTTCAGGTAGAAGTAACTCTCAGAGAATCCATCCAGGGAAGAAATCTTGTACATGTAACGAATATGGGAAAGACTTCCATTTCCAGGAGGTTAGTGGTAGTTAAGAAAACCTGATTCAGGCCAGGTGCAGTGGCACATGCCTATTATCCTAGCACTCAGGAGACTGAGGCAGGAGGATTGCTTCAAGCTCAATGTCATCCTGGGCTACAAAGTGAGTTCAAGCCCAGCCTAAATTACATAGTGAAACTGCACAGTCCAAAAAGACAAAAAAAAAGAAAAAACGAAAAGTGCAAAAAAAGCTACAGATTCCAGCACACAAGGGAAGTCCAAAGGCTGCACAGATGGCAGGAAGGACAGGAAGACAGGAAGGGTAACAAGGAAAGAGACTGTATTAGGATAAAGACAGAAAGAAACAAGTAGTGACGAGTCACCTGGGTCTCTACAATTTCTTCATGCCTAGATGAACGTGACAGATTTCTATTCAGCTCGCTCCCTCTCTCCTGAAGCACTCGGCAGCACTTTCATCTGACTCAAATGTCTCTTGCCTTGTCTTCCCCAGCACCTGAGGGTAAGTCCTGCATCTCACTGCAGCCTCAGTGCCTGACCCCGGCTGCTGTCTTCTGCACGCTGGCCCCCTCCTTTCACCCCGCACTGCCACGCTCTGGCTCTGGCTCTGGCTCTCTCTGGCTCTGCACATCTTTCCAGGACAAGCTCAAGTCTTCTACTTCGTCTCTTCCCAATACCTCAGTCTAAAACGCATGTTGTGTTGCATGCATGTGTATATGTGTCCTGTTACTGTGCAGAACTGTAACAGGCAGAGTAATTCTCCAGGTCCTAATGCTGAGACCCTCCTGATAGGTTACCTTACAAAGCAAGAGAGACTCTCTGGCTGAGATGAAGGGCACAGACCTTGAGATAGGGAGATTATCCTATTCAAACAGGCCCCATCTAATCACATAAATCCTCAATATCAGTTGGCATTTCCTCTATAGGCAGAGACATAGTGGGCACCATGAGCCAATGAATGTAGCAGTCTGGGGTTGGGGGACACCCCTCAATTACAGCAGCAAGGAAGCAAGGGCCTTGGATTAACAACTACAAAGGAACTGGCTTTGCCAGCAACGTGAAGGAACAGGAAACAAGTTCTCTCCCAGGCAGGAAAGAAAGGAACACAGCCTTGTGGACCCCACGGCTCCAGCCAAATGATACCCATGCCAGACTTCTCACCTACACGCCAGGAATTTAACACATTTGTGTTGTTTACAGCTGCTACGTTTGGGGTAACTCATTTCAACAGAAAACAATGGTACTTCTGAAAGGGGAAATGACTAGCAATGCCCCCCAGAGTCTTAGAACTGTCCAGAGACAGATTCTGAGTTCATAGATCTTGTATGGTTCCTGGGACTCTAAGCATTTTTTTTTAATTTTATTTAAGGAGAAAAAAGAAAAAAAAAAAACAGAAAAACAAGTTATACAGAATTTCAGAAAAAATAAACAGTAGGAAATCACTAGTTAATAGATTACATATTGTCATCTTAGAAATAGTTGTTCAACTTGCAAAATAAAAGCATATAAAGTGGACTTTCAAACAGTGAGACTGCAAACAGTTCTGTTCAATGACCCAAAAAAACTTAGTAATATGGTTATCTATCTTATACACTTAAATATACATGGAATTATATCCTTTACAGCACTTTTTTTTACTCTCTTTTGTACAATGAAAATTACACATTTTGGGTTTTATTACTCCCACAGTTCTTTTTTCTTTTTTTTGAAGAGAGTAAAACCAAATGTGACATAACAGAACAGAGTCAGTCAAATCAGAAGGATGGACAAAATACATAATGTAAAAACAAAATACAAGGTGATCAACAATGGTTACCATAATGCCTCTTGCTATCTTAAAAAGAATTGCCTATATCATCTGTTACAATAAAATTGAACAAAACAGTAAAGAACAAAACCAATAAAACCAAACATTGGAGACATTACAGAACTTCATAAGAAGATAATAGTCAACCAGAATGGGCATCATAATGAATCTTATTCTCTTCAAAGTTGTTGCCTATACTTTTGAAATTGGTACTATCAAGCAAAACAGAATAGAGGAAAATCAGTCAAAAGAAGATGGTGAGAGCAATACAGGGTTTCAAATCAGGTTAATAGGAAATCAAAGTGGGTTACTATAATATATCCTGCTGTTTTTTATTTATTTTTCCCTTAAAAGGATAAAAATGAAAAGTAAATAATAAAAAAAGGAGATTGAGATAAAAGAGGGCATAACAACAAAACAGCACAGGTCAAAACATAATCATGTAAGCAAAGTAGTGTTTCACCACAACATAATCCTGACATAAAAGTAGTTACCATAGTGTCTCTTTCCTTGAAATCTTTGAGGATAACTTCATATACTGTAGCATCAAACATATCAAGACAATGTAAAACCATTCAAGAGAATGACAGTATTACAGGGTATTTAGAACCAACTAACAGAAAATGAACAATGGTTTCTGTATTATCTCCTTGTCTGTAAAAGTTTTTGTTTATATTATCACATATAATAAAATCCAATAAGATACAACATGTTAAGACCGATGGAAACAGAAGATCAAAAGCTTGATGGGACTTCAAAACAAGATGATATTAAATCAGCACTAGCTATTATGATGTCTTGTTTTCTCCAAAATAGCTGTTCCTACCATCCCACCTTCTCTGCCTCATTTCTGTTGAGCTCTTTTTCTGTCATTAGTTGTTGGTTTGTCTTCTTCATTTCACTTTCTGCTCCATTCATTGTGGCCTCTCTGCCACTGTTTCTGAAGTCTTGGTATTTTCCTTTTTTAGAATACCCTGCAGTATTCTCTGTAGAGTCGAATTGGTGGTTGCAAATTCCCCTAGTTCCTCTTTATCCTGGAAGCACCTTGTTTTTCCATCAATTTCTAGGGACAGTTGTGCAGGATATACCAATCTTGGCTGGAGGTTATTATCTTTCAAAGCTTGAATTATTTCCCCCATGCTCTTTGTGATTTGATGGTTTGTGCCGAGAAGTCTGCTGTAATTCTGATGGGTGTTCCCTTGTAAGTGACCTGTTTCTTGTCTCTGACGGCTTTTAATATTCTGTTCTTATATTGAATTTCTGGAATTTTGATTATTATATGTCTGGATGTAGCTCTGTTTGGGCTGTAGGTTGCTGGGGTCCTGTATGCCTCATACATCTGAGTATCTTTATCTTTTGCTAAATTAGGGAAATTCTCCTAGATTATTTCTGTGAATAGCTTTTGTAGTTCTTTTGTTTGTGGCCCTACTTCTTCTTTTATGTTCTTAATTCTTAAGTTATAGATCCTCTTATCATCTTCTAGCCTTTGTATTATTGCTGTTTTCTTGTTATTTTTAAGAAGCTTTTCATTTCATGCTCCCACATTACAAATCTGTCCTCCAGTTCAGATAATCTATCCTTAGTTTCTTTCAAGTTGTTATGCCAGCTTTCAATAGAGTTTTTAGTTTCCTGGTAATCTCTTTGAACCTACTTCACGTATTCTATGTTTTCTCTATTTTCTCCATCAAACAATTCTCCCCTTTTTTTCTGTTCTTCCATTCCACCATCTGTTTTTTTCTTGGGTGGTGCTTAGCATTTCTCTAACTATTCTACTAATTTCTTGCTTTATTTCATTAAATACTTCATTTTTGAACTCGTCTATAAGGCTCCGGAGATACCACTTTCATGTCTAATGGTGCTGTGTGTGATATTGAATGTTTTCTGTCTTCATTCTCCTTTGCATTTAACTTTCCTGGATCAGTGTTCTCGGGATTGGGGACTGAGGACCCTTTCTTATTGCTCTTTCTTCCCATACTTTTTGTTCCTTCCATACAAGCGTATATAGGAGGCCCAGTTTTTTTTTTCTCTGTCTGTTACAGTTTGTTTGAATCCACCGGCTAGGTGTTCTTGCCCACTGCAGTGTACTAGGGAGACACAGACCTGGGTAGCCTCTGCTGGGCCTGCCCCTCCAGGTCAACCGACTGAAGGCTTCACTGCTAGGGTGCACCTCCAGGCACTGGGACCTGGTTTGGGCTAGCTTACTGGATCTTAGTCTACAGCATCACCAGGCCAAGTGCTCCCCACCAAGCCCGCTTGAGAGGGGAATATGCAACTAAAGTCACTGCAGCGCCCTGTTCCAGCTAGTCTGCCCGGTCCCAGAATGTCCTCTGTTGGAACCTCCTAGTCTATGGAAGGGTCCCCATTCTTCTCACTCACCACAGGTCAATGCAGGGCTCCCCGCCAGTCCCACTCTCAACTCCGTTTGGTTCGCTGATTCCCACTCTCAGAGCTTTCCCGCACTCTCTCTCCCTGCTGTGCCAATTGGGACACAGCAGCGGCAGCAGGAAATTCAAATCACAGCTTCCAGATGTGCGGGTGCCAACTTCCACGCTGAGATTTTATCTGTTCCTGTTATAGCATCGGGATTACCTTTCCAGTTCTCTCAGCTTAGTTTGTTCTTGGGTTGGCAGGGTATATCTCCCCTTGCTTAGGACTCCTCACACCACATCATTCCTAGATTGTAAGCTGGCAATTTCAGAGAGCTTCTGTGGCTGTTGCTATCTGTCCGCCATGTTCTCTTTTTTTTTTGTATTTTTGAGACAGGGTCTCGCTATGCAGTTCAGGCTGACTTTGAGGTCACTTTGTAGCCTAGGCTGGTCTCGAACTTGCAAGGATCCTCCTGCCTCAGCCTCTCGAGTGCTGGGATTACAGGCATGAGCCACCACACCCGGCTGGGACTCTAAGTATTTAAAAAAGCTCCTAGGACATCCTGAACCACAGCCATGCTTCGGACTACAGTACATAAATAGATACTGATCATGAGGCTAGATCCAGGTTCAGCACTTTGATCTCATTCTGGAAGGAAAAATGATCAAGAAAGTACCAATACCCAGGCGACAGCACATCCCTCTCCGTGCTGCATTCCAGGCTCCCTGTGGAAGCCCAGGCTAGCCTTTCAGGATGTGAATGCTGCTTTCCTGAACTTCAGCTCTGAGCTGAGACTATAGCTCTGCCTCTGTGATGGACAACTGACAGAGAATGCCACTCCCCTGCAGTAAGCTCGTGCTACACGCGGCGGTCAATGAAGCTTGGAGTGCAAAATTCTGCTGCAAGAAATGGAGGCCACCAGGCCATCCCAAGTCACCTACAAATCAAAGACATGGCGTCAACTACTGGTAAGGGACAGTCCTTATTCTTGGGACTTCTGCTGAAGCTTAGTTAAATCTAGTGTGAACTGTTTCCCCCTTGGTCTTCCTGATATACTCTGTCTGCCCTTGCCTTTAACCCTTTCATTTTTTTTTGTCTTTTTCTTTTTTATCAGTACCAGGGATCGAACTCACAACTGCCTGCTTGCAAGGCAGGCACTTATGCTACTGAGCTAAATCCCCAGCCCCCTAACCCTTTCATTTCTTGGCTGTCCACAGTTGTTTGATCCCCCCTCACTCCCTTAACCCTACTGATGTAGAACTGTCCGGCTGTCTACAACTGTTGATCCATCCAACCTCAACTCTGAGACATCCAGTGAGGCTGTGTGACCAACAATAACCCCAGCATGGGCAGGGGAAATGCTAGAAAGGAAAATGAACATCTCCTCCTCCAACACATGCAATAAGGACTTCAGAATTCAGAATACTGCAATTGAGGACTTCTGCTAAGTGGCCTCATCCTCTCAAAAGAGAGCCCCTGACCCAGGGCTCGGGACAACCTCCTGCCCCCAACTCAGCCTGATGAGGTGCCATGTTGCTGCTTCTCACCCCCTCACCTGGGTGGACTCCCGTTGAAATTTCTCTCTCTGACACACAGGAACACTTCCCCATCCTCCTACTGCCAGATCACATACAGCTTGGCTACTGGAAGCCCTGATGGTAGAGAAAGAAAAGGACTATTGCTTTGTGTTTGCGGGAGGCCAAGTCTTTAGACCTTGATCTCCATGTTGGAGAGAACAGACATTGTAACACATCATGGGCAGCTTGAACTAGGAGCACAAATAGTCTATCTATGGGCCCCCAAAGAGAATGTAATTCTCTGGTTCCAGAACTCCAGGGCAAAACTCACCTAACAGGCTCAGACATCCCCCAGCTTTTAAACACCAGGGAAATCAAAGCAGCTGCAGGGGCAGCCTTGGAGCTCACCCAGGTTCTCAGCATCATGTCTCTGTACAGATGCTTCTGTGCAGGGGCCAGCTGCCCCCACTCCCACTGGGTGAATTCCACGGCCTCATCCTCGAAGGTTATCAGGTCCTGAAACAGAACACACTCCTGTTACCTTGAGGACCAGAGTCATGGTCTGGGGAAAGGAGTGAACAGGCACCTCAGGGGTACCTCAGTGGCACCTTGGTGTGCACAGAGGGATCCCCAGACTTTCCAGCTACCCATTGCCCAGGCAGCTTTGGGTTTATTTTCAAAGTATTTTAAGCTGCTCCAAGGGTTGTACCATCTTTACTATTCAGTATCCTACATGGTGCCCACTTCCATGCCTGTGGACATCAAGAAACATAATCAGTGCTGAGAATCATCAACCTAGAGACACTGTCCACTCAGGTAGATGAGATGAACACACTCCTTTTCTCATTTGCCAGGTCTTAATAGAATCAATTAGACTTAACAGACTAACATGCTTTGCATTCTCAAAAGCACAAGTATCAGTACTCTTATGTATAAAAGTTGTGAGTTGCAAATTTAACACTTCTTACTAAAGCCTAATCAAAGAATTGAGACTTATAAAAACTTTGCTGAGGACCAGCTTGATGCAGTGCCTGATAATTGATGTTAATAAACTGGCATGAACATAGATGGAATCAATGGTCTGTCCTAGGCCTAAGTGCCTTGTGGCAAGACCCGTGGCTGGCAGGGGATGAAATTAATCCCCTGACCAAAGGTCAGGAGTGAAACCAGCAAATGGCCTATGAAGTCTGGCCCCTCACAACAAGAGAACCACCACTGCTGAGAACTCTGACTCACCCAGATTCTTTCTAGCTCAGTGGTCAGGTGCAGTTAGCAGACCACCAGGTTAGTGCTTCATTCCTGACCCTTGCCTGTACCAGAAGTTCCCCCCATCACTTCCTGCAGTCCACTAGCACAGCTCCCAACCGAGCTGTGCACATAATAAAAGCCAGGACACTGTGCCTCGTGGCCTTAGTCCTTCATTGGGTGTTGACCATCCCAGCTCCCTTTGTAACTAAAATACATATCTTGTCTGTGTTTTATGCCTTTGTTGTATCCCTGATCAGATCAGTGGTCGTAGGCCAGGGCCCCAATAACCCCTCTACTCACCTCCCAACACACAGTTTAGCAAAAGTAAATCAAATAGCCTTCTAATTAGTAAATTCTGTGTTTGATAAGCATGAATCCTGTCCACCTAAGCCTAATCATTCAGTTCTTGAGTCTACAAAGGTTGTGTGAGACTTTGAATCTCTGTGTGATCTCACTATTAACAAGGTATCGCCACTCCACAGGTCTTGGCCAGAACCCTCCCAACCATCCCCAGCAATCAGAATACCTCCCATTTGACTTACGTTGTATGGCAATCCATATAACATAACCAAAAATAGAATAGGTGGAAGTAGTATAAATTCTTGTTTCTTTTACCACGAAGTATTTAAAATTCAAATTTAGACAATGCATTAAGTTTAAGCAATGACTTTATATTAATATAAGTCAGTCAAAATAATTAAATGGGGAAAACTCACTAGCAGTAGGTTATCTTGTTTCTCCAAAACATCCTCTGGCCTTTCCTGTAGCGTTCTGTTTCCTGTGCCCCAACCTGGGTGTGCTCATGGAATCAGCTTTCCAGGTGGAACAGTGGAGGAATTGGCAGAAGCTACACATGAACAAAGGCTTTCAGAGCTGCCAGGGTTTCTGCAATTCCCCTTTGCTTTATGATCCGAGGGAAAATAAGGGACAAAGCCAAGTGTGACATGTCACGTGGGTAAGGATCAACCTTGTTTGGTGTCTCTCAGAGTTTGCTGTTGTTACTGCAGCAAAACTAGCTTAAACTGACTTATTAAAAAAAAAATAACCCAAAATGAAATTCTACCGTAACAAAAAGCCTGAATTACATGATACTGGATTCAAAGCAAGGCAATAAGAAGATGTATTGGTAAAGTAGCTGATGAATGGTTAGTAAAACTACTGCCTACAATAACTTGAAAAATATTCATGTAAGAATAAGCTTGACAGTACCAGGAAACCTGACATTACCAGGGTGAACTGACTGAATTTGGCCAAATATTACAAGAAAAATTAGATGCCCAAGGGTTTCCTAGTTTGTAAAACAAAAAATAGAAGACAACAGGAAGTGTCCATAAATGCCAGGTCTTGCAGGGTTGGAGACTTCACCAATTCTCATTTTTAACTGGCCAGAGACAATACACATATGGTTTTTTTCATGACAAAGGATGATTTAAAAATGAAAAGGTTCTAAGCAAGGGCAGAGAGATCACTGTCCCTGTGATGGGCTCAGCCTCCTACAGAACAGGAATAAGGGTCAGTTCCCTTTAGTGAACAGAGGTTCTAGAAAAACAGAAGGCAAAGCTTTCTGTAGCTCAATTATTTATAGAAAAATTACAAAAACTCCAACTTACTTGGGGCCTGGCTTTTAAGAATGAATTAGTTATTCCCTTTTCTTCTGGGTAACTCTTCTAGCGCAGGCTCCTGAGAAGTGACAGCTGGAAGGGAAAAGCAGCCATACAGGAGGCTAAGCTTTATGACACGTGTGGCTCCCAGGCTCCCCGATCCAGAGATCCCTACACAGCTCTAAGGTCACCTGCATGGTTTTGTGGACATAGATGGATCAAGGGAAACACAGAGGCAGCTCCTAGCCTGCCTACATCAGACAGAAGGGTGTCTGGACACAGCTGCATGAGGTTTCTACTTGCCAGGAGAGCCACAGCAGGCTGCAGCTGGTGAAATGTGACCAACCTGGCCACTACTGCCCTGGAGTCCTTCTGACTGCAGGCCTTCTCCTAGGTGTTTGGAAATACAGACACAGAGAAAAGCTTCAATGAAATCTGCTTTGTGTAGACAAGTTAACAACTACAGAACTTTTCTATGTAGATGGATCCCCAACGATGTTGTTAAACTCTGCTTTGAGACTTAAGGCTGTGTTTACTGAAGGTAGGGTAGGGTTTGAGCATCTGCATTGCTAGAGAGCACTGCCTGTGCTGCTGGCCATGGACACACAGAGAAGCAAAGACATGAAGGCCACAAGGAAAATTTGGTCCCGTTCTTCCACTGGCCATTTTTGTGACCTTGAGCATGTGTGATGAAAGAAGGAACAAATTAAAACGCACAACTGGTAAAGGACAGGGCATTCCAAACTTACAAAGGAATGGCTTCAAAGCTCTATGTCACCTGCAATGCCCTGACTCTGACACTGGGGGTAGAGGACTCATAGACAGTGCCACCGCTACAGTGCTGACCCTGTATACTGCTCAGCTAGAACTGAAGATTTTATTAGTTAAATGATTAAGAAAGTGACGAGCGAGGCTGCCTCTTAGCGGCTTTCCTCCTGCTCTGCCCATTCTGCTCCACCTTTGGGACAAGACTTCCACCTCAGCTAGTCTCTGGTTGCTGAGATTTCAGCTTCTTGGGTCTGGAAGGTTAGGAATGGCCACAGGAAACGCAGGCGCTGGCTGTGCCCCTTAGTGGCATTCATTCGCCACCCCCTTGCTAGGGACCCCTTCCTCCTGGCCCCGGTACCAAATTCCCAGAAGGACTCTGAACCTCTGCACGCTCCGGAGCCAAACCTGATGATGCTTTGGACATTATAGCTGGGGCTACGGGGAGGCGTCCTCTCTCTAGATCCAAATATCTGCCTTCCGGACGCAGCCCTGCGGTCCTCTGGAGGGCGCAGGGGATGGGGCGCAGCCTGGGCCTCCTGGATGACACAGGGCATTCCCGCTGGCACCGAGGAGCGCTCAGACCTGCAGGGCCGAGAGCAGAGCCGATATATCTGGATTGATGACAGGGCGCACAGAGCGCCGACCGGACCACGCGTCCTCCGCACCTAGGCGCAATCTCAGACCCCACATCGCGGTCTCCTCCCACGGCCACGCTCGGCCGCCTCTCTCAACTGGCACACAGTTCTCGCACCCGTGGAGAGCTCCCACAACCCCAGCACCCAGCACCTCTCACTATCCCAAGCACGTGCTACCCACTAGCTCAGCCTAAGCATGTGCGGACGCGGCCTTGGCAGGAAGCGGGGGGGGGGGGGGGGGGGGTGCCTGCGCCTGCGCGCTGGCCACCGGGGCGACCTTGGGCGGGGCCACCTGCCTGCATCAGTTCCCCTGGCAACCAGAAGCCAGTTGATGAGCACGCTCTGGGGTGTTCAGTGGGTTCTCCCCTGCAGGCTGGGACATGCAAGCCTTTCTCTGCATGGCACATGCCTTTACAGAAGCCACTGACATTTTGTTAAAAACACAGAAAATCTATTTCCTAAGATGCCAGTCCTACGGGCGCCATGGTGGTGCAGTGGTAGATGCTTCTGTTACACGGGTGGCCGCCTGCCGCTCTGTCTTCTCCCGCTACCCTCAGTTTTCAGTTCAGCAAAGCGTGATGAAAAAGAGAGCATGTTAAACTCCCTCCTACTCAAAAGTCATTGTCATTTAGGATCCAAGAGAAATGGAGAATTGCCCTGATATGGTTTGAATATATGTCCTCTTCCAATTTCATACATTGAAAACTAATTCTTGAGCTGGAAGTAGCAGTGCATGCGCCTATATTCTCAGCATTTGGGAGGCTGAGGCAGGAGGGTAATGGTGAGTTTGAACCCAACTGAACTACATAGTGAGTTCAAGGCTAGTCTGAACTACATAGCAAGACCCTGTCTCCAAAAAGCAAAAAAAAGTGGCTCAAAGTGATGGTATTAGGAGGTGGTATGTTATTTTTTGGAGATAATTCGGTTCACGTGGACTCATGAAGGGATTAATAATGTGAAGATATTTTGTTAACTATCTGTCAGCCCACTCAGAGGGACAGAGGGAAATTTTCATGGGTGAGGTCCCCAGGTTAAAGAACACATGTGTGCAAGACATTAGCAACAACAGCAAGCAGTGAAAGGCTTTTGGCCCAGACAGGACACTGTAGCCAGGAAAGCCTCAACCGGAAGCAGGAAGCCCCAATCTCCCCTGCCCCTAGGAAGTTACCTGTGACACCATCTTCCCGCCCCTGGAAATTTACATATGGCACCAAACCTAGGACCAATGGGCTACCTGTGCATCCCCAATGCCCACCTTAGGTTCCACCCCAAACCCAGGCTATTTACATGCCCCCACGCCACGTGTCCGCCAGAGAGATCGCCGGTCGCCAGGCGTGGGGGTGCCGGTCATCTCTCTCTGTGTTCTCAGAATAAAGGCCAGTACAGCACAAAGTCTACCACATGACCCCAAGGTACTGTCCTAAATCTTATCCACCAGTCATGCATCTTGCTACCAATTCTTTTTTTTTTTTTTTGTCTTTTTCCTTTTTATCGGTACCGGGGATCGAACTCACGACTGCCTGCTTTAAGGCAGGCGCTTATGCCACTGAGCTAAACCCCCAGCCCCCTTGCTACCAATTCTTTATATTTTTATCCTCTCTGCCTTTGTATGTGCTACTCTCTCTGCATACATTGCACTTTTTCTTAACAATGTAATTACTTTTTTTTTTTTTTTTTGTCTTTTTCATTTTTATCGGTACCGGGGATCGAACTCACGACCGCCTGCTTGCAAGGCAGGTGCTTATGCCGCTGAGCTAAATCCCCAGCCCCCAATTACTTATTCTTGAAGTGCACCGCTTATAAATGCACCAGGAAGCAGTTTCCACCTTCCTTGCCATGGTTGCTTCCCGCATTGTACCCCTATATTACTGAACGTACTACATTGTATTACAGTAATTTCACGTTCTGATCTTTCCACTGGGCCCTGAGTTCATCTAGGGCAGTAACCCTTCTTGCTCCCATTTGTAGCATGCTTGGTTACAGAAGGAATTTTTTGAGTGAAAATGTAGGCATGTTCTTGAAATAACATTTTAGTACCTCCACTGCATAATTTTCAGTCTGTATGGTACTTAGCTTCAACTGCACACTGGAATCATCAGAGGATCTTTACAAACTCTCCATCTTCAGAGTGAGCCCCAGACATTACTATGTCACCAGCTTTCCGTGATTCCAACTGCAGCCAGGGTTGAGAATTCCTGCCATGTCTCTGACCAGGGCCCTTTCAGCAATCCCTGTGTGCTTGGCCTGCTGGGAGTCATTCTCCCTGCTCAGTTAGTTACACATGGGATCCTTCTACTCTTCCGGTGCACATATTTGCACAGACCCTTCCTCAGAACCAAACGCCAAGTCTCTCTGGCCAAAATGCGTCTTGCAAAGCCTGAAGGCTCCAGTAGTCTCGATCCTCCCCAGGAATAGGAAGGGCACAGTATGGTCAGGGAGCCCTGTTTCCTTCGGACGACTCTATAGTTGGAGGAATGGAGCAATATGGCATTGCACGTAGGCAGTACTCAGGAAAAGAAGGACGACCCTAAGTATCCCAGGCATCCATGACTGCTCTTCTCTGCCCGATAAGGAGACCATACAATCTTTGAATCCGGTTCAGCACCACCAGTCCTCACTCAGAAGTGCGCGCCTGCGCAGAGTTCAACGTCACTTTGAAGCGAGCCGGGCGCAAGAATTTCTGGGAAATGGAGTCCGTTCGAAGACAGCGCATTGATTGGGAGCACGGCTGCCAAAGACCTCTGCGCAGGCGCATTGCTTTTCAGATCTGAAGAGGCACGGTCTTTCCGGGTCCCCAGCACTCTGTGCCGGAGGTGAGGGTTTCGGGTCTGTGTCTTCCAGGAGTCCAGTGAGCACAGCGGCCCAAAGAAGGGGACGTTGGTGACATGGGGGAGGAGCTGTGGGAGCAGGACGGGATGACGCGGACGCACCCAGCCTGCAGAGCGTGTGCGGCGACGTCCCGGCTCCGAGGGGTGCGGAGGGAAAGTTGTCCCCCGGCGTGTGCCCGTGTTCCGTGGGGGCGCGGGCACTGTCGGCGTGAGCTTGTGGTGTGCACGACTCGCGTGCGGGGTTCCGAACTTTCAGGTGGGAAGTCGGGGCTGCCTCGCTTCTCCGGTTCCTTTTCCCCACGATGTGTGAACGTGGGTAGGACTGACATTAAATCTGGGTGGCCCGCCACGCGGGTCCCTCCCCCTTACCCAGAAAAGTGCCCAGACAAAGCTTCACTGAGCTCCCTGCCAGGCCCTCCGTGCCGGCGCAGAAGAGAGGATCGGATGGGGAGGGTGGGAGGCTGAGGAAGTAGCAGAGCGATAGGCAGACTTGGGAGGGAGATGTTTTTCCTGGCGTGCAGTGTCAAGGAATAACGGAAGACAAGGGCGGAAACTGAGGCCGGGGCACAGAGCCTCAGTCGGAGCACAGCCGTCATCCGGGTGGATCTTCTGCACCTGATCCGTGCGCAGCCTGGAGTAAAACTTCCTGGATGGTTATTCTAGAGGTCCTATTCTGCAGAGAGAGGAGGGAACCAATGGCAGGGGGTAAGTGAAGAATGTGGAGTAGTTTGGAAGGAGGCTGTTTATGACCTGAATTTTGATGGTGTTAATGGTAGGGAAAAGATGCAAATGACCCTGCAGAAGAACCAAAAGGACCTGGTGACTAGATTCGGAAGGAAAGAGTGAAGTAAGAGTTTGGATTTGGGACTACTGGGAATCATAAACATCTTATAGAAATGTATGGCAGCCGGGTGTGGTGGCACAGGCCTGTAATCCCAGCATGTGGGAGGCTGAGGCAGGAGAATCACCATGATTTGGGTACTAGCCTGGGCTCCATAGTGAGTTCAAGGCCAGTCTGGACTACTTAGTGAGACCTTGTATCAAAAAAAGAAATGTAGAGCTGATGATACACAGCTCATCAGCACAATTCCTGTCTGTCAGTGTGAGGTCCTAAGTTCAATTCCCAATACCAAAAAAAGAAAAACGGCATGTAAAGCAGAGGAGTTGATGGGGTTGAGAGGAAGTTGGTTTGAGGTGGTGGCAGAGTGCTTTTGCAAAACATATAGTCGCTTGGAAATGCAAGGTAGGGTTTGGAAGAGGAGTTGAGCTTGGACTTTGGAGCCGTCTTTGTAAAGGTGGGAAACAGCCCTGGATGGGGTGGACCTCCTGAGGTAGCCCTTTGTACCAGCAGAACACTGTACCAAGATGAGCTATGGACAAGATGAGCTATGGGTCTCACTGTGGCAGTTTAGGCTGGCCTTGAGCTCACTTCTGTAGCCCAGGCCGGTCTCGAAGTTGCAATGATCCTCAGAGTCAGGTTGGTTTGCTGGTAGGAGCACGTGTTGTAGCTGTCCTGCATGGCTGCAGGTACTCAGTCATTCTTATCTGGTGTGTCTGATTCCTGTTTCTGCAATTACTTGGTTTACTCCCTCGCCCTAGGTTACTTTTTCATATTTGCATGACTAGATAAAGTATATATTTCTGAGTGTGGTGGTGCAGGCCTATAATCCCAGCATTCAGGAGGCTGAGGCAGGAGGATTGCTCTGAGTTCAAGGCCAGCTTGGGCTACATAAGTGAGTTCAAGGCAGGCCTGCATTACATAGTGAGACCTTGTCTCAAAAAATAGACAAACAAAAAAATAGATAAAGTATATATATCCATAATGTATGTCTATAAACACTGCCTTTCTATTTCACCCATTCTGCAAGGTATTTGCTTTTTGATTTTGAATCTGAAACTCATGGGTCTTTCAAAATTCAAGTTATTTTATTAAGTAGCAATAATAAAATTTGTTGTTTACTTGGCCACTGGAAGCTAAAACAAACTGCATTTTCTTATTCAAGGTTGTGAGGGTGTGCAAGGATTGGTTTTGATTGCACACACACACACACACACACACACACACACACACTGGGATTGGCTCAAATTCTGTGTCCCAGAATATCCTTGTTAGCTTTCTCTTCATTCCTACGTCTCTTGTTCAGGTTAGTGACCCTAAGTCATCCTTGTTCTCCCATTCCTTAAGACTCTCCTTCTGATCATCTCCTGTCTATTCTTGTTTGTTTGCTTGAGACAGAGTCTTGCTGTGTATTTCAAGCTGGCCTTGAACTCACTATGCAGCGCTGACTGGCCTGGAACTCATGACAGTCCTCCTGCCTCAGCCTCCTGTGTGCTGGGATTACATGTGTGCACCACCATGCCTAGCTGTTCTTAGTGTCTCAATAGTGTGCTCCCTTCTCTTCATTTCTGCAGTCATTACTTTCACTCAGTTCTTCATCATTTCTTGCTTACTTAGTTATCCTCACCGGCCTCTACCCTTGCCCTCCAGTCCCATCCTGCCACAACATCTCAGCAGTGTGGCCACTTTGGGCAGTGGTACCCAGGATCATCACCAGGTTTCATTCAGGGATTCACAAGAAGGACTAGGAGTCAGCCTGTAGTTGTCCTCATGGCTAAAGTCATGACAACAGTCCTGCAAGGATGCAGGTGGAGTCGGGAAGACTCTGTGTATGGGTTTGCGTGGTTTCCTACCTCCCACAGGAGGGCATGCAGAACACACTCCTGCTCTGCCACCCAAAGCACGGCAGTGTGTGTGATGTCTCTGCCTGGGGAAGCACCGCAGAGACAGTGTTCAAGATCTTCATTGAGGACTGGGCAGGTGGCAGCCACTGCCTGACACACACCAAGTTCAAGTTCAAGCCCCTCCAGCGGGAAAGCAGATGCTCATCAAACCACGTTGCTTGTGTAAATAGTTGAGGTGGAGTCGTACACTCTTCCCTTTCAAAATCAAAGTCTCTCCTTGCCAGCTAAAGCTCAGCCTTGAAAGCAGAACTTCCCAGGAACGCAGTCTCAGGCATGCTGCAGCGTTTCTGTGTGCACTCTTCTTCCTGTTCTTCCTGGATACCACTGTAATGTGTACACTTTTTTTTTTTTTTTTTTGAGATGAGGTCTCTGCACAGTTCAGGCTGGCCTCGAACTCTCAGTGATCCACCTGCCTCGGCCTCCAGAGTGCTGGGATTACAGGAGTGTACCACTAACTTCTGGTTTGTGTACTCTTATGTAAGCAATCAAGAGAAATAAAGAACCATAAGAAGTTAAATAAAAATAACTTGTCATGCCATTACTCAAATCCCATTACATTGTAAGTCTTTTTTCTATACATGTGAGTATGCACAAATATGTCATATAAAAGACTGTATTCTTCACTTAATATTTTGTGAAAAATTTTTTCAAGAAAACAAACATTAAAGTCAAAGTTGAATTCTCCTGTGTATCCCTAACTTCATTTTCTTCTCTTCTGAGATCAATACATAATTTTGGATACTTATTGTCATATATATGTATATTTTTGGTTTGTTTGTTTGTTTGTCTTGGTAGCAGGGGTCAAACTCATGACCTTGTGCTTGCCAGGCAGGTGCTTATGCTGCTGAGCTAAATCTCCAGCCCTGTTTCATATATATTTTTGCAGATATCTTTGATTTTATATAAATGTCATACAATAAGACATTCTATGCCTATAATCCCAACACTTGGGAGGCTGAAACAGGAGGATTGTTGTGAGTTTGAGATCAGTCTGGGCTACACAGTGAGCTCAAGGCCAGCCTAAATTGCATAGTGAGATCCTGTATCAAAAAATACCAAAAAAAAAAAAAAAAAAAAAAGACATTCTCAAACTTTTTTGTTCAGTAATGATGTTTTTGTGCTTTTTCTCTGTTGTTAACATGAGACTCTTAACTCATTTTAGTCTATAATGATATTCAGGGTGGGATCATGTCCTGAAAAATCCATCATAAATTGAAAATATCATACATCAAAAATGCATTTAACACCCCCAGGCTGCTGCATGTGACCGCTGAGCAGTGCAGCACGCTGCAGAATGTCACTGTCTCCCTCTTCGTGTGGGTGCCCAGAACTGCAGCTGGGAGCTGGTACCCAGTGTCACAGGGGCGTCACACAGCTTGTGGCCAGCCTGGGAAAAGATCAACACACACACAAAATAGGAAGTGCGGGTTCTGCTAAATTCTTACAAGTTGGGGACTGCAATGGCCGTGCGTGTGTCCGTACTAACGTCTCAGTTTATTTGTTAGCCCATGGATAAATGTGGACCACGCTTGCAGCTGGTCCGTGGTGATCCTTTCTCTAGTGGGTTGTCATGCCTCCCCAGTCATGTGTTAGCCTTCCCTAGATGCTCTTTTGTGTTTGAGGATTTTCTGTTCACATCCATTGGTCTTCTGTCCTCCTGGCTAATCTTTCCCTGAAAATAAATCATAATAGCATAGAATTAATAGCGATCAGGCAAACCTGGGCTCGGATTCTACCACAGCCTCTAATAAAGCCTACATTTCCTCGTTTCTGTAAATTACTACTTGTCTTTTTTATGAGGATGAGGATTATGAGGATGGAACTAATCTCATAAAAGCACTTAGCACAGTACCCAGTAAAGGGCAAATGCTTAGTAAGTGCTGGTTGTTAATGGTATTAGCCTGAAGTTTAGTAGTGTTTCATTATATGTGTCATTATTTAATCAGATCTTCTGTTTTAGATGTTTAGGATATTTCACATCTTTGCAGTAATTATAAAGATTAAGTGAGATAACACATATGGATGTGCTTAGGAAGTTGCCTAGCGCACAGCCTTTAATAAGGGTTAGTGTTGGTGATTACTTAAAAGCTTTGTGTCTGTCCTTCCATTATCTCCCGAGGCTGAATCTCCGCAAGAAACAAGGGTGCCTGTTTCAAGGCCCCTGCTACAAGCCACAGCACCCGTCCTAAAGCTCAGAGCTGATGAAGCCACACCTGTGCTGAAGTTGCCGCTCCTGTGCTTGTGGGACTGTTTGGCCTCTGCCTGCTCCTGCAGCCTCACCCTCCTCAGCGCTGCTCACAGCCTGGATGTTTGAGCTTCCGATTTTGGTCCTTAATCCTTTTCATATAACAATCCGTATTTTGGGGGCTGGGGATTTAGCTCAGCGGCATAAGCACCTGCCTTGCAAGCAGGCAGTCATGAGTTCGATCCCTGGTACCGATAAAAATGAAAAAGACAAAAAAAAAATCCATATTTTTTAAAAACTCAAGGTCTTTCCTGCCTAGAACATTCCATCTCTTCCCCCAAATCAAAATTACCTTAGATTACATTTCTGCCAAGCAAACTGCAGTGTTCCCCATCGCTCCTTCCTTCCTTCCTTCCTTCCTTCCTTCCTTCCTGTCTGGGTCCGGGGCCCCTGGGCTGCCCTCACAGTTCCCCTTGTGTTTCTTTTTGCAGCATTTACCCACTCCGTTTACCCGTCTCTTACAATATGAAGTGATTGCTTCTAGAGGACAAGGACAGCATATTGACTTTTTATGCCATACAGAAGTGGTTGGTGCTGAGCAATGCTGGTTCCATAGATGGATGAATGAACCATGAGGACTAGAGAACATATTCCCTTGACTGCAGGAATGTGCCCTGTGAGCCCCACACACACCTTTCCCACCTCCTTTCCAGGACCTCACTATCCCCAGCTGCTAGGGAGTCCCGGAAGTGCTGGCTTCCTTCTGTCATTTAATCAGACTCAATCATGAGGCAGTGAGAGTCCCCAACCAACTGAAGCAAAGGATTTACACAGTCCAGCAGGGCTGCAGCCCTGTGGAAATCCCGGTCTGCAGGGAGACCAGAGCCCACACAGTTCTAGGTGAGGAAAGAGAGCAGGGTCTGTCCCTCATTTCTTCCCCCACTGATGTGACTGAGCTGCTGGCCCTGGCCTGGTTCTTGTCTGACTATGAATGACTTGTCTCTGTCTGGAGCCTCCCGCAGCATAGGTTCTGCTCCCTCTAAAGTTGGCTACCCTGATCCTCAAGGCTGCCGCAGGACCTCATGACACCCTTTCAGCTCCCCACCTGCTTGCCATCTAGACATTTCTTAGTTCCTGTCCTGAGGAAAGATTCTACTTCAGATCACATCTCAGTCTGTGTCTGTGTTGCCCGCCTGTGCCCTGGTCAGTGGGCTGCAGGATGGAGCATAGGGTCAAGCAATATGAGATGGGGCTGCTTCCTTAGCAATGGCTGTGAGTGGGGTATTTTGCCTTTGAGGAGACCCAGGTTTCATTGACATGTCTTGTCCATGTAGTCATTTAAAGATTTTCTCATGTTTTTGGACCAGTGATTATACATACAAGACAATGTGAAATGTGAGTGTGTAAGTAGAATATGAATCCTAACGTGTTCTGACTCCTAGGAGCAGAACTCTGACCCAAGGATCATGGTGATCTAACTTGCAATATCCTCAGCCTTTGGCTCCATCTCGGGGGGAGCCAGGGTTGCTCTGGGCCTTGCTTTACTTTATGTACCCCTTTGCAGGGTACTGGAAATGGGACAGATCTTCGCTCAGTGACACATGGAGAGTTCTTGCTTCATGGTCAGAAGACTACCAGACTGGCCTTTCTCACACCTTCCTTCTCGCCACACCTCTGCCTCCTTCAGACTCTGCCCTTCCCTAGCCAGCGAGCACCCAGGAGGGGATGGCTGTTGTGTCTGTACCTGCCACATGCCAGGTGAGGTGAATTTCAGTGTTTCTGGAATACTTTGTCAGCGTCCAGAAGGCCCCACTTAGCTTTCTCTGTGCTGGAGCTTCTGGTCCCGCCCTCCCAGGCAGTTGAAGGGCTCCCCTTCCCCCAGGGGTATTTCCCATGTGACCAAGGTACTTTCGGTGACCCTTCTCTTGCCTTAAGCATGCGCCCACTGCTCCATCACCTGCAGTCTTTGCTCTCAGTGATTTTGCCTAGCAGCCAGTGTATGGGTCCAACTGGACAAGTTTGGGGAGCAGTGGGTTGGTTCTGGTCCTGACTAGCATATCCATGAGCAGACTGAGAGTAAGCCGCAGGGGTCAGGGTTAGGCTGGGGAATGGGATACATGCTTACAGCGCCTCAGTGAGGCTGGAGACAGCCCTTCTGGGCTGCTTGCTCCATTACAAGGCAGGACGTCTTCAGGTCCCTGTTCTGGCCCACAACTTCCAGGGAGTCATGGAGTAAGGATGCAGGCTTACAGCATCATCACAGACCTTTAAGTGAAGTTAAGGGACCCCAGAGATAATCTAAACAACATCGTTATTCTAATGATTTGTAAAAAAATAAATAAGTTGGTAAATTAGATAATACTATAGTATTTATGCTCTTTATTTTTATAATTATACTTTGATTACATCAAAGTATGTTTATTTCTTGTTTCTGTAAAATATACGGCACAATTTGGGAGTAAAGGGATATGTTCACAAGTAAGGGGAAGCTGGTTGTGTTTCCAGGAATCTGTGACATTCGAGGATGTGGCTGTGGTCTTCACAGATGAAGAGTGGCGGCACCTGGTCCCCATGCAGAGGGCGCTGTACAAGGCAGTGATGCTGGAGAACTATGAGAGCATTGTCTCGCTGGGTAAGGGGACTCCAGCAGGAGTCACAGCCTGTCCTGCATTGTGTGGGCTGAGCGCCTGAGACATTGGGACGTCTCCCCCTACCTGAGTTCTGAGCCACTGACAGATGAGATAAAAGAATCAGTGGATGTGGCTACCATGGGCCCCGCACTGGGCTTCCAAGTGCTGTCCCTGGCCCTAGACCCAACCCCAGCCCTGAGCAGTGCTGCTCACCACTGGTCCCCTCCCTCAGCAGCTGGCCCCGCCAGACACAGCGCTGGCTGCAGAGAGCTGGCCGTCCAGAGAAGGCAGCCAGAAGAGTTACAAATGCCCAGGTTTTCTCCTGACCTGCCAGTCGGGTGATGCCCTCAGCAGTATCAGAAGGACTAAGTTGTAGGCAAAAGGCCATCTTGTAGTGGGGAGGTTTCTACTCCTTGGAAGGAGGGGAAAGAATGATCCTTTTTTTTTTTTTTTTTGTCTTTTTCCTTTTTATCGGTACGGGGGATCGAACTCACGACTGCCTGCTTGCAAGTCAGGCACTTATGCCACTGAGCTAAATCCCCAGCCCCAGAATGATCCTTTTTCAAAAGAGGGGTGTGTACGAGTGTGATCACAGGAGCCTGTGTCTGCATAGGTCACCAGAAATGAGCTTGATTTTGAGTATTTAAGGACAGTCAGAGTGATCCCATAGAGGTGCTCATGGTGACAGCAATTTGTGCATGACAAAGAGGCAGTTAAGAGCAACTGATGTCAGGTGTTGGAAGTGAAGCTAGGCCCCTGCAGGTAGTGAGGACTTCTCAGGAGCTTCCAGAGTCTGGGGCTGGGGATTTAGCTCAGCGGTATGAGCGCCTGCCTTGCAAGTGTGTGGTCATGAGTTCAATCCCTAGTACTGAGAAAGACCAAAAAAAGGGGGGGGGGGGCAGAGGCAAGCACAGAGGTGTGAGCCTGAGGTAGAAAGATGATTTGAACTCAGGTATCTGGGACCCCAGAGCCCCCATACAAAGGAGCTCTAGCCTATTTCCAGGAGCGTTCTGTTTTTTATATCTATGACTAGAAATGGATAGGTTTACTTCCAGGAATCAGTCCTAATGAAATAACAGGATTAGCAGTCCACGGGGCATGAAAAGTCATTATACCATTGTATGTTAGCAGCAAACATTAAAGACGCTTGCTAGGGGAATCATTAATTATATTATTCCACATAGTGTACTATCATGCAGCCAGTAAAATGGTAATATAGATCTATGCTAATTAAAATTATTTTATTCTTTTTTTTTAATGTTCTTTTTTTTTTTTTTTTGTCTTTTTCATTTTTATCGGTACCAGGGATCGAACTCACGACCACCTGCTTGCAAGGCAGGCGCTTATAGTGCTGAGCTAAATCCCTAGCCCCTATTTTAATTTATTCTTATATGAAAAAAGCAGCTTACAAAACAGTATTATTTCATTATCTGGTTTAGCAGAATATATCTATAGGTATCTTTCAGTATCAGAATGAGTGGAAAGAAGAAAATGAATACAATATATGAAAGCTGATTTTCCTTTTTCCTATTTTTTTTTATTTTTGCCTTTTGAGAGAAGTCTCACTGTGCAGTTCAGGCTGGCTGTGAGCTCACTTTGCAGCCCAGGCTGATCTCAAACTTGCAACTGCCCTCCTATCTCAGCCTCCTGAGTGCTGGGATTTGATTTTACTTTTTACTTGTATCTGTTTGTAATTCTCCTGCTTGTTTCAGTCAAAGCATAACACAGACTGTAAATAAATAAACAAGCGTGAGGCCATTATGGTTTTTGCTTAAAATCATCTTTTTTTTCCCTCCCCTCCCCTGATCCAAGGACCTGCCCCACCACAGTGCCCAGCCAGGGGGCGTCCCACTGTTCCATGTGAATCCCAGTAGATTTATTTTGTCAATGCTCTGGCCGAGTGGCTCTTGTTGTAGAACCTCAGTCCTGACCTCCCCTCAGAGGATCCTCTGCAGTGTCCTGCCCTCCCAGCTTGTGCTTTCTGCCCCTTGTGCTTTCTCTCTGATAGATGCAGAGGCCAGGATTAAGCTTTGAATGGTGAATATATTTCAGGCAAAGGTAGCCACCTGGCTTATTTCTGTTTCCCTGAGCAGGACTTCCAGTCCCTCCACCTGATGTGATTTTTCAGTTGAAGCGAGGGGACAAGCCATGGATAGAGGGTCTTCAAGGACCTGAGGAGAAAGAATGTCCACTGATTATCTTTCTAGGTAATTGGATGTGAATGAGCCAGGGCAGTTTTATCTGGTTATGTCTTGGGGTGTGGTGCAGGGAGGAAACACGGGGTGCTACCTTTTTGTTTGAGTGCTTGTTTTAGATCACCCAGCAGCTTGCACTGTTTTTCTCTACCCCTCGACGAGCTCATCTGTGTTCACCATGTCTGTCCTGGTGCCCGCTTGCACTGTGATATTCCTGCTGGTCACCACCCTCTCCTCTAGCTTCCTCTCCTGATTCTCCTGTGTGCAGAGATGTCTGCGCCAGATCCCCTCGCTGCCCTCTTCATCTTCCCTCCCCCATCTCGAACCTTCTCTAGATTTTGTGGGCGCATGCAGTGCTGCAACCCTACATTACTCTCACAGATTCATCTTGTCTCTTCTTGCCATTCTCTCTCCTGGCCCAAAGAACAAACTGCATGTTTTTGTTTGTTCCAGATTGGGAGACCAAGCCAGAGACTCAAGATGCCTCCAAAGAAGAAAACCCAGAAGGAACCCTGAACCCCAGCCTCGGCAGGCAAAGTCCTCTGTGTCCCAGACTTGAAGCTCAAGTACCAGAGGGGGCAGAAGAGGAAAGCCCTGCCGTGGAGACTTGTAAGAAGCCCCCTTCCCAGGACAAAAGCCTGCAACGAGGGCCAGCCCCACCCCGGAAGGTCCTCGAGAAAGACCGAGACCAGGAATGCAGTGCCTGCGGGAAGACCTTTTTTGACCACTCTTCTCTCGTCCGGCATCAGAGGACACACACTGGGGAGAAGCCCTATGACTGTCCCGAGTGCGGGAAGGCCTTCAGACACAGGAGCAGCCTGAGCCGACACTTGATGTCGCACACTGGGGAGAGCCCCTACGAGTGCGGAGCGTGCGGCAAAGCCTTCTTTGACCGATCCTCGCTCACTGTGCACCAGCGCATCCACACGGGCGAGAAGCCCTTCAAGTGCAGCGAGTGTGGGAAAGCCTTCTTCGACCGGTCGTCCCTCACTCGGCACCAGAGAATCCACACTGGAGAGAGTCCTTACGAGTGCCACCAGTGTGGAAAGGCCTTTAGCCAGAAAAGCATTCTCACTCGGCACCAGCTCATCCACACGGGCAGGAAGCCGTATGAATGCAGCGAGTGTGGGAAAGCCTTCTATGGAGTCTCGTCACTGAACAGGCACCAGAAAGCTCACGCGGGGGAGCCGCGCTACCAGTGTAACGAGTGCAGCAAAGCGTTCTTCGACCGCTCATCCCTCACACAGCACCAGAAGATCCACACGGGCGACAAGCCCTATGAGTGCAGCGAGTGCGGCAAGGCCTTCAGCCAGAGGTGCCGGCTCACGCGGCATCAGCGGGTTCACACGGGGGAGAAGCCCTTTGAATGCAGTGTGTGTGGGAAAGTATTCAGCTCGAAATCCTCAGTCATTCAGCATCAACGGCGTTACGCCAAACAGAGGGTAGACTGAGCTGGGTGGGAGCTTGAGTCACACCAAGGAGCTCTGTACACACCTAAGACCAGGTCTCCTCTGTCACACCCAGGCCCAGCGTTTGCACTCGGGCTCCCATCCTGCCTGGCCTCTGTTCCACAGTGTTTGAATAAACACTCTGTACCTACTGTGTTGTAGAACTGATGTGGGGTATGCAAGTAGGAAATGACTCTATAGAGTCAAATATCTGGAGAGGGGTGGGGATGTAGCTCAGTGGTAGAGCACTTATCCAGCATGTGCAAGGCCCTGGGTTTAATAACCAGCACTACAAAACAAAATTTTTGGTGAGGTTGTCAGAAATAGGGAAGATGTAGGAGGGGGTCCTCAGAGACACCTACTGTCAGAACCTGGGCTCTAGGCAGTACTGCACTTTAAACAACTGGAGGCTACAGCAAGAGGGGAAAGGCACAATTACACCACAGCAACTGTTTTTTCACACTAAGTTGTTTTTGTAGTTGTTAGTCCCTCTTTCTTGAAGCTTTTCTGGGCACTGGCCTTGTTCTTGTGTGCCCCAGATTTTAGAATTCTTAATATTTCTAGCGATCATTAACATGTATCGAGCACTTGTTGTGGGGTAAACACTCAGCTAAGAACTTGCCAAGGACAAGACTGTTCAATCCTCTCACCAGCTCTGTGACATAGGCGCTGTTGCTGGCTGCATTCTACAGATGAGCACACTAAGGTGTAAGAGATGGAATTACTGGCTCAAGGTGACACGGTAGTGAAAGGTGAAACCAGGGCTCCAGTTAGTCTCTTTCAAAGTCTGTTCTCTTCATCATGCTATGAGTTTTGTTTTATAATTTATGTGTATATGTTAGCTCTTTAACTAGATTGTAAGCACTTGGAAGTATGACTTACAGGACTTTGTGTCTTGCACAGTGCCTTGCAAATAGTGCTCAATAAATATTTATCTGAATGAATACCCGGTTCTCTCCATTTGAAACACCTCTTCATTTCCTGTCTGAATTTTCACACCCCTACCTGAAGCTTTATTATCCCAAGCCCCATGGCGCAGTAATCAGCTCCAAATTCTAATTGTTCCCTCTTCATCACTAAAGAGGTACAGTAACTAGGAAACCCCCAAATAAAAATCTGTGCCAGACATCCTGTCTGATATTTGTCATTCTCATTCCATTCTCATCATTTAGAATATTCAGCTTCCAAAGTCACTGTGAAGAAGGAAGTGAAAGCTAGAGGAACTGGTGGGATACTTTTCTGGGCCAGACATAACTCTTTTGCTCCCATCTCATAAGCCAAAATCCAGCAACTGGAGAACAGGAGCAGAAACAGATGCCCCGGATTTGGTTAACACCAAGAGCCACCCGTTAAATTTTGCATGACACTCTTGGGTCAGTCTTTTCACATGGCCCCCTTCTTGCCCATCATTGCCTTGAACTCAGGACCTAAAACAGCTCCCAGTTTAATGCATACTTTTCTGAATACTTACAATCTGCCTTATGTGAGTCCCACTACCAAAAACTTCACATCCTGACTCCCAAAACTATTCTATTTTCTGGTCCTGGCTCAGTATTTTTTATTTTATTAAATAGTAGTCCCCTTGACTCTAAGCATCTGTATCTCCTTTGTATTCACTTAAGATGAAGCCCAGGGAAGCACATGGTTCTGAAAAGCTGTGTGGAATTAGATTACATGAATCCCAGTGAGCTAAGGCGGATTTCCCCTGGAAGTGAAAGATTCCAGGAAGCCAAGTTGCCAAGCAGGTCCTAACCTACTTACATGTATATTAAACCTGGTCCACCTTAGAGTAAATATGTGGCAGGAAAGACTTCTGATGTATGAATGTTTGAAGTAGATTGAAGAAAATGTGACAATCTAGGTATGGACAGTATCTGCTGTTTAATGATGTAGAAAATAAAACGACTACCTACAGACCTGGCTGCTGATTGTCTCTGAGTGTCCTGAATGTTTAATTTACTATCTTGTTTAAAGTACACTAAGGGTCAGCCGGGCGTGGTGGCTCATGCCTGTAATCCCAGCACTCAGGAGGCTGAGGCAGGAGGATCACTGCGAGTTCGAGACCAGCCTAGGCTACAAAGTGAGCTCAAGGCCAGCCTGAACTGCACAGCAAGACCCTGTCTCAAAAAGACAAAACAAAAACAAAAACAAAAACAAACCCCACCAAGGGTCAAGTATTTCCCTGAAACATTCCACAATTGTCAGCAGATGAGATTGGAAAACATCAGAATGATAATGGGCTTTTGAGGGAAGTGATAACTGAAACAGTGTAGGGATGCAAATTCGGTGGTTTACTCTGTTCCTTTTAAAATTTAATACTTCACACGGCATTTTCTACAGCATGGGGTTACTGTTTTAAAATTAGTTGCTAAAAACTGAGGAAAGGGCGATTTCACCTTTCACTGGTATCTCCCAATATAGCAGGCAGTAATGAAAGCCTTGCGTTTTCAAGTTTTAGTTCACGTGGCCATTCCTAGGACCAAATCTTTGAAACAGTTTTATCAACTTGAAGTATGCAAGCATCAAGGCAAAAAAGATTGGGTAGGGTTCAAGCCTAAGACTTTAAAATGGTTTTGAAGAAATACTGTCTCTGATGCCAAATAAGCCCTGAATTTTAAGAGAATGGTATGCTCACCACACGAATGGAAAAACTCCACGAGCCAGCTCTTCAAAGGGCTGTCAATGCCAGAGAATTCCAAAATGAGATGTGCTAGCTTTCTGTTACTATTTTTTTTAAAAAAGTGCTTGAAGTAATCGGGTTGTAAAGAGAGAGATTTATTTTTGCTCACAGTTTTGGAGGTTTCAGTCCATGGTTAGTTGGCTCCACTTTGGGGCTGTCATGAGATGACACATCATGGCAGGGGTGCACAGCGGAACAAAGCCACTGATTCTATTGCTAGAGCGAGAAAGAACAAGAGAAGATACAGGTCCTATAGGTCTCCTTCAGAGGTATGCCCCAATGACCTGAAGACCTTCCATTATGTACCATCTCTTAAAGTTTCCATCTCCTCCAAAGAGCACCAAGCTGGGGGATCAAGCTTTGGGGTTACATTCAAGACCCAGATGAGACCACTGGAATATGGCAGGTGGAGGACACCTAAGCCCTGCAGGCTGGGACACACAGCTGGCAAATTACCAACCCCAGAAATTGTTGAGACATCAGGATGTAAGGATGACCAGCAGAAAGGTGGTCCAGCTTCTGAGATCAGCCATATCCACCCTCTACTCTTCCCTCAGCCTGTACTTGTAAGAATGAGCAGTATGCCTAACCTGGTCAGTCTCTTTCTCTGACAACTACTCTTATTCTTATTCCTTGGTCATAGCTGACAGAGTAAGAATTGAAACATGATCTAATTCCATTAAGTTGCTCAGTGGTCAATGGGTAAATGTCTCAGGATTCCAATTAGGGAACACAATGACCATGGCCAATTGATTGAGGCCTTGGGTCAGTAAATCTATGAGACTGGGGGTTAAAGAACTCACTGAGGCTTGTGCTGCAGGAAAGAATGAGATCGTGGTGTTCCTGAGGGAGGAAGACATGCACATCTATGAACCAACATACAGCTGTACAGAGCAGCCCTGGTTCCTGTCCAGTTCCAATTTGGAACTGGACAGGAACCAGGGCTGCTCTGTACTTGTGATTATGTTTGTGTTGCACAGATGTCCTGTACACAAACACCAACTGCATAATCATTATAATCTTGGCATTGGTTATTCTAAAAGTTCAAAACTACATATCTAGATTCTCCATTTAGAGAGCTCATAGAACAAGAGATGAAGATGGACCCTTTATCACTGTTCCTTCATTACCTAGCAGGACATGCAAGTCTGTTACAAGGAAGGAATCTGACTAGCAGGGGATCACAACTAGAGAGCAGTGTCCAATGTAACATCACATCGGATTGTATAGCAGTCTTCCAACAGGCTCGGCTTCAGGGGACTTCAAGTCCTTTCCTCTTTCTTTTTCTCTTTTCTGCCCTTCCAACAGATGAAATTGGTTTATGATAAATGCCCAGAATAGTGTTCTGTCATTTTACATGGGCACAACTGGGAAAACTACTGAATCTTTTTAAGGATCAGGAGAAAAAAACTTCCACCAAATGAATAAACCTTTCTCTTGAGAATATTACTCCTGTGTTTTCCAGGTGCTGTTTTCATAAGGTTATCCTCATGCCAGGGCCCAAGAGGAAAAGAACAGGAAAACATTAGGAGATATGAGGTCTCCATCTTGCCCTGGATGTGTAGCTGCTCTGTGTAATGTGCCTCTGCTTTTCTTCTTTTGTGGCACTGGGTACTGAACTTGCCTTACACACACTGGGCAAGTGTTCTACAACTGAGCTGCAGCTCCAGTTATTTTATTTAATATTTGCAGTTCATGTTTACATTCCTTGTGTGAAGTTGGCACTTGTTAACACCTTAATTCTTGTTCCTAGGAATATGCTAACCCTAACAGAGCAGCACCAGTGACTGTAACATCCACCACTTAGAGAAGGTGGCTTTGTTTGTAGCCCTGTTTTGTCCTAAACAGGTGCATCAGTCAGCTTTCCTGTGGCTGGGACAGAGCAGCTGACACCAACAATTAAAGGAAGAAGGGTTTACTTTGACTTCTGGTTACAGAGGTTGCTACCATGGTCAGCTGCTTCCAAGGCAAAACATTATGGTGAAACAGCACAGTGGACAAAAGTTGCCCACATCATGGCAGCCAGGAAGTAGTGTAGGAAAAGCCAGGAAGAGCAAGGCCAGGGACCACTAACTGCCTGCAAGATCATGCCTTTATGACCCCCCCCCAGACACATCCACAAGTATACTTTACTAATCTCCTAAGTGTCTCATCAACCAGTCAGGCTGACAGTCAAAATTAACCATCAAGCAAGGCATGTTGGCTCATGCGTGTAATCCCAGCATTCTGGAGGCTGAGGCAGGAGGATTGTTGCAAGTTGGAGATCAGCCTGAGTTACAAAGTGAGTTCAAGGCCACCCTGAACTGCATAGTGAGACCTTGTCTCAAAAATGCCAAAAAAAAAAAAAAAAAAAAGATTAACCATCACAGTAGGATACTAGGATTGGGCTCTTTCATACCCCACTCCCCCCTCCCCAGATTTGCTGTCTCTGAACTCAGTCTTTTCCAAGAGAACACAGTATAAGACAAAAAGGAAACTCTTTGCCAAATGGCCAGATGGCAGGTGAGCCAGACTTTCTTTGGTCTAACACTGCCTGCCAGCCAGCAAGTGAATACTGGGAGACTAGTTCCATCCCTGTGGAAGCTGGGCTCTGGGAGAATGCTTATCCATGCCCTTTTCGGCTCCAGCTTCTCTTCCTCCAATGCGGCACAGCAGCAGGAGCCTTCCTTTTGAGTAGCCACTGGTCCTCTCCCTGAGTTTGCATTCAATGGTTAGAGAGCAGCGGGTTGAGGCAGTGAGCCCAGTGGCTTAGGGAGTAATTAGAGAACTTTCAAGAGAACATTAAAACTCTGAATCCTTTCAAAAGTATACTGCATCATCAATCTTGTCTCTCCAGTTTCAGTTCCTCTGCCTTAGACTGTCCTCCATTCCTGGACTCAAGAACTAGTTGGACATGCTGAGATCTCACCCATCACTTAATGTTAGAGCTGAGAGGCTTTTAACATTCATTTGATCCAACTTCTTCATTTTATAGTTTAAAAACTGAAGCCAAATACCAGCAGTCTTTGAATTTGGAAAATCCACTGTGGACAGGATAAGCATAAAACCATAATGAAGACTTCTATGGCTCACAGACCTGTACTTTTTTTCTAATTTATCAAGCATCTCCAACATCTTCAAACCATTTTTTTCTATATGCCTTTGGGTGCTGTGATCTTTCTACTCAGATGTGAAAGATACACAGATAAGCAAGAATGGGTTTGTCTTTTTAGAAGTCACTCAAGTTTAAGGATGTGGCTGAGAGGTTCTCAAAGCACAGAGACGCTGTTCCCTCCATAGGCCTTTTCAGAAAGGTGTTAGTAAAGTATTGGGATTCTTCTTCGTTTATTGCGTATTTCTCAACAGTCAACTGCTCTGATTATCCCCGTTTCTCTGTGTAGTTCCTCTTTTTTTTTTGGTACATATCTCTCCCTGAAATGCTCTTCTTTTGCTGTTTAGATGGCTTTCTTCTGTCAGCTCTCATCTCAAATGTCAATTCCAGAAGACCATTATTTAGGGTCCCTCTGAAAAAGCCCCTCATCCAATTCCTACTCATCACCAGGTGAAATGTTGTTTTATTTCTTCTTTGTTGTACGTCTAGAATAAAATCATCATGAGGGTAGGAATTGTCTCTGTCTTGTTCATTACAGTCCCAGTGACTTTTTCTGTACTGGCACTTTAAAGGATCATTTGATAATAAATATCAGAAGGATGAACAACTGAAGCATATTTTGGGGGCCCATCTTCCACTTCTGTTTTCTATTCAAACCTTTTTCCTTGCTAATTTTTCAGTCTCTCCCTCATGATACCTCTAATATATCAGGCAATGTTTTGTATTCATTCTTCACATATATGATACTGTATCTTTCACAAACATTTAAGGCCAGTTATATGTTTTCTATTTGCTTTAGAATCCAACAACCAGGATTCAATCCAAATGTAGGCTGTTTCTGAAAAAAGTAAAATCACACACACAAAATATTTAATGGAAAAACCCGGGACACGTAGTCCTCTCTATTCCACATATGGCCTTGAAAAACCTGAGCGAAGAAAGAAGAAATGCCTTTAGTGCAAACTGAAGACATCTTCACTCAGGGAAAATGACTCAAGGGAAGGATCCACTCCTCCCAAGAAAGGTATCGGTAACACAAGAAATCAGGAACACCACATATTCAGGAATACCTTGTGTAACCAGTTATCTAGCATTCACCACCAAAGAACACATACTGGAGAGAAGTCTTACACTGTCAAGCATACAGTCTTTAGCTACAGTAGTCTTAAGAAACATCTGATGTAGGGGTTGGGGATTTAGCTCAGCGGCATAAGGATCTGCCTTGCAAGCAGGCGGTCGTAAGTTCAATCCCCGGTACCGATAAAAAAGAAAAAGACAAAAAATAAAAAAATTAAATTAAAAAAAAGAAGAAACATCTGATGTCACACATGGGGTAAAGCTCCTCCATACTCAGGGAATATGGCAAAAAAAAATTATGACTAACCCTTACTGAACATCAGTGAACTCATAATGGATAGAAATCCTTTCAATGTAACCAATATAGCATGCCCTTCTTTGTCCATTTATCTTTTGACAGCAGAGAATTCATACTGGGGAAAGTTCTTGTGAATGTTGAAATTACAGAATATGGGAAATTCTTTAGTCACAAGTATTTATCACCCTAAGTTCACCACACCACAGACCAGCTAGGGTGACAGGCAAAGTTGTGTTTGACCACTGATCTCCCATTCATCACAGCAGAACACATACTGAAGACTCCTTTTGGATTTGATGAGTATGGGATGATCTCCTATATCAGAATCAGAAAAATCATGGTGGAGACAAGCACTAAACAAAGGAAAGCCTCTCTCCAGAAAGGACAGCTTATTCAATATTAAGAGAATGCACAATGGAGAAAATTCCTACAATTGCAGCAAATGTGGGAAAGTGTTATAGTCCAGAATCAGCAACACTAGGCCAAACAGGTTTTAGAAGATAGAGGAGCTTCAGCCAGACAAGAGATATCCACAGTCCCAAAATGCTTTTGTCAAAGATATTTAGGTTTGAGCACCTCTAACTTACTGCTTATCCTCACGCCTTCATGTGGTACCACAGTTCAAGTAATAGTCAAAGAGGAAAACCAGTTTCAAGGTGCAAAGGAGTAGTCAAGTTGTCTCACCTGCTATAAACATGTTGTGAGATGAGGACTGAGAACTGGAAATTTGGTTTGGTAACAAAAGAAAAGGACTTCTGTGATGGAGATGTTTATGGCTAGGAACAAGGAAAAAAAAAAAAAAGACATGGCCTGGTGTTCCAGAGAGATCAGCTGGAGTGTCTTCCAAACACATCTTCTGAAGGAAAACTGCCCATCTCTTAGCATCTGCTAATGGAAGGGTGAGGAGGTGCTCTTGAGGGGGCCTGGCTTTTTTCCACCACAGACCCTTTCTTGGACTCAATTCACAGGGCAGTTAAATTAGTGTGACTTTCTTTTTTTTATTTTTCATTTTTTCTTTCTTTCTTTTTACCGGTACCGAGAAAACTCACGATCATCTGCTTGCAAGGCAGGTGCTTATGCCACTGAGCTAAATCCCCAGCCCCTAGTGTGACTTTCTATGTAGTACAAACTCCAAATGACTCATACAAATTAAAAGTTTGTATCTCTTTGGTGTTGAGGCCCAAATTCTGTTCCAATAAACTGTCAGGGGCTCGGTTTCTTCTGTCCTGTTTGCTGTTCCTTAAGTGTTAACCCGGTCCATGGCTTCTTGTCTGTGATTCATCCAGCAGGGAGGAAGGTGCCAAAGGAAAGATCTCCCTTCTCTCAAGGAAGTACTATTGCTTTCAGCCTCTTGGCAAGAGGCAGGAATAATGAGTGATGAAATCCAGCCGCGTGTGTCAGGTCCAGCTAAAAATAGAGGGAGCCTATTGAAGAAAGGGCAATTGGACCTTGTGGCTTCTATTCAAGCAATACACTTATGCTAATGAAATTTTCTTTCTTGAGAAACTGGACAACACCTTGATGATTTGACTGTATTAAGGCAAGCAAGCACACTCTGTGCCACTAACTCCCAGTGCTCGCAGGAAGCTGGAAATGACTTTTCGGGTTCCTGTCTCCCGGGATCATCAGGTCCTTACAGGTTTTCCTTGGGATCTGGCAACTTCTGTGTCAAGTGTTGTAACCTAGTTCTAATCAATGCGCCTCCTTTCTGTTCTGTATGCACCGTTTCAATAGATATTAAAATTCCATCTCCAGTAAAGACTTAAGTTTCAGCTCCTTGTAAATCCCTCTCCCTCCCCATTCTTTTTAGGTTAAGTCTCCATTTCCCATAAAAGCTTTAAGTTTCAGTTTCTTGTAACAACCCCCCCCCTGCACGCCCCTTCAGCCTATCTGCAATACAATGTGCTGTCCTTAAGAAACATTTACCTACAAGGAAGTTATCAAACTGGGTCAAAGTTCGCAACATTCCTGTCGTTTTCAGCCTTAAAACCCAACCTTTTTAGCTATAAGGCGCGCAGTCTCCATATTGGCTCCTGGAGGCTGTGTCGCCAGGCCTGGCCTAAAATAAAGCCTTTGCTCCCCAAATTTTAATTTCTTTTTTCCTTGGGTTTTATTTCGGGGTCCGAGCTATCACATCAAGGTCATTTTCACCTTTCCTGATTCAAAAGGGCAGCCTAGCCCAAACATACCTGCTCACTCAAAGTAAACTGTAATCTTTTGTCTCAGGCTCAGTGAACCTAATTATTGCAAAGACAGCGGAAAGGCAAAGGTGGCTGGGGTAGGGGAGGGCACTCAAGCACATTCTCTTACAAGAAGCTGAGCGGCTAAGACGAGAAGTTTGCGTGGCTAAACAGCCCCCTTTCCGGGGCTGCAGGAGAGGAGAACGAATGTCCCAGGTGAGAGGCGACCAGCGACGGCCCCAGCGCAGAGAGAGGCTGCCGTTCAAGAGCCAGGGGCAGACAAACGCACTGCGTGCTCCGGCAGGCGAATGGAAACCCACAGACGCGCCGCGGGGGCCTCTGGGAAGCACCGGGAGAGAGGCGCGCCCAGCGAAGCATTCTGGGAAATGTAGTTCAACTTGAAGCTCAGCAGGGGCCTCTCGGCCCCTCCCGCTCTTGGTTGCCATTGTCACAGGGCCTGGGTCCCGGGCTGGAGGAGGGCTGAGTGCCGAGCCTAGTGAGTCTGCGTGCCCCGAAGGAGGGCGGCGGAGGGCCTCGGCAGGGGGCGCACGTTCCCGGACTCTTGGTGGACCCGTGCAATCGCCCGGGCCCTGGGCGCAGGAGGGAGTCGCGATGGATCCTGGGGGCGGAGGTGAGGATCCTGCTGGGTGCCCGCGGGAGCGCAGGCGGGAAGAGAGGCTGCCTCGGGCTGGGCAGGCAGTAGCTAGGCAGAAACAGCATCACGTACTCACCCGAGAGAGCCGCTTCCTGCGGCGGGTCTCACACCGCGGCTCGAGGGACAGCTCGCAGTCCCCGCTGTCCAGCTGGCCTAGAGTAACAGATGCCTCCCTGGCCCCCAGATCAGTAAACCTGATAGGGTTTTGGGTTTTTTTGTTGTTGTTTTTGTTTTTTTTGTTTTTTGTTTTTTGCTATTGTAGGAGTGGGTTTTGGGGGTAGGAGTCCACCATTCCATTACTTTTCTGAGACAGCTAGCATTGTATGGAAAAGCCAGTATTCTCTTTTAGTCCCTTTTATCCTTTGAGCATGGAATACAACGGAGACAAATCATTATTTGAGGTACTGATTGACACACAGAGACTGAGCATTGTTTTGGCTACACAGCCAGTAAGTGATAGAAGTATGCATTTAGTTTGTGCATCCAGATTCGCAGGAGTTTAAGGGCAGAAGAGGGCAAAAGAGGAATTAGAAGCAGCAAGAGTCACAGCTGTTTTGTGGCAAGGAATTTCTAGGATTGCCCTATGGCCTGCTGTGGTGACTCTTAGATGAAGGAGCTGGTTCTTGACAGTTTCTGCTGGTTTACTCCGAGCCCAGAGTCATTGTCACAGCTCCTGTCTCTACTTGTAGGATCACTTTCTGAGAACTCAGACCTTCCTGGTGCTGAAAAGGCAAAAGAAAATGGCATGACTGATGGGCCATCGAGCACTGGGACCCAGGTAAGTTTCTTTTTTCATTTTTTTCTTAAGTTCTCAGCATGGTATGTTTCCTTCCATTACTAAGAAACTGTCCTGCCTTGATTCTTAGGCTGTTGGATTCATTCTGGTAAATGATGAATGAGGAACTTCACAGAAAATGCCCCTCACTTCAACAGAACTTTCCTTCTCAGCAAGCTGCTTCTCCACCTGACGAGTGCTTGCTGCACACTTACTGACTGCTTTGTACTGTTTGAGGTCTTGGGGGAGTTATAAAGTTATAACAGCCTTTCCCTGTCTTGAGGTTTCTTGAGGCAATGAGATATAGATAAATAAAAATAGTTAAACAACATGGAGAAATACATATATTTTAATGCAGAGATAACTGGTATGAGCAAGTCATCAAAGGCCCTAGAGGAGGTTTTCCATCATCTAGGGTATTTGGGAAAAGCTTGAGATGAAACCTTTGAAAAGCTAGAGAGAGTACATAGTTGAAGAAGAGAAATAGTCCAAGAGAGAAGACATCTTTGGCAAAGAAAAATGGAACAATAAAAAAGAAAGAGTGAGTCTTGAAGTCAAAAGAGAGTTGGAGGTCATGAAGAGGTGTCAGTCACTGTGGCAGGGTGGGACCCAGAGGAGACAAGCCAGAGGATAACGGGGGAAACTTGAATGTGGCTGGCCACGTCACAGAACTCCACATCGAATCTTATGCTGAAGGCACATAGGGCCCGTGAAAGTTTTTAGAGGCTCAGCAAGATGAAACATGAGGTGACTGATTGAAGACAGAATGTTAGCAGAGGTGCCTTGGTAGGATCTGACTGGGACACTGGGAGAGGTGTAATCCCTTTGGTCAGGGGCTGAGATTACTTGTGTGAGTCAGGTCAGACCTCAGGCATGCAGGTACTAATGATCTGTGTAAAACCCTGGGAGAGGGGCTGAGGATTTAGCTCAGTGGCATAAGCACCTGCCTTGCAAGCAGGTAGTCATGAGTTCGATCCCCGGTACCGATAAAAAAGAAAAGGACAAAAAAAAAAAAAAAAAAAAAAAACCCTGGGAGAAAAATGCCAGTGTTGATTTTGGTCTGTAACCCAGTCACTTTCAGAGGGAATAGTGGAAAGAAAGTCAGTAGTAAGTGCTGGCCAGCTTCAGTACATACACCTGTAAATGAGTTTTGATTGCTGAGAGGACTGAAGCCTGAAGGGACATCCAGCTAGTCTTTTTGGTGTTGGTACCGTCTGTGAAGGAGGAAGGCTGAACATGTTATATTGCTTGTATTGATCCCACCTGAGGCAAATGCAGTTTCGATACCGTAAATATAAAAAGTATAGTAATTTCATGCTTCAAGTGTCCTGTTAAAGATTCTGTTTTGGAGATCAGATTTCCAAAGTAGGTAGTTCTTTTAACTTTATTTAATTGTGTGTATTGCTTTATCAGTTTTTGAGAGAGATCATATATATTAGAATGCAGATAATTAACTGATATATATATACAGTCAGCACATGAAGACCTTTCAGGCCACAGCAGACCACATGTATAAGGGTTGTCCAGTACTACTCTATTGCCTAGTAATTTCACATGTGTGTTTAAATACACTCTACAATGTTTGCTCCAGGATAAACTTGCCAATGACACATTTCTTGAATCATGTATCAGTTGTTAAGTGAGGCACGACTTTGTGTTCAGGGACCTGTGACAAAAGTGGTAGTTCAAAGAGGGGGAGACTTACTCATATGCTGGCAGCCCAGGGACTGTTTTTACTATATTTGTCAAATTATAGTCGTAAGGAAATTACTTAAATAGATCAGAAAAAATTACTAGATTAGAAGAAATTTGTCTTGCTAGAAGTAAATAGATTCAAAGGCACATTTTCTCTGTTTGCTACTTCCTCCCACACTTTAGTAGACAAACAACTTTGTGTCTGTCATGTAGGTCAAGATTAGCACTTCTGTGCTGTTTTCAGTGTTTGATACGATTCTGCTTGGTTCTCCTCTTCTTTTCCTGTGCACATGTAAGGTATATATATATATATGTTAAATACATATGTGTATTCTTACTAATTTGTTTCTTCCTTCCTTGAGCTATTCAAAAATAATTCATGGAGACTTTGCATGTGCCCAGTTCTTTAGTAAGTAAGAACAGACGTGGCCTCTGCTCTGTGGAGCTTCCTGTCTATGGAACAGACAGTTGTTAATCATGAGGTCCCTGTACCTCCCTGTACCTCCTCCATTTTTCCCCCCAGAGGGAAAGAAGGAAGAGGGTGCTACAGCTAGAGTCCAGAAATTTTTCCCTGAAGAGGTGAACCTGAGCTGAGGTCTGAGGTGAGCGTAGCACTCAGATGCTAAGAGGCGGGGGCAGTGCAAAGAAGTTTCCAGAACAGGAAGCCACACGTATAAAGCAGAACAAGGGAACAGGGTACGTATTTCAACAGCTGAAAAAGACTTCCCACCTGAGCACAGGAAGTAGAGGAGGAGGAGTGTGCAAAGAAGTAGAAGGTAGATGAGGAGTCAGGTCCATGAGGGCCATTGTGAGAAATGCAAAAGCATTTGGGTACTCTCATAATAATTCAGGCTTGAAGGCTGGGGATTTAGCTCAGTGGCATAAGTGCCTGCCTGGCAAGCATGAGGTTGTGAGTTCGATCCCCAGTACCGCAAAAAATAAATAAATAAATAAATTCAGGCTTGAGTAAATCCATATTCTGTGGCAAATGTGCAAAAATCTCAATTTTTAATGTTGTGTGTATGTATATATATATATATATATATGTATATATGTATAATTGATTTTATTCTGAAAGAGCTAGAGAGAAAAATGCTTAATATTTCATGAACTCCTTATATTTCAACAACCATCCTATAAAGAAAATATTTAATTTACAATTTTCTCCCTTTTCCAGTGTATAAGCATTAAGAAGACCTACAGTTGTATAATCTTAATTTATTGATACATAAGTGAAGACCTTGGAACCTTTGGGTTTGCCTTCACAGGTCCTTTCCCTCCTCCTTGCAGGTAGTATGCAGCTGATGCATGGAGAGTGAGAGCGTGGACCACACATGCCAGGAGGACGGACAAAGTCATGTTGTCCTGCCCTTCCATCCTTCCTGTCTTCCTTCTCCTATGCTGTCAGGTTTACTTCTTGGCAGAGGCCTCCAGAAGGAGGCCCTTTGCTGAGCACCAGTGTGTTATGTTTTGCAGAAACCTTTGATGATCAGGGACATGACTGCGACTCTCACCCAGTGGGGGCAGCTGGACCCTCCTCAGGGAGATGTGCCCAGGAAGCCGAGGAATCTGGTCTTGCTGGGTAAGAATGGCTCTGCTGTCCCCTGAGAATCTATCCAGACTGGTACCTTTGCTTCCTCAGCTCCTACATGTCTGTATGTGCGCTGAAGTACTTGGATTCAAATACTTGTAATTTCTGTAAGGCCTGAGACAGGCAGTTTCTGCTTTTGGTTTTGGGATATTTTTAGCACCTCTTGAGGCAGCAAGGCAGGTAGATTAATGGTGGGCGCCTTTCATGTAGCATCATTTTTTGTCCCATGACCACAGATGTCAAAACGAAGTTCTGGTGAAAACTATTCTTAAAAGAATGGTTGCTTATTCTCTCAACAGGGAGAGGTAAAAACAAGTGATTTGGTTATCTGGAGCTCAGATGAACCCATATCAACCTTCCTACCTCCTTCTGAGCACATTTGGGGAACTGATTCTGTCTCTCATACTGTCTTCTCTTAAGACCAAGGAGCTAGCACAGAGCTCTTTGCCAGACTCCTGTTGTTTTCCCCATGAACAGGGCTTCCAATTTCCAAACCCGATGTTATATCTCATTTGGAACATGGGGAAGAGCTGGAGAGAGAAGTCTCAAAAGCCATCAGTCCAGGTGAGTGAGTGTTGGGGACAGTGTAAACCAAACCTAGGTAGCTGTGGCTGTGCTCACAGTGAAGCCTTTGCAGATCTCCTACCCACGGGAACCAGGAAGTGGTGTGCAGGTTCCCCGGGCTTTGCTCCAGCTCTGTGCTTGATGATCTCTTTATAAAATTAGAATATTATTTTTTGATGGTAAGTAACTTTAAACCCTTTCAAGCCATTTCTTTTCCCAAATAAGATGAACTCAAAATTGTAATAGCTAACAATTTGCTTGGATATAAGGCTCTCAACCAGATCTTTTTGCATGTGCTAGTTAATCTCTGCAGGATAAATGCTATTTTTTGAATGTCGGACCAGTGACTATACACTGATACCTGGATTTTCCGTCTCCAGCCAGAGACAGCATAGCAGAGCGTGTGGTTAAGAATACAGACTTTTTGCCTGGCAAGTGCAAGGTTGTAAATTTAATCCCTGGTACAAAAAAAAAAAAAAACAGCCTTTGGGCCGGGGAGATAGTTCAGTGGCCCAGTGCCTTTCTGGCAAGCATAAGGTTCTGAGTTTTGATTCCTGATAATACCACCCCAACCCCTCCCCAAACCCCCCAAAATAAAAAACAGACTTTGGAGTCAGTTTTCCTGGGTTGAAAACCTGTCTTAGCTACTCACTAGCTCTGTTATGTTTAACAAGCGACTTATCCTACCTTTCTTAGATTTTCTAGCTATAAAATGGGAATAATGGGGGCTGGGGGTTTAGCTCAGTGGCATAAGCACCTGCCTTGAAAGCAGGCAGTCGTGAGTTTGATCCCTGGTACCGATAAAAAGGAAAAAGAAAAAAAAATGGGAATAATAATGAATCTTAACTCAGAGTTGTGCTGAAGATTAAGTGACGTAGTTAAGGATATTGTTTAGAACAGAATGCTATTAATTAAATATTGGTAACTTTTTGGGGGGAAAAGGTGTCATGGATTTGACCCTCTTACTTCTGTCAACTGGTTAGTGCAATAGACTCCTAGAAAATTGTGCTGTGTTCTGTTAGAGCCTTATGTAACAGAGGCGGCAGTGTTGCTCCATTCCTCAGTTAAGGGCTTGCTCTGCTAGTGCTGTTTTTCTCTACTTAATTTCAAGGTCTTTCCTAAGCTACTGTCTTAGCTACTTTTTTATTTGTCACTGAGACAAAATACCTGATGCCAAAAGTCTGGAAAGGAAAGGTTTATTTCTTACAGTTTTGGAGGTTTCAGTCCATACTCAGTTGGCTCCAAGGCAGGCTGGCATGGTGGGGCCGCAGTTCATGGCAGCTCCAAACAGAAAGGCAGAAACTGGCAAAAGAGAGAGACACACCTTCTTCCTACATCCTGGCTCCACTCCAAGGCCAGTGTAGCACTCACATCCCGAATTCAAGCACTAGACAATGAACCAATCACAAATGCACAAGGCAAATGCATGAGGCCTAGGGCCACCAACATAAACTGTGACATTTCACCCCTGTACATTCTATATACAAAAGACATTTAATCCATCTCTAAGAGTTGCAAAGTCATAACAGTTTCAGCATTGCTGAAAAGTCCAAGTTCCAAGTCTCCTTCAAGATCTATGACAAACTCTTAACTATAACCCCGTGTACAAATGACACAAGGTTAAACATTTCTGAAATGCAAAAGCACAAGATAAGCATTACCATTCCAAAAGTTACAAACACGGGAATATAACGCATTGAAAACAAAGCAAGTCCAACATCCAGCAGGAGGAACTGTAAGTCCTAGAGTTCCATGCTCAGCATCTGAAGCAATCTGGTTGCAAACTCCAAAAGGCTTGGGTGATTACTTCCAGGGATTTCAGCTCCTACAGCTTCTCTCTTAAACGCTCTCTGCTCGCTTTTTGCAGCTTTCCTTGGATGATCCATGTTCCTGGCTTTCCCAAATGTCTGGGGTCTCCACTGCACCTTTGGTTTCACCCTTATCTCTTTACAAATTGCCCTCTCAGGGGCACACTGCTTGGCCTCCCAGGCCCTTTGCAATTGAGGTAGAAGCCATCTTACCCTCAGAATTTGTGCATTTTCCTTGCACCTAAAATCAGCACCATGTGGATGCCACCAAGGTTTGCTGCCAGCTGGAGCAGTAGTCAGGCTTTTCTCTCTCTTGGCTGTAGGGGTCAGTTGCTTGGATCATTGGGCTGTATTTACCTGATTGTGAGGAAAAGCTTCTCTATGTTTCTGCCATTCTGGAACCTCATGTGGCCTCTGTCACCATTCTGGAGCATGGTGCTCTACAGCTTTCTCCTCTAAGCAAAGTCTTTCACTTTTGCAGTTTTGAGGCTGCACAGGGTGGGGACCTGCTTTCTGGGATGCTCCAGGGCCATCTTTCTTATCTTTCTGTTTCTCCTCAGCAATCAAAGTCTCAACTCTGTCTTTATAATCCACAGTGTTCCTGGAATTTTCATTCTGGCCAAATTCACAGAGTTGTAAATTATCCTACTGGGCTCTTTGCTCTTGATTTGCAACATAAAGCTGGCTAAAAGTCCAGAACAATAGCCATGCCACAGCCTCAACAATCGACTGCTTGTAATTTCCTTTTCCAGATTAATCAGTCCATTGCCCTTTGTCTCAGTCTGAGACATGAACAAAATGTAGACAAACTTTCTGCCAAGCCATAACACACATCATGGGGAGTCCAACAACCAATGCAGTCCTTCTTCCCAGCAGAAACCTCCCAAGCCTGGTTTTTACCATCAGGCTTTCTATCAGTGTTCTGATCTCATGAGCTCTAACCAAAATCTCCACTACAGAACAGCTTAAGCTGCTCCAGCTCTATGCATCCAGGCGACATGTCCGAACCTTTCCAAACTCTGCTCACAAGCCATTTTCAAAGCCTCTCAAAAAACATGGTCAGGTATAGTCACAGCAAACGACCCCAATCCTGGTACCAAATTCTGTCTTAGTTACTTTTTACTTGTTGCTGAGACAAAATACCTGATGCCGAAAGTTGAGAAAGAAAAGGTTTATTTCTTACAGTTTTGGAGGCTTCAGTCCATACTCAGTTGGCTCCAAGGCAGGCTGGCATGGCGGAGCCGTAGTTCATAGCAGCTGCAAACAGCAAGGCAGAAACCAGCAAAAGAGTGAGACACCTTCTTCCTGCCATTACATTACATCCTGGCTCCACCTCTAGGCTAGTGTAGTACTCACACCCCTAATCCAAGCACTAGACAATGAACTAATAACAAATGCACAATGCAAATGCATGAGGCCTGGGGGCCACCAACATAAACCATGACAGTTACCTGCCTAAACTTTTTGCATTCTCTATTCATTTTGACCCTTAACACCAGATAGCAAGCTTCTTAATTTCCTTATTCCCCATGTATTCTCCACAAATACTTGGAAATTTAATTTTTTGCTCCTCTTAGCTGGAGGTCAGTTTGCCTTAACCTTTTCTACCTATTTATCCTTAAGTTCTAGGTACTTTCCTGAATATGATTCAGTTTATAACATTGAATTGCACTGGTTCATTTCACTTAGACATGCTTGGATATGAAAGACCATCCGTATTAGTCTGTTCTCTGTTGGCATACAAATATCTGAGACTCAATACTTAATAGTTTTATGTAGGGCCTGGCAATTTAGCTCAGCTGCATAAGTGTCTGCCTTGCAACCGCACAGTCATGAGTTCAATCCCAATAACAGAAAAAAAAAACTTAAAAAAAGTTTAAAAAATTAGAAATTTCATTTAGCACATAGTTCTGGAATTTTAAGAACATAATGTTAAGTGAAATAAGTAAGTCCAGATATCATGATTTCTCTTATATGAGAATACACACACACACACACACACACACACACACACACACACACAAAAGCAAAATAGAAATAAGATTTAGAAAAAAGTTCAAATACTTCCCCAAATTACATATTCCATTATTTTAAAAATATTTTACATATATGCTAATCAGTTTCATTTGTACTATTAGTTTATTCCTCCATGGAGAAGAAAATTTTGTGTTATTATCTGTTTCTCTCTTTTTTTTGGTAAGAATCATTCTGTTTCATGTCTTGTATCCTGAGATAATATTTGAAGATAATAATACATGGAGTAGTAACTGTTGTTATTCTTTTATTGTTTCATTATGAACTTTTTTTCGTAAAATAAAAAAGTAAACACTAACCTGAAGCCTGGCTCCAGGTCTGCTGAGCCCTGGTGAGGGTCCACTTGGTTCATCACAGTGAGGCAGAGAAACAGAGTAGGAAATGGTTGTGTGGAGGAGGCACCGGCTCACTGGGTAGCTGCACTTTATGACAACCTTTCTCACAAGAACGTACTCACTCGGTGAGACCAGTGTGGATCCCTGGCATGGGTGGCTCCTCTGTGCCACGTATTACCTTCTGCTGGTCCCCACCCTTTAAAGCTTCCACTGCCTCCACACAGCTACATTAGGTCACCAGGCTTGCAGCACATGGGGCCTGCGGGGGACACACTCAAGTTATATCCAAACCGTGCTGCCCTCTGATCCTGAAAGTATGCAGATGGTTTTCAGTGGACTTTTTCCCTAAACTCTTACTTGGAAGCTGAGATTCAAGATAGATAGGTTTCATAACAGTTTGGGGACAGTCTGAGGACATGGTCCTTGACCTTTCTTTCCCTGCACACTGCTCTTCTGCTTTTTCTGCTTCTGCTTCTATTTTTAATTTGGTTCTGTTTCACTCTGTCCAGTTTGCTGAGTATGGGGTTATGATAAGCCATTATTAATTGTTTCCTAATTACTAAGCTTTATGATAATTGGAGGCAGGGGCTATAGCTTAGTGACACAGTGTCTGGCAAGTGTGAGGTCCTAAGTTTGATTCCTAATACCAAATAAAAAGAAAGAAAGAAAGAGTGAGTTATGGTAATTGAAATTTGTAGATCAAGGCCGCATGGAATGTGTGAATCTATAATGTATGTCTCATCTTGAGGCTGCCACAGATTTTTGTACATAATACCTTTTTTCAATATGGTACTACTGGGGAACTTTCTTCCTAGGCTACATTCTTGGCCTTTTTATTGATTCAGGGTCTTATTAAGTTGCTGAGTTGCCTTGAACTCCAAATCCCCTGTTTTAGGCTTCCAGGGTGCTAGGATTATAGGCATGTGCCACCATGCCCTGCTAGAAGGGTGATTTTGAAAAACTAATATCTTAGTAATTAGGGCATAATAAAGTGGAAAAAAGAATAGAAGCAAGGAGATGAGCTAAAGATGGTCTTTCTTGAGCCCTGCTCTGAGAGGCGCTGGTGAGCTTGGCACAGGAGATAATTCCTAGACTGTTTGTTTCTGATCCCAGCCTTGTCTCTTCCAGACCCTGTGTTTTCTCAGCTGTTTCCCTACCCCATCCCTGCTCAGTTCTGCTCTGTTAGGCCTTCCCTCTTCCTACCCTGCTGCCTGTGAGAAGGTCTCCCGTTATGCAGTTGTACTTCTTTGCCCAGTCACATTTCTTTTATTGTCTCTTAAGATTACAAGGCCATTCTTGAGGACTTTTAAAGTTCTTGTGTTTCCTGTAAGCACTTTTTTCTGTAATATTTTTTTTTGTGACAGCAGTTATTTTTTCTCAGTGTAGGCAATGATGCCTGTATAATTTTCCTTCTTTCAGACTGGGAGACAGTTCCTGAAAGCAGAGAGCTAATGCCAGAGCAGGACTTTTCTGAAGAGCCAGCCCCTGGGGTGTTAATAGAAAGATTTCCAAAGGAAAGTTCCCGTGAATGTGAGGACACTTTAGAAAATCAGCAAGAAAACCATGAAAAACATCCAGTACAAGAAGTTGTCACTCAGAAGAAACTTTCTGGGGAGAAAAGTTATCAATGCAATGAACTTAGAAGAAATTTTAATCGGCGGTCATTACTTTTTCAGCAACAGAGAGAAAAACTTCATAATTGTGATTCATTTAAAAAGAACTTAAAGCAAAACTCAGAAATAATTAGACATGAGAGAATTTGTGCAGGAAAAAAACCTTGGAAGTGCAGTGAATGTGAGAAGGCCTTTAGTTATTACTCAGCTTTTGTCTTGCATCAGAGAATCCACACTGGAGAAAAACCCTATGAATGTAGTGAATGTGGGAAAGCCTTCAGCCAAAGCATACACCTTACTCTGCACCAGAGAATTCACACTGGAGAGAAGCCCTATGAATGTCATGAATGTGGGAAAGCCTTCAGTCACCGCTCAGCCCTTATTCGGCATCATATAATTCATACTGGAGAGAAGCCCTATGAGTGCAATGAATGTGGGAAAGCCTTCAATCAGAGTTCATACCTCACCCAGCATCAGCGGATTCATACTGGAGAAAAACCTTATGAGTGTAATGAGTGTGGGAAAGCCTTCAGCCAAAGCACATTCCTTACCCAGCATCAGGTCATTCACACTGGGGAGAAACCTTACAAGTGTAACGAATGTGGCAAAGCCTTTAGTGACCGCTCAGGTCTTATTCAGCACCAGAGAACTCATACTGGGGAGAGGCCTTATGAATGTAATGAATGTGGGAAAGCTTTTGGCTACTGTTCAGCTCTGACTCAACACCAGAGAACTCACACTGGGGAGAAACCCTATAAATGCAATGATTGTGGCAAGGCTTTCAGTGACCGCTCAGCCCTTATCCGTCATCAGAGAACACACACTGGAGAGAAACCTTATAAGTGTAAGGACTGTGGGAAAGCTTTCAGCCAGAGTTCATCTCTTACAAAACATCAGAAAACTCACACTGGTGAGAAACCCTATACATGTAAGGAATGTGGAAAAGCCTTCAGCCAGAGTTCATCACTTTCTCAACATCAGAAAACTCATGCTACAGGGAAAACCAAGGAATACGGCCAAGCTTTCAGTGAGCATTCAACCTTTGGCCAACATAAGAGAATTCATACTGGATAAATGGCACATTTAGAATATCATCAGAGAGCATTTGCCATACATGCTGTGCAATCTACAAAGAAATTTAAGATTGTCACAAAAAGTTATTCAGAAATCATTGTTCATGGGGGGGGCATACTTAGATTGTGAAAGAAAGGTTTACATTTTTTAAAATGTCTTAAGGGAGGACACTATAAATTTCCCCGGGGAAAGGAAATTTATTTCTAATACTACAATATGTATAAGTGACCAAATCCTTGAGAGAGAAAAAGGATGTGCCATGTTGGAAAGCGGACTTGTTGGCTGAACTTGGTAGTCATGATGCTGAGGGCATAAGCTTATAAAAAGGCAAGTGATTCTCATAGGAAACTTGAAGATATAGAAATAAGAGATTGAGAATTCCTAACAAATTTACCCAGGTTCAAGAGTAGTGGAGAAATAGAAGTTGTCCTTCAGCCTTCTGTACAGGACACAAAAAAGATAGGTATAAAGGATACACTAAGAGAATTGGGGGAAAGAAACTAAAAAATGCTGTTGAGGTAATTGGATAACTGAATATTCACAGCTGGGAATAAATTAGATTTAGTAGTTGGTGAGTTGCAGTTTCTGTGAGGGTAGCTTTACCAGGGAAGCTAACAGCCTAGAAAGGGAAAGTAGAGATGTTTAAGGTGTTCAGTCTATTTTAAGCTATCTGAATTTACTGGGAATATTTATTTATAAAAATTTACCTCAATTCTATTAGACTATACATTAGGTTTTTTTATACCTAGTAGTAAAATTCAATTGTAGCCTTACACTGACATATATTAGATTGTGAGAAACTTGAAAAAACTTTGAAATTTTTGCCTTTCACCATTTTACTTATGGATAGAGGCAGATAACATTTTTATGTATATATATATTTTTATTGAAACTTTGAAAGTTATTACTGGAAATAATACTGAATGTAGTGGTTTTAATTTTCATGTTTAACTCTATGTGTGTTGGTGTTTTGAGGTTTTTTTAGTGTATTTGTCTTTGAAATTTGTTGAGCTTCAATCAGTATATTCAGCCAAATTTCAATTTTTAGACCATCATTTCTTTAAAATACATTTTCAGCCTGCTTTTCCTCACCCCTTTTTTCTTCTGGGATCAGGTAACAGAACTGTTCAACCCTTGATTACAGTCTCCCAAGTATCAGAGCCTTCATTTTTTTCATTGTATTTGTGTCTTCATTTGCTTAATCTGCCACAACAAAATCCTGTAGGCTGACTGGGATTTCTATTACTTCCAATAGTTCTAGAGGTTGGGGAGCCTAAAATTAGGGTGCCCTCTGAGTGAATTTCTAGTTAGGGTTTTTCCTACCTTACTGATGGCTGTGTGTACTGATACCTTCTTGTTGTGTCTTCACATGAATTTTCCTTGGTTCAGGGAAAGAGCAAGACTTATTGCCTCTTTCTATATGGCTACTATTGGTTTTGGACCCTTTTGACTCACATACCTTCGTTACCTCCTAAAGGCCCTGACTTCAAATACAACTGTATTGGAGATTAGACCTTCAACGTATGTATTTTAGGGAGACACAGCTCATTTTATAATACCACAATATGTATAAGTGACCAAATCCTTGAGAGAGAAAAAGGATGTGCCATGCTGGAAAGAGGACTTGTTGGCTGAACTTGGTATTTTTGCGATGCAGAGGGCATAAGCATTTTATCTCTGCCCAATTCACGTTCCTTCATGAAAACTATATTTATGCATTCCATCCTAACAACCTCTAGAGTCTTAACTCATTCCAACATCCACCAGGAAGTCTAGAGTCCAGAGTTTAATCTAAATGTCACCCAGGGGCCAGAGATTTAGCTCAGCAGCATTTAGCTCATGGCAAGCATGAAGTCACGAGTTCGACCCCCGGTACCAGAAAAATAAATAAAATAAAATATAAATGTCAGGCTGGGGATTTAGCTTAGCGGCATAAGCACCTGCCTTGCAAGTGTGTGGTCATGAGTTCGATCCCTAGTACGGATAAAAAAAGAAAAAGACAAAAAAATAAATAAATAAATGTCACCCGGATGTGCAAAAGAAGGTGGAATTTAGCTTGAGGCACAATTCTTCTGTGAAAGCAGTGAATGCGTTTCCAGAGTCAGTGGTGGGCCTGGCATAGGTTAGACATGGCCACACCGCAGGAGAGGAATCGGAGAGAATGGGCCATGGTCCTGGAATAACCCAAAGCCCATCCAGGCAGGTTAAATCTTAAGATTTTAAAATAATTCCCTTTGGTCTGATGCACTGACTGTGGCCCCACTGGGTTGGCTGTCCTGCCTCTGACTCTGACTCTGCTCTTCCAGGGGCCTCACCCCGAGGGCTCTGCAGGGTGGTCTGGCCTCTGCAGCTCTCGGTGAAGGCTATCTGGCCTGTTGAAGGGAAGTGGCTGGATCAGCCTGTAAGCCACACCCAAGCTCTCTTGACTAAATGATTGTCCAATCACATCCTTAGTGCTTCTTCCTAACTTCTCACCTTTTACAGAATCCTGGAATACAGATCAGACTAGCCCCTTGCAAGGTCGTAGGAATCCTCTTTCCTCTTAGTGCCAGTGACATGCTCTTCACTGCCTTTGAGTCACAGCAGAAAGCCTTTACATGTTTTATGGCTAGATCCACTTCACAGCTCTCTAACCTCTTCCCAGGATCCAGTTCCCAGGCTGTGTCCACATTTTTAGGTATTTTTTTTTACAGTGGTACACCACTTTCCAGGACCAGAGTCTGCACAGGTCGTTGTAACACAGTACCATACCCTACATGGCTCAAACAACAGAAATGTATTCCCCATAGCTGTGGAGGCTGCAGATCCAAAGTCAGGTCCAGCAGGGTGCAGCTCCTGGTGTGGCCCTCTTTCTTACCTGTAGGTGTTTGCCTTTGACTGTGCTCTCCCATGGCCTTAGTTATGTGTGTAGAGAGAAAGCTGTCTTCTTACAAGACCGTCAGTCCTGGTGGATTAGACCCCAAGTTCACAACTGCTTTTAACCACAATTATCTCCTAGCAGCCCATCTCTAAATATCGTCACGCTGGACGCTGGCGCTGCAACATAACGACCTTGGGGGATGTGGTTCAGTCCACAGTACTATTACCTGTTGTTCACATTGGGTGCTTTCTGTTCTGTTCTCAGTTTCACAGAAGGTTCATCTTTCTGTGCTTTTGTGCTGTGAAGTCAGTCACTGAGTTTCATTTTGGTTTTTGTATTTTTCAGTTCCATTTGATTTTTTTCTGAGACTTATTTTTAATCTGTGTCCTCAAAGCCTAACATCTGCCATCTCTGCTGGCCTCTGTGGATTATCTTCGCTCAGTTTGAGGTTTTCTTGGTTCTTGGTGTGATTAGAGGTTTTCAGTGGGAATGTAGACATTTGGAGTATTGTGGGGCTCAGTACCCAATGTAGGTCTTCTGTTGGCCTCTGCAGTGTTCCTAGGAAAGAGGAGGTGCTGCCTTCCATTACTTAAGTTGATGTTAAAAGTCCAGAATAGGGGTTCTCAGTACTGCTGGGCAGGGATGGGATTGACAGCTCCCCACCAGGCTTCTGCTGATGCCACCCTGGCTGGAAGAGACATAAATACCCTGTGACTGCTCCCCATAGGGCATCTACCAACACTGTGGAGTGGGGTGGGATGACCGCATTACTGTGGGCATTGGTGTAAATCCTGACTGTTGGCAGTCACCAGCACCAGTAGTGACGGGGAGAAACGTGTCCTCTGGGCAGAGTTGGAAGCCAGTCTCCCCACGTGGTCTCCACTGATACTACCAGGTGAGGAGGCAGGCATGGGGTGTGACAACCTGTCTGTCCCCAAAGCCTTCTCTGGCACTGCCCCAGGGTGAGTGGAGGGTTGAGCCCATTCCAGCCTGGGGAAGGAAGAAATGGAGGCTCCCGCTCGAGTCCTTTTGGTGGGGTAGGGCCACAGATCACTTGTGTGTGTAGAAGGAGTGGGTGTTTCTTGTGTATGTTGGCATTCCTGGACTGCCAGCCACCCTGGAAAGCAGCCTGGGGCAGGGAGGCATTCCCCGCTGTGGCATTTCTCAGGTTCCTACGTGCCCAGCCAGGGCATTCTCTTACCCTTCTAGAGCCTCCTTAGGTCTGTTTTATATGTAATTTCAAGGAGTTTCGGCTGTTCCTAGAGGATTAGGAGACCGTACTACTCCATCCTTCCCGTGGCATCTTTGTGTTTGACCCTAGTGGCTGATCGGGTGGTGCTGAGTACAGCCCAGAGGGGCCAACCAAAGGTTACCTGTAGCCACCCAGAAATGAGTACTAAGGGGACCGGACACTGGTTCCCCAAAAACAAGCTGCCTCTTGGTAGGCAGAAGCCACAGCCTCCTTCACCTGGCTTGGTGGGAGCCACACTGTTCAAGCTGGGGAAACACCATTGTTTGTGGGTTACAGACTTCAGGAGAGAAGGTAAATATGACTAACAAAGTAAACCTTAATGTATTTTTTATTTGTATCTTTGTCCCAAGAACATTGAAAACCACTGGAAATTTTAATTTACAATTTTGGATTTTTTACAATTACTGATTATCTATAGGTGGCTTTCTATTTTAACTTGATATATAATGTGATGTAGAGAGCCATCAAAAAAGGAAAATAATTGAGATTTGGGACAAGTCACTTCATTCTTTCTTTCAAATCTGTTTCCTTATGTTTCAAAAATGTGATACTTGGGCTGGGGGTTTAGCTCAGCAGAGTAAGTGCCTGCTTGGCAAACACAAGGTTGTGAGTTCAATCCCCTGCACCAAAAAAAAAAAAAAAAAAAAAACAAATGTGATCCCTACTTGAGATAGTGATTAGAATTAGGTAGAAAATGGATGAAATTAAACTTTATAAGCTATCAAATGCTCTACAACTGTTAAGTATTGTTTAGTCATTGTACGACTGATGTCCCCCATGTGTGCTTTATGGTGGTGGAGGTTAATAAATGAAAGTGACTGTGAAAATAATGGAATGAGTCTTTTTAGTGTTTTTAGTAAGTTTCCTTGAACAGTAGTAAAGTGTGTCTTTTAATGTAAGCACAGTTTTCTTTATTAATATAGTAAGTTACACTGACCTATTTTTTAATGTGAAAGGATCCCTGAATTCCTGGATTTGCCCAAGGAGGTGATTTTTCACCTCTGCAAAAGTTTAAATTCCTTGAATGTTAGTTGCATTCACTTCTTAAGCTTGTATTACACTGGCTTTTTTTTTTTCATTGAGTATAAGGATTTTGAATGGCTTTAGGGGCTCATCAGAGTTTTCTGTTTGTTCTTGACAGTCATTTTTAGGTTCTGTTGGGACCCACAAATTATAAATTGGATCTAGAGGACGTCCACGACCGTCCTTGTCCCGCCCTTTGAGCCAGACTGGAATGGAAACTCCCACTTTTTTCTGGTCGCAGCTGAGAGCTCTAGGTTGGTGACTGCTGTGGCACTCACAGGGCGAGATGAGACCTTCGGGGCACCAGGAGCATCTGGGGAAACCAGTTTCCTCCATGCTCCCTGCCTCGTCCTTGTCCTTGCAAGAATGCTGTGTCCTTCTCACTGGCCCACCATGGTCACCATTACTGTTCCCGGAGGAACTCCCTGCCCTTCACGCATCGTCCTTGACACGGATGCAATCTCTGGCTGCCTTGTGACCTTCTGTTCTCTGGGAACAACTGGTCATCCTAGATACCAGCTACACTGGCATTTCATCTCCTACTCTTTCTTCTTGCTGTGCACTGTAACACTTGGCAGGAGACTGGAATTCACCACAGAGGTTCCCAAGAAGGTTCTTAGAAATTTCTGGTTTTTGAGACAGGGTCTCACTCTGTAGCCCATACTGGCCTTGAACTCATGGCAATCTTCCTGCCTCAGCCTCCCAAGTGTTGGGATTATAGCCTGGCTAAAAGTTTGTATTTTTATCATAAAGGTGGTGATATGTTTTTATTTTCCTTTTTAGCTATAGTTACGTTCCTTTTATCTTTCCTGATACTAATTTTTTTTTTTTTTGGTTTTTTGAGACAGAGTCTCACTATGCAGTTCAGGCTGGTTTTGAGCTCACTTTGTAGCGCAGGCTGGTCTCCACCTTGCAACAATTCCCTTGCCTCTGCCTCTTGAGTGCTGGAATTACAGGCACACACCACCACAGCTGGCCTGATATTACTTCTTTACATCATCTTTTTCTTTTGATTCTGCTTCCAGAAGTTTGTGAATTACAGCAGTCTTTTAGAATAGCTAACTCTTTGGACTTTTATAAAATAATAACAAAATATACTTCACATACAGTTAAATTCACCCACTTAGTGCCCAGGGAGGTTGACAAAGGTGACACCTGTGTATCTATTTCTGCTACCGCTGCTGGTCCTTCTCCTCCTCTTCTCCTCTCTTTCTTCCTTTTCTCCTCTCTTCCATTTTGCTATGCTTGTCTCCTTCCTTCCCTCCCTCCCTCCCTCTTTTCCGTCCTCTTTCCTTTCCCTCTTCCTTGTAGAAAGTTCTGCAAGTTTTAAAACCAATGTAGATTCATAAAACTATCATATGACAATCCAGGTACAGAAAACTTTCATTGTACTAAAAATTTTCCTTGGGCGGCTTTTTACACCAGCTTTTGTTTCATTGAGTATAAGGATTTTGAGATTTATTCATATTGTATATATTAAGCCTTTTTCTTTTATACATCACAGTATTTTCATCCACCTACCCATTAAAGGACATTTAGATTTTTAATTTTGGTGATTATAAATAAAATATTATAAAAATTTGCATATAAATCTTTGAGTGAACATAATTTTCCATTTCTGTAGTGTAAATTCCTGGGAGTGAAATGACTAGATCATATGGTAAGTGGGTTTTTATCTTTGTAAAACAGGACTGTCATAGTTTGTGTCTGGATATCCCCCCAAAGCCGCATGCAGTCATGGGAGTCCATCCCTTCAAAGGTAGCTGAATCTAGAGTTTATGATTGGTTCACTGCCTAGCGCTGGGATTCCATAATCCAGTGTGAGTGCTGCTCCCACCCTGGGGTGAGTAGCCTATGCACAATATAAGGGAGGGAAAGAGGCTTGCTCCTCCCTTTCGCCCCTTTGACTCTTGTTGATTTGCTGTCTTTTGCCACCATGAACTGTTGCCCCTCAGCGACTGTTGCCCCTCAGCAACACTGCCCTGCCTTGGAGTCAGCTGGTTATGGATTGAAACCTCCACGAACTGTGAGCTAAATAAACTTTTCCTCTCTAAATTTTTCATGTTGGATATTTTGTCTCAGTGATGAGAGAAAAGTAACCAAGACAAAGATCAAACCATTTTCCATTGTAGTTGCATAAGTTTTAGTACCACTAGCAGTGTTCAAAAGATGTAGTTGTTCCTTAACCTATCAGTACATGGCATTGTTGGCACTTGTGTTTTATGCATCCTAAAATAGCTGGTAGTGGGATCTGATTGTGACTTTGATTTGCATTTTCTTAATTATGATATTGAGCATCTTTTGATGCATTCATTGATCCAACTCCATCTTCTTTGGTGAAGTATCTGTTCAAATCTTTTGCCACTGTTGAGATTCTGTAGTTTCATAGTTTATGGCTTGTCCTTTTTTCCCTTTTTATCCCAGTGTCTTTAGAGACCAAAAAAATTTTTTTGTCTTTTTCCTTTTTATCGGTACCGGGGATCAAACTCACGACTGCCTGCTTGCAAGGCAGGCGCTTATGCCGCTGAGCTAAATCCCCAGCCCTTCCTCAGGCTTCTAATTCAGGCCTCAGCTCTTCAGTAGGTGAAATCTCCACTCAAAGACAAACATTGCAGAAATTTCCCTTTCCTTGAAGAAGTCATTCCTGAAATGTTTTTTCACTTTTTTTTTTTTTTTTTTTTTTGGTCTTTTTCGTTTTTATCGGTACCAGGGATCGAACTCACGACTGCCTGCTTGCAAGGCAGGCGCTTATGCTGCTGAGCTAAATCCCCAGCCCCAAGAGAGCAAAATTTTTAAATTTTAATGAAATGAAATTGATTACGTTTTCCGTTTATGGGCCATACCTTGGTATCATGTCAAAGAACCCTATCTCCAATTAAAGTTTAGGAAGCTTTTCCCTACTAGTTTAATAATGTTTTACATTTACATCTGAGGTCCATTTTAGTTAGTTTTTATACAATGTATGAAATACAGGTCCAGGTTTTTTTTTAACATGTTGATACACATTTCCCAGCATCATTTGTGGGGAAAAAAATAAAAATACCCTTTCTTATTGAATTACCTTTGTAGGTTTATCAGTAATCAATTGATCACACCCATAGGTTCTATTTCTGGATTCTCTGTTTGCTTCCATTGGTCTGTATAGTTATCCTTTTGTTAAAACTGTACTTGCCTTGGTTACTGTAGCTTTATAGTTAGTCTTAAAATAAGGCAATGTAAATTCTCCAAATTGATTCTTTCCCAAATTGTGTTTCTGTATTTGTCTATATATCATGTCAAGTTTTATTTTGTTTTGAGATTGCTCATTATCTGAATGCATGATGGGTTGTTTCTCTGGTGACCTGAGTATTTTTTCACTACTGAATGACCTGCAGAATATTTTGCCTCAAATTTATGGAGATACAGTTTCATAACATAATCTGCCCATTTAAAATGTGAGGTTCAGTGATTTTAGTGTATTCACAGGGTTGTGCAATTGTAACCATACTAAAGTTGAGTACATCTTCCTATGCCTAAATAAAGACCTCTGCTATGGTCCCGATGCTTGTGCACCCCACGTTCACTTGCTGAAATCCTCACTGTCCCCATGTGCTGACACTAGGAGGTAGAGGCTTTGGGAAGTTACCAGGTCATAAGGGCATCACCCTTATGAATAGGATGGTGTTCTTATAAAGAGGCTCCAAAAGAGGAGATCTTTTATCCTTTCTACCACGTGAAGACAAATGGAAAGAGACATGATGAAAAGAGGACCTTCTCCAAAACCTGCCCATGCTGTCCCTTGATCGTGGACATCCCAGCCTCTGGAGCTGTAAGGAGGAAATTCTGTTGTTTATAAGCCACTGTGGTACCTCAGGCCACAAACTTAGTTCTTTCCATGATTCTGGTTGTGGAACAAATTCTGTGACCAGAATTATGGGAAGAATTGAGCTTTCACTAAAGTACCACTGTACTCAGTAGGCTATAATTTAGGAGCTTATTAACAACAGCCTGGTCAAGCTAAGATGACTTCCCGGCCCTTTCATTACCCCAGCATCAGCAACAACTTCTCTGTTTTCTATAGATTTCTATAGATTTGCCTGTCCGGGGATTTCATAGAAGTGGAATCATACGGTCTATGGACTGGCTTCCTTGCCTTAACATAATATTTTCTCAAGGTTCATCTGTGCTTTCGACTTTACCAGTGCCTCATTCATCTTTCTTTATTGTGATAAAAAAATAAATCTTACCACCTTGACCATTTTTATATACACAGTCCAGTAATGCTAACTGCTGTATTTGTGCATTGTTGTATAGCAGGTGTCTAGCATGTTTCTTGCAAAACTGAAACTCTGAACAAATCCGACAGTCCCCTTTCCTCCTCTGCCTCACCTCTGGAACCACCACTCCACCTTCTGTTTCTGGGCTTTGATTATTTATTTATTTATTTATTAGTTCATATTGGAATTTATTTCTTTTTTATTTTTTATTTTAAAGAGGGCAAAACAAAACAGAACAAAGCAGATCAGAAGAAAACAATATGACACAGATTTCAGAGCAAAACAACAGATCAATAGTGGCTACCACAATGTCTTTTGTTTTCTTCTAAATCATTGTCTCTATCTTCACAATGAATACATACAAAACTGATTACTTTAGATACCTGGCTTTCTGTCCCTTTTTTGTCTCATCGGTTTCTGACACTGGAGATTCCAGGTTGTTTTCGTTCCTTGCATCAAATCTGTTATCAGTCATTGCTTTACCCTCTGGGGGTGCTCTCATAGTTTCTTGTGCTGGTTTATTATGTTTCCTTCTAGCATGCTCACCTCAA